CAGAAGGGGAAATAACTCTCATATGGAGTTTACGTATCGCTTCTGTCAAAATTGGACAAAACATCCTGAGGATATAACGAGCAATTTGGTAAAATAAATTTGCCGCTTTCTTTTACGGTTACGGAGGAGATGCTTGCACGAGGAAAACAGTGTTCGGGGAGATAACTCCTACAAAGATAATTATTTGGTTACGCAGGGTAAATTTCAAAGGCGCATAAACTATTCGATATCATATACCAAATATCTAAGCGACATATTGCGAAACCAAATATTTATCGCAAGAACAAAATTAGGCGGAAGAAAAAAAAAAAAAAAGTAATCAGAAGAAAACCAATAGGTCTTTCCACAGAAAAGTGGAAAGACCTAATAATAATAATAATAATAATTAAAAACCAATTGTTCAAAGAACAATTGAAGGTCTTTCCACATCAATTTTCTAAATAATTGGTGAGAAGCTAATTCTGGTTTACTCAAAGCTACTATTGGCGTCCAATCATAGGTTTCTTCATATTAATTCAATAAAAATATGGTTTCTATAGACTTTTACCTGAAATAAGGGAGATAATTGTCAACTTCCGGTTTAGAAAATGTCACTTCCGGTCTCATATGATAGCTTTATTTACACTGATTCCAAAAATATATGGTTTATATATACTTTTGCCTGTAAAAAGGGAGATAATTGGCTACTTCCGGTTTAGAAAATGTCACTTCCGGTCTCATATGATAGATTTATTTACACTGATTCCAAAAATATATGGTTTATGTATACTTTTGCCTGTAAAAAGGGAGATAATTGGCTACTTCCGGTTTAGAAAATGTCACTTTCGGCCTCATATGATAGCTTTATTTACACTGATTCCAAAAATATATGGTTTATATATACTTATGCCTGTAATAAGGAAGATAATATGGTACTTCCGGTTTATAAAATATCACTTCCGGTCTCAAATGATAGATTAATGTATGACCATTCAAAAAATATGTGGTTTCTATGTACTTCTACATGAAATAAGTGCAAAAATGACTACTTCCGGTTCACTCAAGGTCACTTCCGGTTGACATTTTTCAAGGTCATATGTCACCCAACATTTTGCAAAAGATCTTATGGCTTTATCATGTACCAATATGAAGTAATAATCAATTTACCTTAAAATAAAACATTTCAGGGGCAATAACTCCAATAAGATGTCACTGGATTGTCTCAGACCAAATGTATCATATCTTCATCACAATATAACAAACATTTTGCACTTGTTCTTTAATATATAACATTAAAAATATCGGAGAAAATGCAAAAACAAGCAAAAGACAAAATTCAGAACATGACCTTGACCTTTGACCTTGACCTCATTTTCGAAGTAAGGATCCAAGGACCTCAAATAAAAAGACTATAGGTTTATACGGCTTACAGTTTATGAGTAACAAAAACATAACGACAAATTTATTTCATAAAGGTAGATAACTCCTATAAAATTTCATCGAATTGCTTTGATCCAAATTAGCCAAAAAATCCTGAGGATGTAACGAACAATTTAGAAAAAGAATTTTGTCGATATCTTTTTTTGTTACGAAGGAGATGCACACACTTGATAAACAGTGAATAGGGAGATAACTCTTACAAAGATAATTGTCCGGCTTAGCAGGGTGAAATTTAAAAGCGCATAAACTATACGATACAATATGAGAAATATCTAAGCAACATATTGCGAAACAAATATTTATCGCAAGAACAAAATTTGGCGGAAGAAAAAAAAAAAAATAATAATAATAATAATAATAATAATAATAATAATCAGAACAAATACAATAGGTCTTTCCACAGAAAAGTGGAAAGACCTAATGAAACATTACCTCCTGCATAACATCAAACCAATTGTCTACTGCACTTTAAATATGTAAAAAGATTAAGAACCAAAATTATTAAATTATCAGCATTCTCATTCAAATATATCAATCCAATTCAATGATAATTCAGATATTTCCCACATATAAATCCATTTCCTGAATATTTACATTTTCTGTTCAAAGGGAAATAACTCAAACCACAATTTAATGATAATCCACTCTAAAACACTCACCATTAATGTCACCTTTTGATTTCACTTTTCAGAACAATTCTAACCGTAAATTGAAATAACATCCCAACCACTTACAATTCCAATCCCATAAACCACAATTACTAATTCATGCCCAATTTCATGCCACAAATTTATCCCATATTATTATCCTATTTTGTCAAAAAAAATTAAAACATCTTCAGTTCATTATAACATAATTCTAATATGAGGCAGGTGATACCTGTGAAAGGAGACGAAGTCTGTATGAATTATTTTTTGAATTCAAGCATATTTTAACCCAAGAATCTGTTGAAAAAGAAATGGAAATACGGAAACGTTTCCGATGTTGGTCCTGTTAGGGATTTTGCTTACTGTTATAAGGCACGTCCCAATAAAATTTTTCTCAAATTCCGAGATAAACGATACCGGAAAAGATTTCTGCGTAGATGCGGGAAAATAAAAAAAGTTAGAAAAAAAAAGTTAACGATTTTGAGTTCATTAGTAGATTGATTTTTTTTTTTTTTTCTTTTTTTTTTTCTTTTTTAATTTTTCTACTGTAATTGGGGACTTCTATTATCCTTTTAACTTAGATATAATTTTATTCTACATTTCATTTTCACTACATAATTCAATCCTAAAATTGCTAAATTATCAATACACATTTCTAAATGCTCACAGTTTAACAATATCAAGAACAATGAATTTCCTCCTCTTTCCCATCACCCAAATATGTTTATAAACTTCAATCATTACCTGATGACAAATTATACCTCAACTACCATACACATCCATCTGTACCCCACTTGAAGCAATATACAAATACCAAAAAATTATTAATTTTTTAATAAAAGGTTTCCTACCAATTACATCTAAATTCCTTTATAGAGCATTTTAGAAACTTAACTAATATCGTCCCATTTATAAATACCGGTAAATAGATTAAATTCTTGGTGTACTTGGATATGCTGAATCTAACCATGTATTTAGATTTTGGGTATTGGACCATAATAGATTAAAGTCCAATTTCAAATTTTTCAGTTCTTTGACCACATTCGTTATGTGTCAGAAACCTATGCTGTGTCAAATATTTAATTACAATCCAAATTCAGAGCTGTATAAAGTTTGAATGCAGTGTCCATACTTGTCCCAACTGTTCAGGGTTTGACCTCTGCGATTGTATTAAGCTGTGCACAGTGGAGCATTTTATCTTAAAATGGGCATACACTTTTCCCATTGCTAAGTTTGTCAAAATTATTGAATCAAAGTATTGCATTGAAAGTGAGAATATTTTTTTCCTCAAAATTACATGAAAATTTACATTGTGTGCTGCCTAAATAAAAATCTTAAAAATTTCCATTTATAACATTAATCTAGACTATCAAAAACAAAAAAGAAGTATCAGTCTAAGTTAAAAACCTGTGCTTACTACAGTATATTCCCTAGTTGATAAAGATTTTCTAAAACCAGAATCACATATGAAATATAGTAATACTAGAAAATTAATCTGTAAGAGTTTTTTTCCGTTTACCGGGAGGGGCCTCGGTGGCAGAGTGGTCTAAGTAATTACTACTGTAATCACTAGCCAGTCAACACTGAGGTTGTGAGTTTGAACCCCGCTCGTGCGGGTGCACTCGACTCCAATCTTAATTGACTAGGATTGTCAGTTTTCCTATCGAAGGTCGGTGGTTTTCTCCGGGTACTCCGACTTCCTCCACCAATAAAAACTGGCCGCCACAAAATAGCCCAAAAGCGGTGCTTAAAAGTGGCGTTAAAACACCAAAAATCAAAATCAATCCTTTTACCGGGTAAGTTCCAGAAAAATGTTTTGAATATTGCTGTCAATATATATGAAAACAAATTTGCAGAGAGGCATATTTATGTTCATGTGTGTCTTTTTCCATTTGTCTATAACACTCTTTTTAGGCAATGTAGTTTCACTTATGCATCCAACATTCCTCAAACTTTGTTTGGGTCTTAGTGGCTGAATAATCTAAATAGTTCATCTACAGTGATTACTAACTTTTCAACTCTAAGGTTCTGAGTCTGAACCGTGTTCATGGCAAGATGCATTTGACTCTGATCTTAATTAACTAAGATTGGCAGTATTCCTGTTGAAGGTCATGGTTCTCTGTGGGTACCCGGCTTACCCCACCAATAACAACTGCCCACCATCATGTAACAAAGTGGGCTGAAAGTGGTGTATAAAAAACCAACAATCAATCAATCACTGAAATTGTTATGCTTAGTGAGGGGAGCATATACAGCCATTCAAACTAAGTAGTACCCGGTATACAGTATTGTGATGCTCTTGTTATTCTACTTGAACTGTGGTTCATTAATTTGTAAATATGTCCCAGATTCTGAATCATCCAATTTTTTCTAATTAGATATAAGAAGATGTGGTATAAGTGCCAATGAGACAACTCTCCATCCAAGTCACAATTTGTAAAAGTAAACCATTATAGGTCAAAGTACGGCCTTCAACACGGAGCTTTGGCTCACACCGAACAGCAAGCTATAAAGGGCCACAAAAAGTGTAAAATAATTCAAACAGGAAAACCAACGGTATAATCTATATTAAAAACGAGAAACGAGAAACACTTAAGAACCACATCAACAAATGACAACCACTGAAACAGGTTCCTGACTTTAGGACAGGTGCAAACAAATGCAGCGGGTAATTGTTCATTTTTAACCGTATTTTCGAAGTAAAAATCGGTTAATGATTTGGGGATGTACTGCGGGCGGGCGGCGGCCAAACAGTGTACGTTCATTTACATGAAAACGTTTTGAAGAACTTTTTTCAAATTTAGATATGTTGTTTCCTGTGACTAAATGAAGGTCAAGTTTTATTTTCAAGATTTTAGCTTTTTTTGTTGTTCAGTTATAGCCCTTTCCCAAGAATTCAATTTTTGATGAATTAATCCATTTTCTATTTTGTAGGTTGAGAAGATGGAGATAACACTACCTAATGTCCATTATTTTGCCATGGATTACAACAGATTCCCAAAGCTTAACCTAAAAGATTATAAAAACGAGGTATCATATTAACTTACTGTGATATCAATTTTAGTATATTTTGTGGATACAGGTGAACCACGAATTTGAATATTCTACGAAGTACAAATTTTCTGTAGGCTTGTATGCAAACTGTTATAAAACCATGAAATCAAATATCCACAAAAAGACCATTTTTCCTTAATCCACGAAAATTGGTACCAAAAATATATATGAATCCACAGTATGTGCAATGTCCACCAGCTCTCAGATGTTACAGACTGTATTCATTTTTGGCTGGTTTAGATTTGATAATAGTTATTTAATCTGGCATACAAAATATTTCTGGTTCTGGTTTAAGGATACTTTAAAAATTATTTGCACAATGTATGAAGTGAACATTTTGAAATGTTTGTTTTTGAAGGATATTTCTGTAATATTTAGAAAGTAGTGGAAGCAATTTGAGCAGAGAATTAAAAGAGCTTAAATTTTGCGTTAACAAAGAATGGTTTATACTTGTATGTGGGTAGGACCAGGCTAAGTTAAAGGAAATTTACTTATGATTTGTTTCAATCAGTAATATATGTACTATTTTTTTCAGTTTTTTTTAATTGTGTAAAGTTCTGTCTAGAAAATTAAAATGATAATTTGAGAATTGTAAAAAAATATATCTGCATGTAAATGAAAAGTAATATGTGGAAAGAAAGGAAAAGGAGTAATTTTTAGGGCCAAATTAGCCATAAAATCAGATATATCTTAAACTATCTCTGATTTTCAAAATCAAATGTTGAATGTATGTACTTTAATTAAATATAGCAGTTTTGGTTTAGATTGTACCCTTTTCGTCGGTTATACAGCCATAATCGGGAAATTTGGTAAATTCCATAAGATGTCTAAAATTATTTAAAATTCAACTTTTATGTTTGAATATATCAACTGATTGTCAAAAAAACAGTTGTTCTGTTTTAAAAGTAAGCCTATTTTTGAGATAGAGCAGGTTCGATTTTTTTAATTTGAATTTATTTTCTAAAAGAAATGCACTACGAAATAACTGTGTTCTCGGGCCTTATAGTATTATTTTTCCGGGTGCCTATAAAGTGCGAAAAGAAATAGAAATGAAAAGAAACGAAACGAAACGAAACGAAAAGAAACGAAAAGAAACAAAACGAAACGAAATCAACATAAAACGAATCGAAACGAAATAGGAACCAACAAAAAGAAAAGAAACGAAACGAAATAGAAATAAAATTTAAATCAGTCAAATTGAATATTAAGCCGATTATATTTATAAATAGTATTGTCTAGTTTGATACAATTTCTTTTAAAATTGGGAAAAAAAATGTGAAATTCAGAGTAATCGTTAACAAGCTGTGGTTTAGGAATTTAAACACAATATATAATATTTGATTATGAACTCTATATGTTATACTAGACAGACACGATTAGACACGGACCATTTGACTTTATTGGGGAAAGGGGGGGGGGGTCTTTTTTAGAAAAAATATCCTGGCCCTGATTTAGGTAAAACAAATTATCTGTCCAGCCAGCACTTGGATTAAAAAAAAAATAATCCAAGTTGCCCACATTTTTCCAATAGAAAAAAAAAAATCCCAAATAAATTTTCTACATTGAACAATGAAAACAATAATCTGTCCCGCGTAGCGTTCGAAAAAAAATCCCGGTCCACATGAAAAGACCAGACTCCCCCTCCCCCCAAAAAAGTCAAATGGTCCGTGCCTTAGTCGGTTTTAAACTTGGATGCTCCAGTGTACCATTAAACAGCTAGGATGACAACTGTAGGAACGTTAATTCCGAGAGGCCAGTCAGTGTTGCCTCACCCTCACGAAAAACCACAATAAGGCACATACACTAGTAATACAATATTGTATTTGTCTAAGTATTTTATGATCTTTTTTAAGTTTTGTTTTTAGATAGATTAAAAAAAGTTAATTAAAGTGATCCGTAATTTGATGTCGTTTCGTTATTTGATTTCGTTTCGTTTCGTTTCGTTTTATGTTGATTTCGTTTCGTTTTGTTTCTTTTCGTTTCGTTTCGTTTCTTTTCGTTTCTTTTCATTTCGTTTCGTTTCTTTTCGTTTCTATTTCTTTTCGCACTTTATAGGCACCCTTATTTTTCCACATATTGATAGCAACTGCCACCTTCAAACAAAAAGAATGATTAATTTGTCATGTATTTTCTAGGTATATATGCCAACAGACAAGCCATCAGGGAACATATCAGCAAGGATACAAAGATCACGATTATCAAAGCTTTAGAAATGGATTTAAATGGTTTATTCCAGACAATCTTAAGAGTCAAAATTCAAAAAAGGACCAATATTTATAGAATTTGTTATGATTTAAAATAGTATGTAATGATTTTACTTTAGATCTGAAAGTTTTAAATGTTACAAATTGAATTACCTGTATCAATATTGTGAAATTGGATTACCTGTATCTATATTGTTGAATAATTGCTTCTTATTCTTCATGCTAATGAACATTTTAAGTTTGGTAAAAGCTTTAAAGGTTTTATATCAGACAATTTACAATTTTCAGATTGTGATCAACTTACTGACAGTATTTATATTTGTTATGATGGTATATTTGTAAGAAATTGTTTTTTTTTCATATCTGAATATTTACAATTATGTTAATTTGAAATACCAATAATTATTATGTGAAAATCAATTCTTCTTACTTACAATTTTTTTGAAAACATTTTAAACCATGCTTTATCAAAAGGGTGAATGTAAAAGTAATATTTATACCATATGATATTGACCAAATGGTTATTGCAGATACTGCTTTTTTTTCAAATTTAGGGCTTTCTAGTCAAATTTGTTGCAATTTATTATCATGATTTTAAACTCTGTAGATGTATTGATATTAGAAAAGATCCACGTTGGCATACTGTAAACCAACTAATATTGCGACTTTCAGGAGTAGAAAAATAACGTGAATATAAATTGTTGCAAATTTGTAAAACTTGGATCTTTCCTTATTTAACTACTTCAAGTAAATTTGAAAATCACCAAATTAAATCACTGCGAAGTGGACTAGACAAGGGCTAAACATGAAATAAAGTATCCACGAAAATAAGTTGGTTTACAGTATTTGCAAAGATGAATATTTGTGCTATTTTTATTTGCATGAAAGTTACAGAAATAACTGGATTACTTAAATTGCTAGTTTTCCTGTATTTATTTTAGTACATTTGTAACACTTATAAAAGCAGGAAAATGGTTCTTAGAAAAACTAATTACAATAGAATGTGTATCATATGATTATACTAAAACAATATACCAGCAGCATATTATGATTATCTGCAAAATTTGATTTATTTACAGAACACAATTTACACAGATTAGACTTTTGTACTAGTCCAAAACTGTCTCATCTATGACAAGAAATTGTCAGTTTTACTTTTATTTTTATCTTGACTGCTATTTAAAGAATGTGGCAAGTGCAAGATTTAAGTGTCATTTTATATTTTACTATTACAACTTCTTATCCATTAATCGCCGCGATATAGCCGTTTTGTGCTGATGCGGCGTAAAGCAATCACTAATCAATCCATCTTATCCGTTTCAGGAAAGTACTTCAGTTCTATGTGGTGTAGGGTGCTCTCCATATGTTATGCTTCAAGGATTTTTTTAAATACTTCATATGCTTTACTTTTTTGCTTCATTTTTTTTTTGCGTAAGGAATATTTTCTCATAAAGAATCATTGATATATTGATGTTACATAGGATTATCCATGCATTAAAGGTTCAAGCAGAAAATGAGACTCTGCCCTTTAGTGATGTTTTATTGGCTTTAGAATTCTGACACTGTTTGGATATTCAATTTTGTGATAATAAGTTGATAATAACTGCAAAAAATAATTTGTTTGCAGTACACAATTAAAAATAATGTCAATGTCTTACAATAGATCTTGATATTTGATATGCTGCTACGTTAATGTGTTTGCATAATAGTTACATGCAGTATAAAAAAATTGGGACCTTTAATGCTTTTAAAGAATTATTTATGATTGACAATTGATATTTGGAGTGGATATTTTTATAAGTGATTGTATTAGATGACATCCCTTCTTATATTTGACCTAAACAGCTACTGAATGTTAAGCAGTAATATGGCATAGCATCACTGTTCTTTTATTCTTCATTTTGCTTCAAAGCAGGTGAAATACACTGCCTAAATAATTTTGAGTAGAATAAAAATGACTTAGTTAACACATTTTTGTCTCGCCTTGACAGAGTCAAAAAGCGAGACATAGGTATTTTTTTTCCGGCGTCGGCGAATGCGGCGGCGGCGTCAACAATGTATTAGTTTGTGATTAGGTCTAGTTCATGGTGAACCACTAGTGGTAGGTCAATGATATTTGGTATGCAGTTGTATTAGCATTGGCACATCTCATTTCCATGGAGATTATTTGACCCCACCCCCTCAGTCAAGGTCTATTGACTTTGAAACTTTGCTTAGTTTACATGTATTAGTTTGTGATAAGGTCAGTTTATGGGGAACCACTAGTGGTAGGTCAATGATATTTGGTATGCAGTTGTATTAGCATTGGCACATCTCATTACCATGGAGATTATTTGGCCCAACCCCCTCAGTCAAGGTCTATTGACTTTGAAACTTTGCTTAGTTTACATGTATTAGTTTGTGATTAGGTCAGTTTATTGGGGAACCACTAGTGGTAGGTCAATGATATTTGGTATGCAGTTGTTTAAGCATTGGCATATCTCATTTCCATGGAGATTATTTGGCCCTGCCCCCTCAGTCATGGTCTATTGACTTTAAAACTTTTGCTTAGTTTACATGTATTAGTTTGTGATTAGGTCAGTTTAAGGGGAACCGTTAGTAGTAGGTCAATGATAATTTGTATGCAGTTGTAGAAGCATTAGCACATCTTATTTCCATGGAGAATATTTGGTCCTTACTTCTCAGTCATGGTCTATTGACTTTGAAACTTTTGCTTAGTTTACATGTACTGTAAATTCAGAAATTATTGCGTGCATTTATTATTGCGATTTTGTCATTTTAGACTAAAATGCGATTTTAATTTTTGCGTTATTGAGAAAAATCCTGTTTAATTCATATAAAAAATTTCAAAATGCGAGTTTATATTATTGCGATTATAACCATGTCGCATTTTTCGCAATAATAAAAACATCGCAATAATTTCTGAATTTACAGTATTAGTTTGTGATTAGGTCAGTTTAAGTCAATGATATTAGGTATGCAAATGTATTGGCATTTGCAAGTTTCATTTCCATGGAGATTATATAACCCCACCCCCCTAATTATGGTTCATGGACTTTGAAACTTTTACATAGTTTACAAGTTAATGTTTGTGTTTAGGTTTGTTTAAAGGAAACGACTTATGAAAAGTCAATGGTATTTGGTTTGCAGTTGTATTAGAATTGGCACATCTCATTTCCATGGAGACTGTTTAGCCCTGTTCATTCAGTCATGGTTCATTGACTTGAATATTTGCATAACTTACATGTTAAAGTATTGTAATTTTAATTTCAACATTTGCATTATCAAAATAACAAATAGGCGAGACATATCTCTGTGTTAACAGTTTATTTACTCATCCAACCACTATCTCATGGATACTTCTTTGTAACATAAGTATATGTTTTTAATGATGTATATACTAGTCTTAATGTGCAATAAACAGAAGAGACAACATAACGAAACAAGGTATTGCAGATGAATGTCATTGATGTTGGTATGTTTACATTATACATTTATATGGCTGTTCAAGCTGACTCTGAACATTTACAAGTATTTTAAGTAGTGTAAATTCAGAAATTATAGCGACGTTTTTATTAATGTGAATAATGCGATTGAGTGAGTATCGCAATAATAAGAACTCGTATTCTGAATTTCGATACATAAATTTATATGCAAATTTTCTGGATATCGCAGTAATTAATCTCACATTTTTGTCCATTCTTCAAAAATCGCAAAAATAAATGCATGCAATAATTTCAGAATTTACAGTAGTATTATATACTTTTACAGACATGCTAAGAGACTGCCTAGTGAGTAAATTTCATGATTTTGAAAATATTCTGATTACCTGATAAACTACTCTGCATTTAAAAATACCATTGTAAGTTAAACTTTTCACAGCTTGTTCCCATGGTTACAACTTTCTAATGCCTGTAATCGATTGACAGATGCTTTAACTAAAGCTTGATACATGAGGATCTTAATGGGGTTTCCAGATAAAAAGGATTATAGGTAAAAAAAAAGAAGAAAAAAAGAGAATAATGGGGTGCTGAATTAAAAAGAATAAAGAAAAATGCCCTAATTTTTTTAATGCTGTAATGAGGACCCCATCAAGACCCTCAATTGTGTGGCTTAATAGAAAACAATTACAGATAAAAGACATGTTCAAATATTGTGTTATTTCTCTATAGAGGGATGAATAATTATATGTATATTTTTCTGAATTTACATTTCAACTTTACCCTTTTTACTAATATTACTTAAAGAATTTCATAAAAATGATCATGATATTAGACAAATGATAATATTTTTATTTAAAAGATGAGTATTAAATCCTGAAAGTTAAAGATATCATAATATTAGAAAAATGATAATATTTTTATTTAAAAGATGAGTATTAAATCCTGAAAGTTAAAGATATCATAATATTAGACAAATGATAATATTTTTATTTAAAAGACGAGTATTAAATCCTGAAAGTTAAAGATATCTCTTTTAATTACATTTGATATGATCTTTCTTTGTTTTTGTAGACATTTATATATTTGTTACGTATATTTTTATCATATTTAATGTTAACATTTGTTTAATCCATATAGAATTGATTTGTCAAATTTTCAAAATTTTTAAAGGAAGTTGGAGTACTTGAAGAGAACCACCACCCTTTGGCAGAAAAATTGGCAATCTTACCCGGTAGTCAATTAAGATCAGAGTTGAAAACACCTTGCCACATGTGGGGTTCAAACTCACAAACTCATAGCATTGACAGGCTATGAAAAAATGCTAAGATTTTTTCTTCGATGATGGAGATATGAAGTTTGACAGGAGAGTGGTTTTTCAAATTGAGATTTTTCATGATTTTTTATAATAACTGGAGAGCAGATACCTATGACTTTTTTTATATCCATTAGCTTTTCAAGAATTGGAAATTTTTCAGCTACCTCAACCTGACGTATAAGTACTTTGTCTTTTTATAAATATGCGTTCTAATCAGAGATGTGGGAACTATACATATGTGATTCATTTAAATACAATGTCTTGTATATTGTCGTAAACGAGATTATTTGTTGTTTTACAAATTACCAGAATGTATCAACTCTACAAAAGTGTATCAATATTCCAGAAGCACTATTTTACTATTAAAACTAAGTTTGATTTTTGTTTGTTTGTTATCAATGGATATCTTATAACGTCATCTATCATTATTACTTAAACCACTAATCCAAAACCTTTCAGAACTTTGAGATTTTGTGCACATTGGAATGGTTTGAAGTTTTAGATAGATTAGATAACTAAAGGTCATTTATTTAAATATCAAAATAGAGATACGAATTTGGTTTTGGGTGTTATAATTTGATTGGCTCATTTGACTCAAAGGTGCTGTGTGAGCCATTAACATCACTTGGTACTTATCAACAGTTCAAATGTCCATACTTCTGTCAACTCCTGAGCTTTTTAATAATTGTTAAATACATGGCCAATTTTAATAAAACTAACAAGAATAATTATGGAAAGTCTTTTATAAATTTCCTCATTTCATTTAGATTAGACAATTCCATATAGATTAGACAAAAAAAGGTAGGGCAAGTCTTGAATCTGATTGGTCAATGTTCATATTTATGCCCCCGCCGTAGCGGTGGGGGCATTAAGTTTTACCCTTTTCCGTCTGTACGTATGTACGTCCCAAAATTGGTTTCCGTTCTCTAACTTGAGTTTGCCTCAACCAAATGTTATGAAACTTATACACAATGCTTATTACCACAAAACACAGATCAAGTTTGAATTTTGGTGGCATCACTTTAACCATTCTAGAGTTATGCCCCTTTATAAATGGAAAAATTGCAAAATCTCTAGTTTCTGTTCTCTAACTTAAGTTTGCCTCAACCAAATTTTATGAAACTTATACACAATGCTTATAACCATAAAACACAGATCAAGTATGAATTTTGGTGGCATCACTTTAACCGTTCTAGAGTTGTGCCCCTTTATAAATGGAAAAATTGCAAAATTTTTATTTTCTTCTAAATATCAAGTAATTTTTAAAATTGGAGTTATCTTCCTTTGTCCATGATTATAGTTGAATCAACTACAATCAATGCTTTATACAATGCAATGTTTAATTTTGACTTCCACTGATAAAACACAGATCAAGTTGAATTTGGGTAGTGTCACTTTAACCATTATTGAGTTATGCCCCTTTATAAATCAAAAGATTGCAAAATTTTTAGTTTCCATTCTGTAACTTAAGTTTGCCCCAACCAAACATTATGAAACCTATACACAATATTCATTACCACAAAACTAAGATCAAGTACAAATTTTTTGTTTCCGTTTTCTAACTTTAGTTTGCCTCAACCAAATGTTATGAAACTTATACACAATGCTTGTTACTACATAATGCAGATTAAGTACAAAATTTGGTGGCGACACTTTTACCATTCTTGAGTTTGTCCCTTTATAAACATAACAATTGCTGAATTTTTCGTTTCCATTCTCTAACTTTAGTTTGTCTCAACCAAATGTTATAAAACTTATACACAACCGTTCTAGAGTTATGCGTGTTTACAAATAGAAAAATTGCTGAATTTTTAGTTTCTGTTCTCTACTTAAGTTATCCTCAACCAAATGTTATGGGACTTACACACAATGCTTATTACTACAAAACTCAGATCAAATTCAATTTTGGGTAGCACCACTTTTACCGTTCTTCAGTTATGTCCCTTTATAACTATATGATATGCAAGCGGGGGCATCATCTGTGGACACATGTGGACACTATCCACATTTATTTCTGAAACTATTGAGCTAGATTTGTTCAAACTGCATAGGAGTTATATTTGAGAGAAACTTTTAAAAAAGTTTCCCAACTTTGTGCAGATTGGGAGGCATATATGACAGTAATGATGCCACATAGGTTATATCCTTGGCAATCAAATATTCTGCTTTGAGAGTTCCTGATGATGGTTAATCCAGAAAAGCGCTTCAGACGCATAAAATGTATAACGTGTTGTTTTCATTTTTTACAGTTGTACTGTAATTATTACTTTCTGGGCCAACCTATCTCCATCAAACTTGCCGGAAATAATGTATGGAAATACAGTGTATCTCATTTGTTTTAAACAATGCCAAAAGCATGACAAAATACAATTATTAAATTTGGTTGGTTTATTTGGTTTTTTATACGACCGCAAAAAATTTTTGGGGTTCGTATAATGCTATGATGTCGTCGTTGTCGTCGTTTGAAGACACATTTGGTTTCCGGACAATAACTTTAGTTTAAGTGAATGGATCTCTATAACATTTTACAAGTAGGTTCAATACCACAAAAGGAAGGTTGGGATTGATTTTGGGGGTTATGGTACCAACAGTTTAGGAATTAGTGGTCAAAAAGGGGCCAAAAACAAGCATTATTGTAGTTTCTGGACAATAACTTATGTGTAAGTGTATGGATCTCTCTGAAATTGTACCACTATGTTCCATATCACAAAGGGATAGCTGGAATTGAGTTTGGGGGTAATTGCCCCAAACATACAGGAATTAGGGGCAAAAAACAAGCATTTTTCTAGTTTCCAGACAATAACTTGTGTTTTAGTGAATGGATCTCTCTAAAATTGTACTACAAGGTTCCATACCACAAAGGAAAGGCTGGGATTGAGTTTGGGGGTAATTGCTCCAAGGGGGGGGGGGGGGTAAAAAAGTTTGGGGGGGATTTTTTTAAGGGGTTCATATTTTTTTTCAAAATTTTTCAAATTTCAAATTTTTTGAAAAGTTCCAAGAAGAAATCTTCAATTAAACAGTAATGTGCAATAGATTTTTAAGATCTTTGACCACATTTATTTTGTGTCAGAAACCTATATTATGTCAAAAATTTGATAACAATCTAAATTCAGACAGTATCAAGCTTGAATATTGTGTCCAAATTTGCCCCAACTGTTCAGGGTTCGACCTCTGCGGTCGTATCAGGCTGCGCTCAGCGAAGCATTTTATTTTAAATTGGTAAAATTCTTGTGAAGAATCATATTTAAGTGGTATATATGGCAGAAAAGATACCACATTGGTTCAAAAGAAACCTATTGACAAAAATTATAGTTTCATTTTCTTGTCTAAAAATTTATAATTTATTGGGACAAACTTGACAGAGTATGAGTTATGCAAGAAATACTTAAAAAAGGAAAACAAGAATCACATAAGATATAGGACAAAACAACAGATCACATCTACCACCAACCCACAACTCCTCTGAAAAAATAAACGTACAAACCAAGACAAAAAACAAGGAACATTGTCCAATAAGCTAGTATGTTTTATAAAATCCCTATTTTATTCTGATCTAATACAAACACCAGACAAATAATTAATTAATTTTGAATGGTAAATTCTTAACTATTTTTATACCTTGTATACAAGAGGCTTATGTTACTAAGATTTTGTCAGTCATATGTCCATCGTCCTAGAACTCATTTTCATGGTTCAGTGACTGCTTAAATAAAGTACAATTTTTATGTCATAGATTTTCTCACTTATATTGAGTAATACGTAGGATAACTATATTTGGTATATGGGTTCTTTGCGAGGTCTAAATGTCTGTCAGACAGGTTTCACCTTACCCTTGCCTCATTTCTTGGATCAGTTATTAAGTAAGGTTATAATAACATTTGTGACGGTGGTCACTTTGTTTACTTGTTTAAGTTGTTACGTTTATTATATTGGGGAAATTGGTTAAAGTTAGCATTATTTATAGTTCCACAAATATTTGTCCCGAGACCGGCCACGTAAATTCTCATCGGGTTACTTCCTGTTCTTGCACGTGCCTGATGTCCCGACCGGGCTCGTTGTCCCTAGGAACTATACATATGACGTCACTCACCGGGTCTTTGGGCAGTCTACGAGAGGATTTGAAATGAGCAGACGCTCATACTTTGGCTCGTACATTTTAGACAACATGTAGACTAGCTACCACCGTACTTTTGTATCTTTTTATATGTCATTATTGTATGACTTATATATTTCAACCATGTATTTATTCAAATAAACATTCTGTTTATATCGTAGTTTGTCCAATATCCCAGAACTTGGGTTAGACAACGGGAAGACAGCGAAGCCAGAAGGAAACTCCACTCCCGTTACATTGGGGGCTCGTCCGAGGGATATTTCAGGACAACATTTTATACAAACATTTTGTTTGTGCAGAAATTTCCACAATATGGTTGGAATTAAATGGATTTTTGAATCCCTAGGGCTAGGAGGCAAACTCAGACAGTTTATTGTCTATATTCTTGTCATTTCTCAAATTGCTGCCGTTCCTGTAAGGATCAGTACGGAATTAAATATTGTTTCATACAATAAAATGAATGAATATCACTTACCTTCATATTATGTTTATGTAAATCCAGATGGAAAAATTGAATTTGGACCACAAAGTGAACATTTTGTTCACGTTCCCAGTATCACACGTTATGTGCATTTCAAAGGAAAACAAACACCACACGTGTTTAGAGATGAACAAAGAAAATTCACTAATTTAAGAGTATTTGATCGTCATCAAAAGCCAAGTACATCTTTGCTAAATTCAGGAAGTCGGCGATGCATTTTTACGCCATGTTTACAAAATGACGTCATATTTAAGACGTCAAAGCACATGACATCTCTGGAATGTTAATTGGAAGTAATCATTGTCATTTCAATGTCATAATTAAAACACTGTTTTGTAGAATTTTAATATTGGATCTGCTGATTTTAACTGTTACCATTTTGGATTTATATTGAAGTAAGTTTTGTACTTGTATTCTGTCCGTTTTGTCTGTTATTCCTGTCTTCACATATTGTGGATTTAAAAAGCATATCTTGTGCTTGTTTCTCAAAGTTCGAAAGGAAAGGGGTACGGTTTCTCATGTTTTCAGTCGTTGTTGTACGTGGAATTGTGGTCATAGATATACATTTTATACTGGAAATTTGTCCGGTTTATATATTTTCAGTTTAATTGCAAATAATTCTGTTTGCTTTGACTGTTTGTGGAGAGAATACTGAACATTTTCAGTTTTTAGCTAATTAAATGCCTTCAGAGGTAGAAATTGTGGAGTTAGTCAGTATTTAGGATAAATGTATGACAATTTTGTCATACAGCTGGAATAGGGTAGTCTTATACGAGTTGTGACTAGAATAAAGATAATAGAAGAACGTACACTCATTATCTTAGCTGTTGTTGGAAGCTGCTTTCGGTGGTGTATACATAGAGGCAATTTTGGAAATACCTTAGGTGCTAGAGAATGGCGCGAGAATAGGTATATATGTTGCGTATACATTTTTATTGTAAACCTTAATTGGTTCACCATGGGTATGTTGTCCACATGGCTATGGATATTGTTTTGGGGATTATTGGAATCCAAGGCATGATTTATGATATAATAGCACAATTGTTTTATATATGATATTGTATAATTCTTGATATAATTTAATAAACAAACAATCAGTTTGTATGGATTCCATTATCGAAATGTGTATAATATATATGTTTATAATAATACCATGGGCATATTAATAGTGCTTTCGGTGACATATATATTTACGTATTGGGGCACCCGATCTTTGGTGCAGTGCACGTGTATAAGGACTTTTATAGACTCTTGGTGAGTCAGGACTTTATAAGAAGAATTGGCTTCTTTTGATTTATTCCAGTGTCTGACAAAATATCGGAGGTTAAACTGAAATTATTTCAGTGTGTTGATAGCTGGCTACAGTGGAAAAAAATGGAAATGTATATTGGCTTTTTGCCGATTATTTGAAACATAAACGATACTTATAACCACATGCAATTACCGTTCAGTTTTGGAACTGCCACCTTGGATTTTGATGTTTTATATATAGATGTTATAGATGATCTATACCTTAAATGGATGCCATAGATACTTTACCTACCTGGAACCTTGACAAGATGTGTGTTTGGATGCTTGAACTTTATTTCTTCCATGATGATGTCCTGTGAGATGTATTTGTGACTGAACTTTTAATTTATAATCTTGAATTGATTATTAAGTGACAGTAACAGTAAATTCATTGTTTTATTGATTAACTAATATGTATTGTATTTAGGTAAGTATATCTCACCGATCTTTGGACTAATGTGTGGGCACATTAGATCTTAAGTGAGGGAGAGTGTGACGGTGGTCACTTTGTTTACTTGTTACGTTTATTATATTGGGGAAATTGGTTAAAGTTAGCATTATTTATAGTTCCACAAATATTTGTCCCGAGACCGGCCACGTAAATTCTCATCGGGTTACTTCCTGTTCTTGCACGTGCCTGATGTCCCGACCGGGCTCGTTGTCCCTAGGAACTATACATATGACGTCACTCACCGGGTCTTTGGGCAGTCTACGAGAGGATTTGAAATGAGCAGACGCTCATACTTTGGCTCGTACATTTTAGACAACATGTAGACTAGCTACCACCGTACTTTTGTATCTTTTTATATGTCATTATTGTATGACTTATATATTTCAACCATGTATTTATTCAAATAAACATTCTGTTTATATCGTAGTTTGTCCAATATCCCAGAACTTGGGTTAGACAACGGGAAGACAGCGAAGCCAGAAGGAAACTCCACTCCCGTTACACATTATTAGGTTTGTTTCTTATATATATACTCTAAGCAGTAGGTCAACTATATGTGGTAATGGAATTATTTTAAGATGTGCAAGTCAGTTTTGCAGGTTTCATCTGACATTGACCTCATTTTCATGCTTCATTGATCAATGTTAAGTTTTTGAATTTTGGTTATTTTCAAATACTCAATAATTAGCAATGGGTCAACTTTATTTGGTGTATGGAAGGATTGCAAGGTGTATAAGACTGTATCTTGTCTATATCATCAGACTGTCCTTGACCTCATTTTCATGGTTAATTGGTCTAGGTTTAGTTTTATACTGATTAAGTCTGTTTCTTAGCTACTATATTAAGCAATAGGTCAAATGTATTAGGTGCACAAGAATAATTGTAAGGCATACATGTCTGTCTGGCATGTATTTTCTGACCTATAACTCATTTATATGGTTCATTAGTCAATGTTTAGATTTCATGGTGTGGTCTATTTCTTGGGTACTATAAGCAATAGGTCAACAATATTTGGTGTAATTGGAATGATTGTAAGGTGTACATGACTGTCTGGTAGGGTTTATCTGACCTTGACCTCATTGTCAATTTTTTTTTATCAATGGGTTCACGTAAATGCAGATACACTATTGTATTAGTTTTATTTCAAATTTTTATTCTATTTCAAGACGTTGTGGTTTTTGAAAATGTACGTCGCTTGCTATTTTTTTCTCAATGTTTTATGTGTCATTGGTGAGATCATAAGTCTATACTACGTTTTAAAAGGGCGATGCTGTAGTATAATAATGTAAGGGCTAAATTGACATTGAAGAGAAAAATGTCCAGTGCCGTTGCGAATAAGGGAGAAGAAAAACCGCTGGACTGTTCGACAAGAGATGCGATTGCTGATGGATTGGTTGATTTGTTGAAGCCATCGGTTGAAGAAGTTGATAGTCGTGTGAAAACTGTCAGGTGATTTATATAGACCATAAATTCACTTTTAAGTGGGCGTTTCGACTAGTTTCTGCAGAGTATCTTTAAATAAACAGGCCTGTCATAATATATGTATATAATGTATCTGCAGTTTGGGCCTATACAGTTTATCTCTTAATCTTAATAAGACGTTGGAGCAATCTTTTCTTTATATTGCATGTCAAAAGTATTGAGAAAATTCTAACTGACTCTTTCAAAAGTCCTTGTTGCACAGGGGCTTGTTTAGTGGGTCAGATGTCTGAGATGAGGTTTTACCATGTTTACTGTCAATGGCGGTCGCTATCCTATATAAAATACAATAAAGGATAGTGACCGTCATAACATTTAATCCTACTATCATTTTTGTTTCATATTTTTATGCAAACTTGAGACATACACCTTATTGCTATTCCTGCTTGACCCGAGAAACTGTCCCGCTTGAACTTTTGATGTCATACAACAATCACTTTTCCATTGTGGCGTCAGATATTTTCTATTATGACGTCAAAATTGTACGGGAACTTTTGTGATGTCCAGTAATGGCGGACAAATAGCGATAAGGTGTATTAAAGTTGAGAATCAAAATATAGAAAAACATTCAGCACTATTTTTATCAGAAACAAACTGTTCAATTAACATGAATAAGTTAAAAAATTTAATGTGAGATTATCGATCACAATAAATATATGTAAAAAAATGTTGTTAGACTGAAAGTGCACTGTTCTGAGACCATCCCTTGTAAGACTGTTCTTTTTAGTTCTCTGGTCAATTGTTTCTTATTTGTATATAATTATATGTGCGAAAACATATCCATCCTCATTCAGATGGTAAGTCAAATATATAAAGATGAAAACAGGGGTCTCACTAATTAGCGACAAGAAGTGACAAGAAGAATAATTAAGCGAAAAGAAGACTAATTTAACGACAAGAAAACAATTTTAGTATAAAAAAATCTAAATAATAATAATTTCAAATAAATAGATATAGAAACATACATGTACATTACCATGTGTTGTTTTTTTTAATATACATGTATTTTCATTATTTCATAATACTGATAAAAAAATTAAACTTTTGTTCAAGAAAAGAAGTTTTTATCAAGGATATGTTTATGATATCACATTTACAGTTTACAGTATAGTGTATAATAGATAAATGAATAAATATTTATGTAGACATGGTAGAGTCTGCATGATCATGATGATTGATATATCAAGGTTCAAACCAAATTATAAGATAATTTACTTGATTTGTTTCAGACTCAAAAGGTCCATACATATATCAAAATATTTACATTCTTAATTAAAGTTAAAAATTATAAGATATGCATGAGTGTTTGAAAAAGGGGAGGGGGAGAGTAATTTCTTTTTCTTATCCTATTCTTTAATTTATTAGGCAAAATAAAAAAGTTTTTTTCTTCTTTAAAAAACATGACAAGACTCTAGTGCTTCTAGTTACTAAATACAACAAAATTTTAAACTTTATAAAACAAGTAATCAACTGTAATTAATTGACTTTTTCTATAAATTTATTTCTATATTTCTACAATATGACAATTCTATAATCTTAATAGTATATCAACTTTCTTATCGCTAAAGGTGTCTTCTTGTGGATATTTTTGTCTTCTTGTTGCTTCTTGTCGCTATTTAGTGAGACTGGAAAACAGTATTTAATAAATATTTAGGTGAGATAGGTGGTATTTTAATGTGTTCATTGGTGTTAGGTGGTGAAAAGTACTACAGAGAAAAGAACCGTATATCAGATTTTTTTGCGTGTGTTTAATTTTTGCTTTGCGGCAGCTAAAGAAACGCGAAAATTTGACCCCACATAAATTTCCCTGCATATTCCAAGATTTATCTTTGTTTGAAAGTTTCATACATTAAACTATTTATTATGGAGTTTTTAATATTGTTCGAAAGATCACAAGAATGAGCATACTTAATTAAGATCTCTGTTTTCATAATAATTAAATTGACTATATATATATTATAAACTTGTTCATTTTTGTATTTTATAAATACATATATGTGATAAATCATGGTCAGTACATGTAGTTATATTGATTGATTCATGAATTATTTAGATATAAGAAGATGTGGTATGAGTGCTAATGAGACAACTCTCCACCCAAGTCAAAATTTATAAAAGTAAACCATTATAGGTCACAGTACGGTCTTCAACACGGAGCCTTGGCTCACACCGAACAGTAAGCTATAAAGGGCCCCAAAAAATTACTAGTGTAAAACCATTCAAAAGGGAAAACCAACGGTCTAATCTATATAAAAAACGAGAAACGAGAAACACTTATAAACCACATCAACAAACGACAACTACTGAACATCAGATTCCTGACTTAGGACAGGTGCAAACAAATGCAGCGGGGTTTAAACGTTTTAATGGTACCAAACCTTCACCCTTTTTCTGAAACAATAGTGTAACATCACAACATAGAAAGACACACTATAAAATATCAACTGAAATATTTGTTTGTTTCAGAGAGAGCCAGATTGAACTGAGACAGCAGATTGATCTAGTGGCTGAAGGTACAATGTTTTTCATGCAGCTTCATCACTTAAACAAATACCCTACTGTCATAACTGTGTGTTCAAATTCCTCCAAAAAAGTGTTTGGTTGAGATTTGGAATAGCTGAGGGTCTGGATGGGGTTCTCCATTTCTGTATTCTTTAAATTTTTCAGCCATTTTTCTCTGTTCTTTATGATTTTTGCCCATTATTCTCTATTCTTTATATTTTAGCACTTCATTTTTCTCTATTCTTTATATTTTTTGCCCATTATTCTCTTTTCTGTAAACCCCAATCCACACCCTCATAGCTTTGTCATAGATAATCACAGATATGTTCCACTTGTCAAATCCTCAATCCTGTCCTTTTTTCCTCAATTTTTACATCATCAATTGTGACTTATCACCAAATTTTTACTTGCAATGAGTAACATGAGAGATGCTACTAGCTACTACCCTTCTGCAGCACCATGTTCAAACCTAGTTTAGTTCATGATGCTTTTGCTTTAGTTTTCAGTGTTGAATAGATTTCTTTTATATTTTTAATGTCTGTGTTGTTTCTTATCTATCAGAAATAGTTTTGTCTATAGTTCAGCTGTTGGTCCTGGAAAACTTTATGTTAATTTGTGTGAAATATATTTTGACCAAAATCTATGTGTGAAATGGCCATTTAAGGTCAAATTTGTAAATTTCAACTTGTTTATAAGGTCCAAGTGACATCACAACTTGTCAAGTGACTTTTCTGCATTAAAGTTTCAAGATTAAGCAACTGATTCATTTATCAATTTATTTTTACTCCTCCTTAGACAAGGACATCACATACAATGCAGTTCAGACCATCAGCCAAGTTTTCATAAAAAATAAATTTACTATTTTTGCAAATCCAGGGGCCAAATACTGGCTCTTATCATAAATTGTTCCTTCTCCTTAGACAAGGACATCAAAATGCATTACAAATCATTGATAAGATTCTGACTTAGGACAGACAATGCTTTCCCTAAAGGGTTTAGTCATAGTATTATTTAGATTGGTAATGACTACTTTAAACTATTTATGATAAGCAGTTACAATGTTTTTTTATTAAAATTTTATATAAAAAATACTTTTTAGTAATGTGATTTTGCTTGAAGAAATATAGATAATTCAATCTCATTCACTTTTTTAGTTTAAAATATGTTTATTCTAAAAATTCCGCTCAAGCTGGTGCTAGGGGCTGTCTTAAACTTGTAGTGAGGTGAAAGTTTTCTTGCTCCGTTTTGAAGGCAGCGCTGTGACTTTGAGATGAAGAACAGTGCTGTTCCTTTGCTTTTCGTGTTTTTTTTTTGCTGTGCATGTACTGATTTTGTGTCATGTATGGATACCCTTAATCTTTTTTTTTTCTATTATTTTCAGATTTAAAGAAAATAGCCGAGCTTCAAGGAATTCCAATAGATCTCGAACCCTATGTGAAAAAACTCAACAATTCCAGAAGAAGAGTCATGTTAGTGAATAATATATTACAGAATTCACAGGTATCACACTTAATTATATTGAATAGCAGTTATGTTAGTGAATAATATATTACAGAATTCACAGGTATCACACTTAATTATATTGAATAGCAGTTAAACTGTTATGTTAGTGAATAATATATTACAGAATTCACAGGTATCACACTTAATTATATTGAATAGCATCACTTCCAAATGTGTGTGAACTTAAAAAGAAATTTGCTGTATGAATTTCTCTATTAAAGATACCTTCTAGATCTATGCTTGTCAAAATAAATTGAATATTCATATCGTTTTGTTTTTCACCTGCCATTTAGAGACTTAATGTTTTTTCTCAAGAAATTTAAGTCAATTTATTTAAAATAATATGCTCCCTCCCCAATAGATGATTGGATAGTGTCTCATTATGGTACATAAGGTAATTAATATTAAAAATCTTTCTTGCTGTAATTTATTAGGGTCTTGATTGAGGGGTATTCATATCTGTATTTTATATTAAAAATCTTTCTTGCTGTAATTTATTAAGGTTTTGATTGAGGGGTCTTCATATCTGTAATTGATATTAAAAATCCTTCTTGCTGTAATTTATTAGGGTCTTGATTGAGGGGTTTTCATATCTGTATTCTTTATAAAAATCAATTTTCAAGGCTATTTTTCTGTATTCTTTGTTTTTTTTTTGTGTGTGTCCATTATTCTCTTTTCTTTGTACCCATATTTTAGCAACCCCATTGCATTCTCTGGTCTTTAGTTCATTGCTCATTTTTTCTCAAATTTTTTCTAGACCCTCATTTATAAGGTAATTGATGGTTATCGAAGGTTATGATTGATTTGAGATCCTATCATTAGTTACCATCAGAAAAGTGAGAACACACTGAAAATCAGTACTGCCTCAGGGGTCTTGTGGTAGCATGTTCGCCTCGACCGGGTCAAACCAAAGACTTTAAAATTGGTATTTGCTGCTTTTCAGCTTAGCATGTGGGATTAAGGAGTAAGAGCAAAGACTGGTTGGCTCAGCGTCAGAATAATGTGTCCTGGTAAGGTGATATGTCTTCCTGCAGACTGTTACCTTGTGAACTAGCATGTTAAAAATCCGTCTCAGCGTGTCCGTCTAGTACAAAGCAGGGTTAATATTTATATTACATTAACATGTTCTAGTCCTGAATATGCATATTAATTTGCCGCTGGACATTAAGCAGCCTTCCATCATCATCATCTGAAAATCAGTCCTGATTGAATCACCAACAATGACCTGTATTCATTGTATAATTGCACCTACAAAAGAGTATACAGTGTTGTATCCAAAAGTTTGTGGTCTACTGGATGTTGTGATTTTCTTGACAGTAGTACTGACTGCTACTGCCTTTAGAAATTGTACATAAGTATGAAAAAAAAACCATTTATCTCATGCAAATAAAATAACTCTGTTTAGCAGATTTTTAGGCATTTCAATTTTACATAGAACATGGGTAAAATTATTTTTACAGAGAAATAAAAAAATTTAAAGTGTGGTGGGAGAAAATTAAAGTCCCTAGGATGAGTAAAAATTGTTATACTATATGCTAGTATTTTTATGTAACTAAAGTTTTATACATTTTTTGTGGTTTCAGGATCGTCTAAACAAACTGTATTCGAATGTTTCTAAAGAGACAGCAAAACAGAAAGCATTAGTTGATCCACAGACCAAATGAACAAGGACGACAGAAGTGATGCAAACAATGATCAGATGAAATTCTATGGATATGTCAGTTGTTATAGTTGAATTTTAGAGGCCATGTTCAAGCTTTATAAATATGTCTGTATTTGAGGGGACTTAAGGGGAGATAATTTGAAAATTTTTATACAGAGGTTTATTTCGCAAGCTTTGTGCATTAAATGGATATTTGAACACTGCCATTCATAAGCAGTTATATGCTGTAAAGAGTGGCCACTAAGACAATTTTACTGGCATTATTTTTAAATAATTATACATTTTGTTTGTAAATTAGTTCATAAATTATGTAATTGTACTAAAGCTCTCTGGCAAAGATGACTCAGACATTTTTGGCTGTTTTCATTCGCCCATTTTGATTTTAAAGTACTCAACTTTTTTACCCTAATCAAGATTACTGTGGATTCATTTATTTCCTTAAATACCAATTTTCGTAGATTGAGAAAAACTTGTCATTTTGTGGATATTTGGTTTCATGTCTTTGTTAAAGTCTGTACAAAAGCCTTTAGAAAATATGTACTTCGTTGAACTTTTAAATTCTTGGTTTACCCAGACCCACGAAATCCACAAAAATGTGTATCCCACAAATAATGAATCCACAGTATTCTAGTAGCAAATGTTAAGGAATTATACTTTTTCATTATGTTATGTGAATACCAATAATAGTGCTTGAAATAAGTTGTTGAAGTATTTATGATTTCAAATTGGTTTTTAAGTATTTATGTTTGAATTGAGAATACTCATATTAATGATTTTGAAAATTGCATGTTGGAACAAATTTATCATTTTATTTAGGAAAATATATACAATTGATTGGTAGAAGTTGACCTCTAGGTGTTTTTTTTGTAATCCTGTGTTGTTAGGTTGCTGTTGACATTAACCACACACTTCCTTTTGTTTATAAAAAGTCTTTCTGACCATTTGCATACCTTCCCTTCTGGACAGCAAAATAATTCATTTTGCCATATTTTTTTTTACAATACAATTTAAAGTGATTGAATTGAATGATTTGCAGGAATTTATATTGTTTTGCCATCTGAAAGTGCAAAATTTCAGATAACAAGTAAGAGTTAGTATATGAGGAACTGGATGGGGATCCATCTTTTGTTTATTATTTAATTTTTTAAACCATTTTTCTATATTCTTTATTTATTTTGCCTATTATTCTCTATTCTTTATATTTTAGCACTCCATTATTCTCTATTCTTTTTTTTTGCCCTTTATTCTGCACATTTTGGCCATTATTCTGCACATTTTGGCCACTATTCTCTTCTGTAAACTTTCCAGACCCTCATATATTTGAATCATTAAAACATGCAATTACATTTTTTCTTTTGATTCATTTTATCATGATACTCAAATACTTAACCTCACTCCATGAATGAATTAATAGAAGTAGGAAATTTGTTCCAAATTACAAACAATCTAATAAAGATTAGTTTTTTTGCACTGAATTAGCCATATTCCAAAATTTTATCCCAGAATCATGACTTTGACTCGCACATTGAATTGATTTATGTTGTTTCCCGTAATGGAGGGCCTCAATGAGAATGAAGATAAAAAGCAAAAAGAAAATTGATTTGAAACTTATTTTCAATTGTTTTTTTGTGACTAATGGCAACATAACTAATAATTTCAACACAAGTTTGACATGTAAGAATTTATTTGGTTATGCCAACCTGAAAATACTTCCTTGGAATGAGAGAAAGAAAATTTTTGAACATGCTGAAATTGGATTTAAACAGAAAACGCCAAATTTGAAGAAATGAGGAAAAGTTGGGTCTGGAACTGCAGTTTGAAATTTTATGCTTATACAAGGCCATTCCAAATTAATTATTTGTTTGTTAATTTTTGGTGATTTCTTTTTAATAGAATTGAATTCTGTTTGCTTCTTATTTGTACTATCTTCACTAATTTTTAATAAACTTTGGTAATAAAAGGTATTCTTTACTTCAAATTTAAAAAAGATGTTTTTAAAATACTTCATTTTCTCAACATATTTTAAGCATCTCATCAAGTACATTTGTTTATTAATTGAGAATAAAAACCCTGAAAAATATCACTTGGTCCCCCCTGTTGAGTAGAAAAAATCTGAATAACAAAAACATATTTGGTGTGACCCTATTGGAATGACCAAAAAAGGCAGTATGTCAAGACAGACTATTTATTGCAAACCAAATGAAACTTTTCCACAGATTCATCTATTGGTCAATCTATTTAAACTTTTGTCAGTTTTATTGTCCCATTGAATAAATACAAAATCAGTGAGTGATGGATTTCTCTTAGAAGAAATTTAAAGGTCCCAGTGAATAAACTACACAGAGAAATATAGCTATTTTATCCTGCAATTGGGTGTCATACATTTACAGCCCAACAGATATTGCTTTAGAGCTCCCCCCACTGCCGGACTACGTTTGTGTATTGCTGTTGACGGGTGTTGTATGCATGACCTCAGAATGTGTATTGCAGTCGCATTCCAATGACGTACTGCTTGACCTGATGCGAACTATAGATTAATTTACGTTCTGTTTGTTTTCAAGCATTTCTTTAGAGCAATATGAATTCAACCCATTTTCTGCTAACAGACAAACAGGAACAGCAGGATAAACTCCATTTTCTACGGCACCAAACATCGAGTTCAAAACTTGAATGTGTACATTTGTAACACACAAAATCAACCATGCAACAATGTCAATTTCAGCATGTTCAGTGAATGTCAAGTTCAGTTCAAAATTCTGAAGCATAGGACAAACCATACACTTTTGTTTTATATCGAACAATGTTTTGTTATTTATTTTTACTGTTGAAATTAGTTGTTATGTTATAATGAATAATTATTTACTTTGAGTGATGTATTATTGTTGACCATTCGAGATTCTTTTCTGCGAAACCCATCTTCAGCTGAATGTGTGATTTTAATATTACTACACGGGCCTCACAGGATTTTAAATTAAAAATAAATACAATAAATGTGAGTTTTTCTGTCTTTCAAAGCAAAAACCAATATACAAAATAAATTGCAGGATAAAGACAATAACTGTTTAGTGTCTTTAAATATCAGCTGTATTTGTACTCGTCCCAAAACAGGAGTAATAGCTTGCTGAAGCTCGCATTACACCTGTTTCTCAGCCTCGTACAGATACAGCTGATATTTAAAGACACTAAACAGTTATTGTCTATGTATTTATTCAATGGGACAATAGAACAGACATAAGTTTAAACAGATTGACCAATAGGAGATGAATCTGTGGAAAAGTTTTCATTTGGTTTGCAATAATGACATATTATACAAGGTATTTCAACCTATAATTTTCTTTGGTTAATTTATTGTTATTGATATATTGTTAATTTGTTGTATATTTATCATATTATATTAATATTACATAGTATGATTTTCTAATTACATGTGCAATAAAAAATAAAATAAAAACCATTATCTTCAGTTTGTAATTTGAAAATACTATCTGAAATATATTTATAAGGTACCGAGTGTTCATTTATGGCATTTGATAAAAATTAAGTTTTTTTCTGACATCCTTATATTTATTCACATTGTGTGCGATTTTCATTTTCTTTTGGCGGAGTGGTAGTTCTGTTGTATTTGATATCATTTACCATTTATCAAGTTATTTCCATGTCAGGGTTTTCAGAGCTGTTCTTAAGGTAAAAGGGAACAGTAAATGGGCTATGTCAGATTTTGCTAAAATTTTGCATACAACTTTGGCTTGTTGAACTATAACTGAACATCGAAAAAAATAATGCATTTATCTCTTTTATGAAATATTACTGCCTGAATTCTTTCAAAACAGGTGACCATTGGTATAGAAAGCACATAAAATCGGCAAAAAACCTTCTTAAATTTGTCTTAAATCATCAAATCTCTCAATTTCTAATTCATAGATTTTTCTTAAACAAGAGTGCACATGCTGAAATGTCTCGCCTTCTTTACTAATCATTGATATTATGTTGATAGTCCTAAATTTAAGCTTTATTACAACTGTCACATAAACTTAACATTAACCAAGTAAACTAAACATTGACCAATGAACCATGAAAATGAGGTCAATGTCAGATGAACCATGCTAGGCAGGCATGTACAGCTAACAATTCTACCATACAACAAATATAGTTGACCTATTGCTTATAGTTTAAGAAAAACAGACCAAAACACAAAAATTTAACACTGAGCAATGAACCTTGAAAACGAGGTCAAGGTCGAATAAAACTTGCATGACTGACATATAGATCATAAAATATTTCCATACACCAAATATAGTTGAACTATTGCATATAGTATTAGAAAAAAAGACCAAAACTCAAAAACTTAACTTTTACCACTGAACCATGAAAATGAGGTCAAGGTCAGATGACACCTGCCCGCTAGACATGTACACCTTACAATCATTCCATACACCAAATATAGTAGACCTATTGCATACAGTATAAGAAAAACAGACCAAAACACAAAAACTTAACTATAACCACTGAACCATGAAAATGAGGTCAAGGTCAGATGACACCTGCCAGTTGGACATGTACACCTTACAGTCCTTCCATACACCGAATATTCTAGACCTATTGCTTATAGTATCTGAGATATGGACTTGACCACCAAAACTTAACCTTGTTCACTGATCCATGAAATGAGGTCGAGGTCAAGTGAAAACTGTCTGACGGGCATGAGGACCTTGCAAGGTACGCACATACCAAATATAGTTATCCTATTACTTATAAAAAGAGAGAATTTAACATTACAAAAAATCTTAACTTTTTTTTCAAGTAGTCACTGAACCATGAAAATGAGGTCAAGGACATTGGACATGTAACTGACGGAAACTTCGTAACATGAGGCATCCATATACAAAGTATGAAGCATCCAGATCTTCCACCCTCTAAAATATAAAGCTTTTAAGAAGTTAGCTAACGCCGCCGCTGCCGCCGGATCACTATCCCTATGTCGAGCTTTCTGCGGCAAAAGTCGCAGGCTCGACAAAAACTAAAATCCAAGAATTTAAGAACCCACAAACACGCAACTTTTGTTCAAACCACGAAAATTGGTATGGATGAATAAAAGTACTTTCACAGTAGTATGTTCATTGATTTCTGAAATTTGCATAGCTCTTGCTTTATTTATGATGTAATTGGAATGGAAATAATATCAGACAGGTGCTACCTGATGAGCTCCTGAAGGTTTTTGGTACATGTTTGTTTTACTTATGATCATACTTTTCAGTATTCAGATATTCAAATTTAAATTCAAACTTTTTTTTCAAGTAGTCACTGAACCATGAAAATGAGGTCAAGGACATTGGACATGTGACTGACGGAAACTTCGTAACATGAGGCATCCATATACAAAGTATGAAGCATCCAGATCTTCCACCTTCTAAAATATAAAGCTATTAGAAGTTAGCTAACGCCGCCGCTACCGCCGCAGGATCACTATCCCTATGTTGAGCTTTCTGCGACAAAAGTCGCAGGCTCGACAAAAACTATATGTTGTTGATACATGAATTTCTGTTTTAATGATATGAAATAATCATATGGCTACTGACTTTGTTTTTTGTCTACAAGTAATAATAAATTTGTTACCGGTACCTAGTTGTTAGTGAAAAACGTCAAAAATTGACGTCTTACGGCCTGCAAGGCGATGATGTTACAATTTTTTCTGGTATTTTTTCACATATAACACCACTTTGAATAATGTATGAAAATGTTCACCTTTTTTTGAAAGAATTCAATCAGTAATTTTTCAGATAATAAAAGAGATAAATGCATTTTTTTTTTTTTTTTTTCGATTTTCAGTTATAGTTCAACGAGCCAAGGTTGTATGCAAAACTATGCATTTTAATGAACAGGGAAATATTTGTGTAAGGTAATTTTTGCTTAGTTGACTGCTTTACATCCAGTTGCAAATATGGCATGCATATTCATGACAAACATTTTAATAATTTATCAAGCTTTAGGCATTTAAATACAGGTTGACCAGGAGGAAATAATTTTGACTGTCATTGAAAAAACCAGAATACAAGAACCTGATATTCATGTTTTTGCTAATACGCCTCCCAAGGGAGCACAATGGTGAAAGGATCGTTTTTGGTCTTTAGTGGGGTACTTATCATGCTTCCAAGAACATGGTAGAAAACTTCATTCTGTTGGGTTTTTTTCAGGATTTTTCCAAGAGGACAACATGATTTCCCACAGCATAAGATTTCCTGCAAATTTGAATATCTGAATACTGAAAAGTATGATCATAAGTAAAACAAACATGTACCAAAAACCTTCAGGAGCTCATCAGGTAGCACCTGTCTGATATTATTTCCATTCCAATTACATCATAAATAAAGCAAGAGCTATGCAAATTTCAGAAATCAATGAACATACTACTGTGAAAGTACTTTTATTCATCCATACCAATTTTCGTGGTTTGAACAAAAGTTGCGTGTTTGTGGGTTCTTAAATTCTTGGATTTTAGTTTTTGTCGAGCCTGCGACTTTTGCCGCAGAAAGCTCGACATAGGGATAGTGATCCGGCGGCGGCGGCGTTAGCTAACTTTTTAAAAGCTTTATATTTTAGAGGGTGGAAGATCTGGATGCTTCATACTTTGTATATGGATGCCTCATGTTACGAAGTTTCCGTCAGTTACATGTCCAATGTCCTTGACCTCATTTTCATGGTTCAGTGACTACTTGAAAAAAAAGTTAAGATTTTTTGTAATGTTAAATTCTCTCTTTTTATAAGTAATAGGATAACTATATTTGGTATGTGCGTACCTTGCAAGGTCCTCATGCCCGTCAGACAGTTTTCACTTGACCTCGACCTCATTTCATGGATCAGTGAACAAGGTTAAGTTTTGGTGGTCAAGTCCATATCTCAGATACTATAAGCAATAGGTCTAGAATATTCGGTGTATGGAAGGACTGTAAGGTGTACATGTCCAACTGGCAGGTGTCATCTGACCTTGACCTCATTTTCATGGTTCAGTGGTTATAGTTAAGTTTTTGTGTTTTGGTCTGTTTTTCTTATACTGTATGCAATAGGTCTACTATATTTGGTGTATGGAATGATTGTAAGGTGTACATGTCTAGCTGGCAGGTGTCATCTGACCTTGACCTCATTTTCATGGTTCAGTGGTCAAAGATAAGTTTTTGAGTTGTGGTCTTTTTTTCTAATACTACATGTATATGCAATAGTTCAACTATATTTGGTGTATGGAAATATTTTATGATCTATATGTCAGTCATGCAAGTTTTATTTGACCTTGACCTCATTTTCAAGGTTCATTGCTCAGTGTTCAGTTTTTGTGTTTTGGTCTGTTTTTCTTAAACTATAAGCAATAGGTCAACTATATTTGTTGTATGGAAGAATTGTTAGCTGTACATGCCTGCCTAGCATGGTTCATCTGACCTTGACCTCATTTTCATGGTTCATTGGTCAATGTTTAGTTTACTTGGTTAATGTTAAGTTTATGTGACAGTTGTAATAAAGCTTTATATTTAGGACTATCAACATAATATCAATGATTAGTAAAGAAGGAGAGACATTATAGCGTTTGCACTCTTGTCTAAAAAAATCGAGTGAAAAATTTGAAGCTATATAAAGAAACGAAGATTCTTGAAAATAATCATATTTTGTTTTATAATGATTTGAGGGACATTGTAAAATAAGGTATTCATTTTCACTGACTTGTTTGTCTTTCATTACTGAAAATATTCATCAAATTTTAAATAAAATAATTGCTTTCGGAAATATGCTGATTCATTTATGCTTACAAATTGTCTCGATTGACGGAAATTGCAAAGTAAACATTTTAATTGTTGCACATGTGTAATCAAAAGTGATGACATTTATTAACCCAAGATCGAATGATCAACAGATTAAGGATCAAAGATGTTAATTGGGCCATTAACATGTCACTTTAAGAAAACAGTTACTTAAAAAAGTGCTACAAATGTACTTTGAATTGTAGAATTAAGTCTTATAAAATAAAAAAATCAAGCCCAATATGATATTTTTTTGTATGAGAATTATGAAGAGATAAAATGAACGCTTCTGGAAGTCTGACTTTCATCGATCAAAACTAATTTGTCATGAGAACTAAAAGGTTAAAAGTCGTACAGTTTAGTATTTTTAGAGATTAAATGAGTATAATACTGTCTTAAGTTGTATATTTGATGTATTGGGATCTTTCCGTGTCTTGATTTGGACAACAGTTGTTATATTTCGTTGGACACTTAAATTATTGGAGAAAGCCATCCACGAAAACCATGAAAATTGGTATCCTACGAATAAAAGTACTTTCACAGTATTTTACTCTGAAAGGTCTATCATTCATGTAGGAGGAAGAGTGTATGTTTTTGTTATAAACATGGAGATATGAGAATTTCATTATTTTCAAGACAAAGTATCAAAGCCTTGTTCTAGACCATCTGTAATTATTGTGTTGCCTTAGACACTTTAAGCTTACTTGACACATAAGGATCACTTCGGTTGTCTAAATTGTGGACTATGTCACACTTTGTGAACCAGCACTCCATAAAAACAGCTTGACCTGCTATTCTAATATTTGAGTTATTTATGTGGTTGCCTATACCAAATTATGGGAGCTATTAGCCATTACTGTGTGAACCTGTTTGTTAATCAGCAACTCATTGAAAATGGCTTGACAGAATTCAGTGTCTCTCTACAGGACTAAGAGTTGTGCACCTGCTATTTCAATTTTGAATTTGAGTTATTTTTTGGGGGTTTCCCATACCAAAACATGAATGTTATCATCATATTCATACAATCAAAATCCTTATGGGACTGGCTTGATCTTTTTCAAACCTTATCCCTACTTTTAAGAACAACAAAATTATAGTCCACTGATCACAACATGTTATACATCCAAGTACCGGCCAGCATACATTTCAAGAAGTTAATCAATGAAATAACGTGGCAGGAGCTCGACTCCAATCTTAGTTGATAAGGATTGTCAGTTTTCCTACTGAAGGTCAGTGGTTCTCTCCAGGTACTCCTGCTTCCTCCACCAAAAAAAACTGAAAGCCATGAAATAGCACAATAGTGCGGATAATGGCGTTAAACACCAATCAATCCATCAATTAATGAAATAAATAAGATATTCAAGTTACAAAATGATGTGCATGAGTATAACAATACTTCCACAACCAGTCTGTGTTTTTGTAAGATGTGTTTCTGCTTTGTATCGTTCTGATGAGTTAAGCCAATTTCAACTGATTTTTATAGTTTGTTCTTATGTTGTGCTGTAACACCACTGTCCCAGGTAAGGGGAGGGTTGAGCACTCACAAACATGTCTAACCCTGCCACATTCTTTATGTGCTTGTCCCAAGTCAGGAGCCTGTAGTTCAGTGGTTGTCTTTGGTTCATATTTGTCATATTTGTTGTGCGTAACTTGTTTTGTTATAAGCTAAGCCTTTAGTTTTCTCAATTGAATTGTTTCATATTTTTCATGTTGGGGCACTTTATAGCTGACTATACAGTATGGGTTTTTTCATTGTTGAAGGCCATATGGTTGCCTATAATTGCTTACATCCACTTCATTTGAACTTGGGTGGATAGTTGTCTCATTGGCAATCATACCACATCTCCTTATTTTTATATTGTTAAGAAAATTACATAAGTTGTGCATTGTGCATGAATCTATCTGTTCTAAAATTATCAATGATAGCACTGATAAAATAAAATTGTAATCTTTGTCCACAATGGCTGTTAACCAACAACAATTACTGACAAAGGAAGATATCTCCAATTCATAATGTTGCCTCCCAATGCTTTATACAATGCAATGTTTAATTTTTAGTTCCCAATGCAAAATGAATGTAATCTTGACCATTCAGTGCTCACTAGCAATTATACCACAAAAATTATACACCTGTCTTTAGTGTACAAATTTATATGAAGTAATGTTGACCTGCTGATGTTTTTTTGTTTTTGTTTGTGTCTCTAGGTTGCTGTCTATTACATAAATCCCACATATCGATTCATTTAAACAAAATCAAACACACAAAAAGTTTCAGTATACTTTTATATCGCAATGTGTCATGTAAAAAATAAATCATTTTATAAAGATAACAGTAGTAGAAATTAAACTTTACAAAACAAAACTAAACAAAAAAATAATACTTATAGTTAGTTCCTATATTAGAACAAAAAACAAGTGAATGAAACAAAGACAAATTAAACTAGAGTATATGTCCATGGGACTATCTCATTTCAGATGTGGATCCAGGATCTTGAAGAAAGGGGCCCCATACTAAGAAATGTTAGGAATGGGACAAGTAAAAGTCTATGCATTAACCATATATGTAGCTTCATTAGGTTGGGGCCCAACACCCACCTCCCTTAATCTCCCTCTGCATTTCCATGTTGAGGGATCTGTGAAATCTTGTTCAAAACCCCTTTAAATTTTGAATACATTTTAAAAAGTTCACATCATTTTGGACATGTGTGCTAAGTTTCATGTTGATGCATACACAACTTTATAGAAGACTACCTTAATAAAAACTTTAACCAGATATGAGATGGACACACAGACCGGAACACTTATAAATGTCACCCCTACTATTGTAGGTGGGTATAAACAAATACTAGTTATTTAATTCAATTTTAAGTGTCATTTTTGTGTCCATAGTATACGTCAGCTACTCAAAACATGCATTTAAATGATGTTTTATCAAAATCTGGCTTTAAGGATGTACTTGGGTCAGGTTTAGGAATTTTTGTCAGATGTTCGGACTCCTTCATTTTTTGCCTACGATACAGGGTAAAATATTTTGCCCCATAACACCCCATTTTTTTTTCATATAAGACTTCAATAGCTCATAAAAGGTCATTAACCAAAATTTAAGCAGATTCTAGATTTCTTTTCTTTCGATTTGAGACCCAAATAATACCAATGCAAATATAAGGTAAAAGTACGAGTCAGCCTTTCCCGCCATTTTTTTTTAAATTAACTATCTCGAAAAGAAGCTCCATAGCCTATCAATATTATTAGCTTATTTTGTTCCTTAACTAATGCTCTTCTGACTTATAGTATCAATTTTAAATTCTAGATTTTTTAATTCAACTAAGTACATCCTTAAAAAAGAAGTGGAAATACCTGTCATCCTAAGTATGAGGTGTTTATGGTGATATCAGGGTTCTCAAGATGTGATGTACCAGACATTTATTGCCATCTACCAGCCTTATTGTCACAATTTTTAAAAAATTTTAAAAATTTTGGTTAAGTGTATCACAGATATACTGGAACACAGAATTGTCTTTTAACTTTTTTTTAATTTAAGATTCAGTTCTTTGCAATTAAATCAGCATGTTTTATTTTTCATTGTGAACTTAGAGAAAATAACTTTCTGTGGATTCATTAGTTTTCATGGGTAACAATTTTTGCAGATTGAGAATACTACCAGAATCTTACAAACAAACAAAAAATTAAACTTACAAAACAAGCTAAACACTGAATATTAGATAACATTTTGTTAAACAAGTTCTCATATAAACATGTATAATGGTCAGGATTAGTAAATTTATTTAAAAAAAAAAATCACTTCTAAGGACAAGTCAAATGGACAACATATACCCTAACAAAAACAACAAGTAAAAAATATAAACAGCAGTGTGTCAAAGTATCACAGTTAATTTGAACATGTAAATTATATTTTACTATTATTTTATAAAATAATATCTTTTTTCAAAAGTAAAGTGCATAAAATCATTGGGAATGGATTTTACTTAACCTGTCTGGAGGGAATTTTTCTAAGAATAGCAATTAACGTATACTTTTAATTTTAGTTATATTTTATTTTGGAAATGGACATTTGTTGTGTTTCACTGAAAATCCCCCCATTAGTCAATAAATGGAATGAATAAAGCTTAAATGAATCAAACAAAAAAAAAACACAAATATTATCAACAAACAAAAAACCAAAACAGCTCTTAATGAAAACACAGTTGAAAAAAAACAACACATTCTAATTTTTCCTGTTATAATGTAACTTTAGTTTTGTGGGCTACAAACCAACTTTTGTTTGCTTACATAAGGACTGAAAATGTAAATAAAAACTTTTGCCTTAGAAAATAGTCACTGTAATAAATAAGGGTCTAATTGGGATGTCCTCATCTCTGTATTCTTTAATTTTTATGGCCATTTTTTCAATTCTTAATTGTTTTGTCAATCATTTTCTACTCTTTACTACATTTTAGCACCCCTTTATTCTCTATAAATCTGTAAATTCCACCAGACCATCATTTATAACTGTTATGTCTTTCCTATGTACTTTGTATATATGGTAGGTAAAGTTTCATGATATCTATAAATCTGTAAATTCCACCCAGACCCTCATTTATAACTGCCATGTCTTTCTTATGTACTTTGTATATATGGTAAGTACAGTTTCATGACATCATTTTTGTGTCTTACATCAATGTTACTAAGTCTTTGTTGTAACACAAAGTGTGCATAATCACGCCTCTGATCGACCTCTGGAATAACCATTAATCTTTCCTTCTTCAAAGGAATTCTTTCAAGTGATGCTGAGGCTCCAGGTTGAACTTTGACCTTGTTAGGAGTTGACTTTGGTCTTCCATACTTGGCTAGTTCTTCATTAGCCTATAAAAACAATTATTGTAAACAAAATATTAGGTAATAGGATATAAAGTATATGAGCTCACAATTACAACTTTAACCCTTTGTTAGTAATACTCATTGCAGAACTCTGAAATAAAGTAACTGATTCTGAAAATAAATATATGGTTAAATTGATTCTGAAAATTAGTTTTGGATGAAATTCATAGTCATTAATTACTTTCATTTTAAGATTAAAACATACAAATGTTGTCTGCAATTACAAAGTCTACCTCTCCCAAAAAATGGCTCAATAAACCCTATAAAATCAAAATATATTCATACCTGCCAACTTTTCAAAATGCCCATGGGGGTTTTACGTGCAAGATGGCTCTTATAGTCCTACAAAACCTTCATGGGGGCCTTCAAATATATTTTAATGTTGTTTTTTGGCTTCTCCATACTTTAACAAACCTATAGCCATTGTAAATTTAATTGTTTTGTTTAAAATTATGGACAAAATTGCTCTTTCAAAATTTCCATTTGTGAGCCTCCATGGGGAAAATCCCCCGCAAATAGTGACAGTTGGCAGGTATGTATATTAAAGTAAAATGTTACTAATACTTCAATGTAAATATGACTGCATTTAGGTCACTTAGAATTGGACAGATCAACAAGAACAAATAACTAAAGCATACAATGACCAGGTGATTTTTTTTGTCAGAGGCTCCCCTAGATACAACCTTCCTTTAAGTTGTATCATTGTAGGTCACTTATTATTTGGACATTAAACTTATCATAATTCAATGAGGCAGACAAATTATGTCTGAGCCACCTACTTAACGTAGGAAGAAAGATATGTAGGTCAGTCTCAATTGACCATCTTTAGATAACAGGCTCTGAAATTCACAAAGGTTCACCGAAATTATATCATTGTAAACCACTTAGTATCTGAAAACTAAACTTTAAATTTGATCAAAGTAAACTTGGAAGGAAAACTTAATAAAAGCCAGTGGCCCTTGGAATATGGTTCAAGTTACAATCTTATATATTACCAGCAATATATCTTTTTAATTTTCAATCCTGATACAGGTTATTCCAGAAAAGAGCTTAAAATCCTAAAATTTCAGCATATTTGATTTTTTTTACCCTTTACATATTTACTATAAACATTAATAAATCAAATCAATATCAGGCAATACCTAAAATCAAGAAAAAATTCCCACAACAAAATAAAAGGTGCGTTATGATTGCTATATTGTTCATCAAAATCATTCAGTCTAAGTGTTGCCATTCCACCAAAAAGTAGGTGAACCAAAATCAAACACAAACTTGTATCAAACCCACTGCTCAGTAATGTAACATGCTTGAAATCATTGCAGGATCATAAACAAATCATACAAAGTAAATATGTATGACATTTTAGGATTAAAATTTAAATGAAAGTACATCTAGAGGAATTTAACTCCTGTGCCTCAAGCCAATACAGCTAACCTTGACCCAATATGACTGTACTTAGACATAATGCAGGATGAATATGGAAAACGCCAATTTTGTAACACTATAGGTATAGGATGTTGTACTTCAGATAATTAAAAATACCCCATAGTCTATTTATATGTATATGTAATGTAACAACTTTATTCTTAAAAACACTAGTAGTTGAAACACTTCATTTTTTAAATTTTTTTCAAATAAAGGTCAGTTGAGCTATGAATTAGCTTTTGCATAAATAAACACAAAGTCAAAAATATGCATGATGACTGTTTGTTTTGGTATAAGTTTTTAACATTGAATGTCATGCAAAATTGAATATTTATGATTATTAATCATAAAATTACAATTCAAGCAGCACGCATGATGGACTTTATGAAACTTTAGCAAAATCATGAATTTGGGCACTGGTTATAGCTGTTAGGCAAAGAAATACATAAAATTCAATCAAAATACAATAAAATAAACTTCTAACTCTAATGGTTAGGGTTTTTTGAAATTGTAACTATTTTACTTACTAAAGGGCCATAACTCTAGGGTGTTTTAATTGTTATAATCTATTTCTACACACAGTTACATCTCATGATAATAACCAGGGATATTTCTAAGAATGTATGAAGAATGGAAAAGGGGGGTATCTTTTCCTTCTAGTTAAGGCAACATGCAATTATGTACAGGTAGAGGAAATGAAGTCACTTCAAAAGAAATTCTGAAAAGGAAGGTAGTGTTTATTTCAAGAATTTATTTTTGACATGATGTGCTATATAATTTGTGAACTGGATACAAAAAGATAATTTCTATAACTTTTAATCCTTCTTTTATCACATTTCATCTGCAGTAACACAGCTATTGAATACTACAGTTGAAAATATTTTTTAAAATATAATATTGATATTGTTGGATTAACAAAAATTTCAGATTGAGCTAAATGGATTAAATGTAATACATGTACAGTTAACTCTTCTTGTCAAGACTAAGTTAAAACTATGGAAAGTTTTAACAAAAATACTGTACTGAGAAAACATTTATAGCAATGAATATGAAATAATTTTTTTTTTTACATGCTGATTACAATAATGAATTATTTTTTCACAACATCAAAGCAGGATTAAAGAAGTCAAATTTGATGGAATGATTCAAAATTAAAACTAAGAAAATCATTATAACATGCATGATTATCAACAGAAATCTATTCACTGTTTTACAACATAAATATTATTGGCACATGTTACTGTGAACCATACACCTACAGCTGTTTGTTTCTCAGGTTTTCAAAAATATTGGGTAACCCCTATTACTTCTATTCATTAAAAATTCTTCACAGGTAAACTTATTCTTTAAAACTTACATCTTAAATTCACTTTAATATATGGTAAAATATTTTGAAATTCTTGTTATTTCTGGTGTATTTTTTTTATATAGTAAAACCTTCATTTCTTCCATTAGATTTGATGTCATAAATCAAGAGACCTCTTTTTCTGATATAAAATTCAAATTTTTAAATTGTTTGTATCTCAAAAACAAGCAAACAGACCTCACGACTTTCTAGTTTTTCACAAAATTTTGATGTATTTCATACATTTACTTTTAAAAACAGAAGTCATTCAAAACAATGTTTTTTTTAACATCAGTTTCAAATACCCTTAAACAAATTGAAGTTGTCGTAAACAGTACACAAATGTCTTTTAAAAGATAAAAAAATAAATTCAATTTCAAACTTAAATTTAGCCTGTGATGTTTATACCAAAAATGGAATTTAAGTTTAAACTTTTTAGACCTAAAAAAGAGAAGGAATTTTGATATCTTTTTTCTATTATCATGACCATAATGACTTGTGATATATACATTCATAATGTCAGCAATGATAAAAATAAGTTCTACAATGATTGGTTGTGCATAACAGCATGCAGTTATCTCCCTTACCTCTGTTTCCTCTGTCTAAAATTCAAAGTAGCACAAGCAATGTTAATGCATTATACAGCAAAACTTGAAAATATTGAATCTAAAATCTAGCTCTGTATTCTTATTTAATATTTTTCAATCATTTGTCTATGGCCTGTATGGTACAACTTTAGAAGTAAAAAAATGAGAACCCTCTTCTTTTTTTCTTTCATTCAAATTTATCTTTTCTAATCTTACATTTATTCTTTAATGTTATTTAATGCAATGAAAAATTTACTTTATGATTTTGATTGACAAAGTATGAAGCAATTTTTTCCTTGCTTCATTAGACGGAATATTTTTTAATATTTGTCACTTTTTTAAATACCCATCTTAAAATAAAGTTGTGCCTTTTTTTGCAGACATTCTGATGGATATTGATATTTTGTATGCTTATCACAATTGCCATCTTATTTTTATGTAAAAATATTTTGTATCATGGTAAATTATTGTTGTAGATACTAAAGTTTCAAAATGAATGCAATGAATTCCTTTGTCTTACATATATGACATTGTAATGCATCATACTTTCATCATGTTGTGGTGCCATTTTGCATTAAATCCATTTGGGGCATACTAGCTGATTTCTTGGTCTGAAAAGTCTTTATGTTTTAGAAAGAACCAATGCCTTCTTTTTAAATTCACATTTTCTTGTTGATTGGTCAGTAGAAATTGTGCAGGTGTGACTGTATTGTTCCATGTTTGTATGGTTTTGGCAGTGTTATTTTTAGTTATTGTCTAAAAACTGTCTCACTGTACCTGGTAGGGCTGAGTGCTCACAAACTAGTTTAACTACATGACATTTGAGATGTGTCTGTGCCAAGTCATGATGCTGTATTCCAATGCTTTCCATTATTTTTCTATATATCAATTTGCTCTTGTTTGTATTGTCGTTTATTGCTTGTTTCTTCTTAATTCCAAATTTGTTTACCATAGACTTTAATAACATATAACTCGTCCTATGCTATGATTGTTGATCATTGATTACATTCGGAAAGTAATACCTAAATGTTTCTTAGCCAATGGTGAACTGTCTTGTTTACAGTTACACTGCAATTTCTAATTTATATACATCCTAGCTTCAAAACATTTCACATTTCCTAAATATTTCATCTAAAAATCTAGAACTAGCAATATTTTAAACACCTAGGACTACAGAAAAGTCTTTCTTTTTAATGCATAAGTTTTTTTCTACAAAACATGATATGCTAATACAACCAACTGTGAATACATTTTTAGATTTGCCATGGAAAGATATTCATGCTCCGATTTTAAGTTTCTTGTGCTTAATGCATTTATGATGTCCAGTGATGCAAAGAAGCTTGTCTCTCACAACATTATAATCTCATCACATATGTTAAAGGTAAGACAACTCTTTTTTTACAAATTTTCTTGCAAGTGATAAATTCTACTCAGTATGCTTCAGAAAATACTTGGGGGAAAAAATGCTGTTGAAATCCAATAGATCAGACGGTATGCAAATAAGGCTATAAAGTAACTTAAATGAGCAAGTTTCACCTATGCTCTTTTGATTTCAATTGCTAACAACTTTTGCAATACTTCCTTTCAACAACTGATCAACCTGCATGCGAGACAGAGTTTGTTAAACATATATACTTTGTCTTCTTTTATCTACATGAAAAGCAGCTTTACCAACAACAACAAAAAAACAAATACATATTGAAAACTATGATTTAGTATTTCAGTTACATTTGTACATTCCTTTATACAAAATGTAAAAAAAAAAAAATGCTGCCTTTAACAACCTCACTCCCTTAAAAAATCAACAAAAAGATAAATAGATTTAAATAACAATTAGAAAGGAAATCTTTAGGTCACATGATATCATTTGGTAATCAATATTCTGATATAAAGGGAGATCACTGACCACAAGTATTATTGACTAATCATCATGTGACAATGTTTCTATGGTAAATTTTAACTAAGTGTATTCAGGTTTCTATGGTAAATTTGAACTTAGTGTATTCAGTAAAAATCTTACCTGAGCTGACACAGTGATCTGGTGCCAGGTCTTGGCTCTGTCAACAAAGTTGTGGTACTTCTCTTTCAGGTCTGATTTACTGAAAAACAGTTTTATAATTGATAGATACTGTGAATTCATTTAAGGAATGACTGTAATATTTTTTCTGTCTATGAAGAAATAACATCAAAAATGTGGTGCACACTGGATTACCTGCATAGCGGGTAATTTAAAAGTGTGCACCACATTTTTGATGTTATTTTAAAGTGTGCACCACATTTTTGAGGTTATTTAAAAGTGTGCACCACATCTTTTATGTTACTTTGAATAGACAGAAAAAATATTACTGTCTTTCCTTATAATTTAATTCTAAATTCCAATTTTAAGGAGTAAATCATGAAAAAACATTGATGACGTTATAGTCACATGACAAAATTATGTCTATGAGCTGATAGACAGAAAACTTTCAGCCAATCAGAAGACCTGTTACATCCAAAATCAAATTATTATTGTATACCAATTTTCGTGGATTTCATGGGTTTTTTAAACCACAATTTTAAAAGTTCAACAAAATACATAATTTCTTAAGGCTTGTATGCAGAATTGTGCAAAACCACAAAATCAAATATCCACAAAAATACAATATTTCCTCAATCCACGAAAATTGGTATCGACAAAAATAAATGAATCCACAGTAAGGAATAAACATTGTTCAAACATCTCCATTCAAAAGACATTTTTATATGCTGGTAGACAGTACCAAATCAAACCTCATTCATAATATCACTTATCTAAACATAGAAAATGGGTTTGTATTTATTTTCATCTGACAAGCATTTTCGAACTTCTTTTGGTTAGACAATTTTCCATCAGATATATTTTTCTGGTCACAATAGTGATATAGGGTGAAATTACTGTAAAGTAAAGCCCTAATTAGATATGTGAAATAAACTTGAACACAGTGGCATATGTGTGCCAAATATTTGGAGTGGTTGTGCTAAAAATGAGCTAGTAAGAATAATAAAATTGCAGAAAAGGGCTGCAAAACTAATTTTAGATGCTGATCCACTTTCAGCGTCAGCACCCCCTGTTTAAACAACTTGGGTGGATGACAGTAGAAAACAGAAATTCATACCATAAATCTGTTTTGATGCATAAATGCATTAAGAATGAAGTCCCTGTTAATTCAACTGAAATATTTAAAGAAATGCCAGAAAGTAACCAATATTGTTTGAGGAATACGTCTTATAGCCATAAGTTCCAAAAGCCAAAACAGAGCTGTATAAGAAATCTTTTATATATTCAGGATCTATTTTATGGAATAACTTACCAATATCCCTGAAAAAATCGACCTCAAGTACAAGCTCATTCAAAAAAGATTTAAAAAACAAGAATGCGTCCATTGTACACGGATGCCCCACTCGCACCATAATTTTCTATTTTCAGTGGACCGTGAAATTGGAGTCAAAACTCTAATTTGGCATTAAAATTAGAAAGATCATATCATAGGGAACATGTGTACTAAGTTTCAAGTTGAATGGACTTCAACTTCATCAAAAACTACCTTGAGCAAAATTTTTAACCTAAAAAGTAAAATGACCAAAAGCTTTAACCTGAAGCTGGACAGACAGACGAACGGACGAACAAACGGAAGCACAGACCGTAAAACATAATGCCCATAAATGGGGCATAATTACTTGTTGGGACATTAAGAAGCTGTGTAATTCTATATACATACCAGTATTAATTTTTCACACACTTACCATAACTTTAAACATTGTTGCGGTAATTTGAATGATGCCAATACTAAATGAATTCATCATTTTTACCAGTTTGAAAATTGTATATTTCATAACAATTTCTTATATGATTTTTCTTATGTGTGTGTTTGTTTGATTATTTTGTAAATTTCTGTTTGTTAGATGTCAATGTATTTTATGAGGGCCTCAGGGAAGATTAGTTTAATAGCTAACTGTGTAACCCTCTTAATAATTATTATCATTAATATTATTAATCACAGACTGCAGTTTATGCAGTTAGAAAATACTTTAAGTACTGAGTACTGTTATTTGCTGGGTACCAATTTTCATAGATTTCGTGGTTAAAGGTAAACCAAGAATTTAAATGTTCAAAGAATTTAAATGTTCAATTGTATACTGTTTTGGCAAATATGTGACCTATAGTTGCTATCCTTCTACATCAATTGGTCTATGGTGGAGAGTTGTCTCATAGGCAATCATACCACATCTTCTTATTTTTATATGAAATCTAATATCAACGAAAATTTAATTGTTCCTCAATTCATGAAAATTAGATCCCATGAAAATAAGTGAATTCCACAGTATGTAAATACCTCCTGGCCAACTTGATTTTTTCATCCATTTCCTCGGTTCTTTCTGCTCGACTCAACCAAGGTGTGCTCATTCTCAACTGTATCAATTGATATAAATTATAGATTAACCACTAATCATACTTAAAATCTTTGATACAAATAAATATTTTCACATTTATATTGACACACAAATTTTGTATATGAAAAGAAACAAGCAAAATGAGATATACCGATAATTTTTGACTTGGCAAATTTCTTCAAATTTCAAAACATTCAAATGTTACTTTTCTTTAGCTTCTTGGTTGCCAGGAAAAGTTTACCAAAAAATATATTACCAGGGATTCGATGTGTCTATGTAATCTATATCACAGGTGTCACATGTAGAGCAAAAACTGCTTACCCTTCGGGTTGCACCAGGTTTTTGGTGGGGTTCATGTTGCTTAATCTTTAGTTTTCTGTGAAATGTTTTGTTATTGTTGTTTGTCTTTTCCTTGTTTTTTCTTTTGGCCAAATTGTTGTCTGCTTTTATTGGACTTATGTTTTTTGATAGCCCCTTGGTGTCTTCTCTCCATTTTTATGATATTTTTACTTTATCCCATTAAATGTTGCAAGAGAGTGGGAACTTTTCCACGACCCATATAATAAAGACGAAAGAACTAAATTTAGAGTTTTTATTTACAAACCTGATTTCTTGGGAGAATCAATGGTGTCAGTGATGGCAATTTTCCAGCTTCTATAAACTGAGAACTCTATAAATAAAAATATCAAACTTTATTTTTCAAAACTTAGTGTACAATTTCTATAAATATTCTTCAAATTTCATGACTCTATGAAAAGCTTATCCATTTCTTACTTGTTGGATTTAGTGTTACTGAAACTACTAGTATAATTTAAAAAACTAAGAATCATGCATGACCTTATATCATTTATTATATTATCATTTTGCATTGTGAAATATAATTAATGTATGTGGCGTCTGCTTAATATTGTCCTCAAATTGTTTTGAAACCATCATAAAAAGTTTGTATTGAATTCAAATTAAGATTTTGCAGAAAGGCAATCTATCTACCTTAGAAATACTTGGCTTTCCTAATAAGTTGACATCTAATCTATACAATAGCACTTGACTCTTGTGTGCGCTTACAGCCAGGAAAAACTGTAGAACTGATGTCATGAGTCGTCTGAAAGAAATAATTTACACTAAAATTATATCACAACCAAAATCATACAAGAATGTCGAACTTCTGTATCAGTTTACTTTTATTAACTACTTGCAAGAGAATATATAGTTTTTTGTTGTAAGAATATGCAAAGATAAAATGTTTCTTAAACAATTACAGAACTATTTTGATTGCTTAGGAATTAATATTGGTGACGTCATGAAACAGGTTTATACATGCATAAACCTTTGGGTTGCCTTGAAGCTCAACAATGTAATAAGATAAGTACTTATAACATTAGAATTATTGTAAAGTAAGCACTTTTTTCTGAAATAATGTTCATAAGATACATTCATGGCTAGAAGTTTGGACAGCAACAAAATAAATACATTTAAAATACAAAAACCAAAAATTAGTTGTTCAAAGTTTATTAAGACCAATACCAAGTCTGGACCTTCGTCATTGCATACAACTGATTGAGGTTGTATGTATACTGAAGAATAACTGATCATTCCCTTTCATTGAAGGCAATAAAAGTTTGACAAAACTTTTCTGTACAATGATGAATGTTGTAAAATTTCAAACTATGTGCAAACAGATAGTGGCTGCACTGCAGATGTTAAAATTGCTTACATACTACAACTCATCATTATCAAGCTGCAGACTTAATATAAAACCATTCCCTTCCATGCAAGCCAAGAAAACTTTGACAAAAGTTTTCTACCCAAAGTCTTTCAGACTGAAGGAGGTACAGACAGACAGACTTAGTCCAGCAGTTACTTGGCCGGCAACGCAGGTAGAAACATATCTTTTGAATTACAATCTCCTTTTAATTCACATTCCCGGTAAATTTAAGGATTAATGCTTAAAATAATCTTAGTAATGACTAAAAGGACTAACATATAAACAGAGGTATATGATTAGACATTACCTGTATAATGGAGTCCTGTTGAAGTTGAGGATCATACCAATCTGATGAAAACCAGAATTCATCAACACTTTCCTGGCTTTGACATTTTGCCATAATGGTCGAACAGACAAGTCAGACACTTTCAGTTGTATCTCTGGTGCATGCTTTGTAATGGCAAGCTGCAAAGATTTAAATCTAGTTACTACTAAACTTTGGTATTTTAAGTGGAAAGTATTTATGTTGAAAACAATTCTTGACAATAATTCCATATAAATTGACTAAAGTGTGATACTTTGGGATTCAACATGTTTTAGTTAGAAATATACTAAAATAAATGTTCAAAATGAACAACAATATGGTTGTGACATAGGTGTAAATTCCATAAAAAGGGGGACAGTTCAACAAAGTGGAGATAACTCAATACCTACCAAGTCAACAAAGAGTGATATTTGTTCCTGTGGTGCAGGCAGTATGTCATGTAAAGCCTGTGTGCAGTCTTTGTCTTCTGATATATCTAGAAAAAAAATCAAAGACTTACATCTGGTAGTTATAACAACCTAAAGATCCATTACATTTTATTTGAGGGAAAGGGTATGAAATTACTATCAAATTTGTAAATAAATCCAACAAGTGAAAAAAAGAAAAGAAAAATCTGAATAATAAAGTAATGAGCTATAAAGATTAAAAAAATAAAAGTATGAGATAGAATTTTTTCGATTGATATAATTTAATTATGGGTTATTTCCCTTTGCCCAAATGTTGGAGGTCAAAGTGTACAAATTTCTTCACAAATCAACCAAATTTTACTTGTTTAAGTAATTATTTGGACTGCTAGACTTACGACAAAGTTTTTTTCTGAACACTTTTAATTGTTTTAAAACTTTCTTAGTTCATGCTAGACTTACGAAAAAGTTTTTTTCTGAACACTTTTAATTGTTTTAAAACTTTCTTAGTTCATCACAACAATCTGGGATGGATCTGTTATCAGACCTGCATGTATCACATGTTTTAATGTGGTAAGCCAAATAAGAAAATCAACCAGTTTATCCACTAGATAGATCCCAAGGGACATAACTCCCAACTAAAATAACGTGAATTGAAAACTATAAATCTAATTAGGTGAAAAAGTTTGAAAAATGATTAAGGTATCAATTGACAGTTGCTTCTATATTAAGAATTATACATTCTAAAAAAAAGACACAAAAATTTTAATATATGTATAAAGTTTTACCTATAATAGATCTAAGAGCATCATAAACTGGGATCAGCAGATCATCTTTATTCCAATGTGGATAAACCACATATGGTTGCATAATATCTTCAGCTTTTGCTTGGAAATGAAATCCCAGCAATTTAAGTAAGTCAAGACCAGATCTACTGTGTAGGAGGTTGTCCGTCACTAAACTTATCTGTCGATTGTTATCCTGGGTGTGTAGTCTTTTCAGTGCACTATCCAACTATAAATAAAAGAAAACAACCAGTAAAATATCCTTATACAAATGTTAAACAATTGTGAGAATAAGACATATTTACATTTGTATGCATATTGTCTGCCATTACTTGAAGTCACACACAAATTCCTACAAAATATTTCATCACAAATATAAACATTTGGCGTCATAATTAAATCTGATTGTTGCATGATGTCAAAGGATTATTCAGACCTAGATCTAGAGTCATTCAGAGACAATTCAGCTAAATAACCCAAAGTGTAAATTCGCCTATAAGGTATATGTCTTTGAGACAGAAACCCAACAACATAACTTCAACAACAAACATATGAAAAATGAAAATAACTCTTTTTAATTGTATGCGTCTGAAGTGCTCTTCAGGATTTTCCTTCACCAGGAACACTCAAAGCCAAATATTTGAAATCATTGTCAATGGATGTATAAACACCAAAACAAGTAAAGAGCTATATGACCAAAAGGGACCTAACATAATAGCCATGTCAATCTAAGGTCAACTTTGACTGTGGGAGTTGTTAGGTTGCAAATTGAGTATAGTTTTTTCCAAATAAATTTTAGGTCAAAGAACAGTAAGTGGAGGACAATAACACAGATTTTTGTGAGAGTTTGTTCACAACTTAAGACATGTTGATCTTCAATAGAAAACAAAAAGAAATAATTTGTTTCATTTTACATAAAAAGGAAAACAGTTATTACCAAAAATATTGGTATTTATAGACAAACAATAATGAACAATACTTTTTTCTTTAAATTCAGTCAAATAGAAAAATTTTAAATACACTGAAGGCACATTTGTACAGAACGCATGTAAAACCCATGAAAAACAGTACAATATAATCTTTAAAACTCTATTTTTACAAAATAATTTAAAAGATTTTGCTAATAGAAAAAGATGCTGCCAAATAAATTTCAGTTTTAATGATGTAATATATAATCATGGAGTCACTGAATTCTTTTTGAGAAGTGTACATCATTCAAAGTTGAGTTAAAGGCTGCTGTTTTCGAGAGGTTTGGAATATAATTTTCATTTGTCTTATGATAATTCTGAATTCAAAATAAATTCAAGAATTTCAGTTCTATTTCAATACCTCTCAATATCAATGACAGTTCTTACCAAATCTATTAAGTCAGAAACAACCATTGGATGGTATTTGTGGTCTTGTAATATTTCTCCCAGAATTCTCTGTACATTTGCTAAGTTGTCTTCCCTGGTAGGCACTAGAGTAAAATGTAAAACATTTGGATAAGAACAGGATTCATATTTATTTCGAAGATTTTTTTTTTTTGTTCTAATAAAAAAATAGGAAGATGTGGTATGATTGCCAATGAGACAACTCTCTACCAGAGATCAAATGATGTTGAGGTGAAAAAAATAGGTCAAAGCTTGTTGTCTGCTAGGTTTTCCTTTCCTTACCTGCTTCGTTTTTTCTTTTCTTTTTTTCAATGGTATATAGAGAGTAATATTTCAAACCAAATGCACAAGAGACATTGTGTATCAAGTGGCTCTCATCGGGGTGTAAGCGTGATGCGGGATTGGCTGATTTTATGTAAGCTTGACACGTGAAAAGTCAAATCATTTTTCACAAAAACGGGAAACGAAGTCGGGTGGGACATGTGAAATTACAAGCCTATCATTACAATGATAAGCAGGGTAGAGGATTCTGACAAAACAATAAGTGGGATCCGGGATCAGACCCATGGATATGCACAATGGCTTTATATGGTTAAGATTCTGAGATAGTTTGAATTAATAAAGAGTTTAGGTGGAAATGGGGATAAAAAAAAATGGGTATCCCCCTAGATAACACAATGGCAAAGTCATGGATTTTCCAAATGAAACCCCAAAAATATTATGGATAAAAAAATTAATTAAAAATTTTTGGCAAATAAATATCATTTGACATTTTTTTAAAGTTACTGGCGCAAACAGATTTTTACTACATACTTGGATTTACACAGATTTTCCATTCACACTAGGAGTCAAACACATTTTCTCTTCAAAATGTAAACGATGACTTGACATTTTACTCCTATGAGCATCCATGCAAGAATAATAGTTAAGGTGGTACCAAACACCTTGACTAAAATCAATTTGGCTCATTTAATTTTCATAAAATTTTGACAAAATATTTACTTTGACCCTTTGACAAAAATATAAAAATTTCAAAAAACTTGAACCACACACTTTATGGGAAAAATTTCATTGGATATATAGCAGTTTGACAAACACTAATTTTGATCATTGAGAAGCTCAATATTTCCTTAACAATAGAATGTGATTAAAACGTTCAGCTGATTTTTACAGAGTTTTCTCCCTGTAGTGTTATGTACCTTCTTAAATGTAAGAACAAACAAATATTCAAAATTAAAATTGATTCTGCTTATTAAAGAATCTTGAACTATTGACCATCAAATCACACTCTAAATATGTTTAAATAAGAAAAGAATTAAAGAAATAATAGTAATTACCTGATGGTATAAATGTTTTAGGGTTCAAGAATTCTTTTCCGCTTTTTTCCTCCACCATTTTTTCTGTTTGGTCAAGTTTCTGGTCTAACATTGCATGTCGTATCTGTTTAAGGTTAATAGCAACATTTTTACCTATCAGCATGAATGGACACCATGTTTGTATATCGGAATATCTGAGGAAAAAAGAAATACTACATTATGTTATAATGCCAACATTAAAACACTGAAAATCCTTGCATTGTATACTTTCACAGGAATATGACCGTTGTTTTTTAATCGTTCTACTCTAGTGGTTGATAAAGTTTGATTTTGTCAATTTTCATGGACTTCCCCTATTTAAATGTACCTTGTATTTTGATATTTTGTTATACCTATTTCACAAGGATAGATGCCAAAGCTACCAGTATGCAAAATTAAATTTAAAAAAAAACAGACATTAGATCTTACCAAATACATTGTACTTTAAATTCGTAAATTATTGCATGCTTTTCTTAGTGCAATTTTAAAAAAATGGACAATAATACTAGATTAATTATTGCTATTTCAGAAAAATCTGCGTACAGATATATGTATCAGATCTCAGAATGTGGGTTCTTATTATTGCGATACTCGCCCAATTGCATTATTCGCAATAATAAAAAAACTTGCAATAATTTTTGAATTTACAGTATGTCAATAAACAGCGTAATCAATTTCCTTGTAGTTCTTGTGTGTTTTGACTATGATCTTAAACTAGAGGCTCTAAAGAGCCTGTGTCGCTCACCTTGGTCTATGTGCATATTAAACAAAGGACACAGATGGATTCATGACAAAATTGTGTTTTGGTGATGGTGATGTGTTTGTAGATCTTACTTTACTGAACATTCTTGCTGCTCACAATTATCTCTATCTATAATGAACTTGGCCCAGTAGTAACAGTGGAAAATATTTTGTAAAAATTTACAAAAATTTACAAAATTTATGAAAATTGTAAAAAATTGACTATAAAGGGCAATAACTCCTTAAGGGGTCAATTGACAATTTTGTTCATGTTGACTTATTTGTAGATCTTACTTTGCTGTTTTACAGTTTATCTCGATCTATAATAATATTCAAGATAATAACCAAAAGCTGCAAAATTTTCTTAAAAAGACCAATTCAGGGGCAGCAACCCAACAACGTGTTGCCTGATTGGTCTGAAAATTTCAGGGCAGATAGATCTTGACCTAATAAACAATTTTATCCTCGTCAGATTTGCTCTAAATGCTTTGGTTTCAGAGATATGAGCCAAAAACTGCATTTTACCCTATGTACTATTTTTTAGCCATGTCGGCCATCTTGGTTCACGGGTGGGGTCATCGGACACATTTTTTAAACTAGATACCCTAATGATGATTGTGGACAAATTTGGTCAAATTTGGCCCAGTAGTTTCAGAGGAGAAGATTTCTGTAAAAGTTAACGACGACGGACGACGACGACGGACAACGACGACGACAAACGCCAAGTGATGAGAAAAGCTCACTTGGCCCTTTGGGCCAGGTGAGCTAAAAAGAAAGTCAAAATTACTTCCATCACTGGACAATGCCCAATCTTATAGACACTAGCTATAAATTTTGATGATTGATGAAAAATTGTATTTTAGAGGATATTTGATTTCTTGGTTTTGCCAAAGTCTTCATACAAGCATATAGAAATTTGTACTTCATTGAATATTTAAATTATGCATGTTGTTGTTCAACTATACCCATAAAATCCACAGAAATCAGTATCACAAATAAAAATGAATTCACAACATACCTTTCATCACTTTGGAGGAATCGCATGCCTGTGTACATAGCCTCTGTTACCAAACACCCTTCTTGTAATTCTGTGTAAAATCTATAGAAAAACTTCTCCCTAGCAATATTTGGTGTCAACCATGAACATGCAAGTACACATTGGGCTCCTAAAATATATACAAATAAAATATAGAAAAACTTCTCCTGAGCAATGAGACACATACAAATAAATAATTGCATTAAAAAAATAAACACCAATAAAACACTGTAAAATTTCTGACTTGCAATATTGTTTGATGTCAATTAAAATATAAAAGTACCCATTCAGCACCTAACATATTTTACTAAAAAAAAACAAAATACTTATTACTCTAAAAATAATCTAAAATCTTCTACAATATAACACAATACTTCACACTTTTTGTATGCATGTCTTGATTTTCTTTTTATGCCAAAATACCACATGTTTTTCTGTTATATTTGCTATTTATACATCTTTTACCAAAAAAAGTCTTCACATCATTTTTCACATGTAACTTAGCCTAATACTTGTCTTATATTATCAAGCGAAAAAATGCTCTATTTGGAAATATACAGCAAAGCCTGTCTAAACATAATCACAGAAGGACTTTAGGACAACACAAATTTGTTTTAGCAAGTACAATATGCTTTATTTAAAAACACTCTGTCACATTGACATGTGAAACAAAAGGTAAATATATACAAAATACAATCACATACAATCATAGAAATAAATAGACCAACTTAGAAATGAAATATATTAATAATTACTTTACTTTATAATATTTTCGTTAACTTTGAAACGAATAAAGATACATTCTTAAGTACATTAATATTAACCAATGATAGTAGTCCTTTCATTTTTGCTGCACTGGGATATTTAACATAGTATTTTGGAATGTGCTAATTTCAGAATAGTTCAGAATAGACCTGGTTTATATTCACTAAATTTATACCAAATGAAATTGAGAATGGAAATGGGGAGTGTGTCAAAGATATAACAACCCAACCAAAAAGCAGAAAACAGCCCAAGGCCACCATCTTTTGAATATCATCATACCATTATTTGATGGTTTGGACAGGTTTCTGATGTAGGGTTTGGTAGTGACAGCTTTCACTGTGATCTATTTAAGATTTTGTCTAGTATGCACTTTATTTCCTTGATTTAAATTTTCTATCAAAATTGTTCACTCTTTGTCATTTGGTCTTTCAGATAGTTGTCTAATCATAACATATCTCCTTATCAATATAAACACTTACCTGCAGCTAGGAAAGCAGACGGTAAACTGTATCCCTGTTCAATAGTTTCTTCTGTCCTGTTTGAGTTGTATCCAACATTTAACACAACAAGCTGAGCATTAAGTTTACAGGCTAAGATATCACTGGATGTGACAATATATGAGTATTGCTGAGGAGGACCTGACTCTTGTCTGATTGGGTTAGGTGTAAATGCCAGAAATCCTTCTCTCCAACAACCAAATGTTGCTAAAATAAATTAAATATATCTATTATTTGCTTATTTTCTTGCCTGCCAGTTGAAGCAAAAAATGAAAAACTGTTGAATTTCAAGTACCTATATGTATGACTTGAATTCTTATTACCTATTTGTCTGCCTGTTGAATTATTATAACCTAATGTACCCGGTATGACTGTTGAATTCTTATTATCAATACATATGACTGTTGAATTTAAATTACTAAATGTGTGACTGTTGAATTTTGATTACCTATTGGTTTGACTGTGGAATACTAATTACCTATATGTCTGCCTGTTGAATTATAATAACCATTATGTATGACTGTTGAATTCTAATTATCAATTTGTATGAATGTTGAATTTAAATTACTATATGTATGACTGTTGAATTTGATTACCTATTGGTTTGACTGTGGAATTCTAATAATACCTATATATCTGCCTGTTGAATTCTAATAACCGTTATGTATGACTGTTGAATTCTAATTACCAATTTGTATGACTGTTGAATTTAAATTACTATATGTATGACTGTTGGTTTTGATTACCTATTGGTTTGACTGTGGAATTCTAATTACCTATATGTACGACTTTTGAATTCTAATGAACTATATGTATGACTGTTGGATTTAAATTACTAAATGTGTGACTGTTGAATTTTGATTACCTATTGGTTTGACTGTAGAATTCTAATTACCTATATGTCTGCCTGTTGAATTATAATAACCATCATGTATGACTGTTGAATTTTAATTATCAATATGTATGACAGTTGAATTTAAATTACAATATGTATGACTGTTGAATTTAAATTACTATATGTATGACTTTTGATTTTTGATTACCTATTGGTTTGACTGTGGAATTCTAATTATCTATATGTAAGACTATTGAATTCTAATTAACTATATGTATGACTGTTGAATTCTAATTACCTATATGTATGTCTATTGAATTGTAATTAACTTTATGTATGACTGTTGAATTTAAATTACTATATGTGTGACTTTTGAATTTTAATTACCTATAGGTTTGACTGTGGAATTCTAATGACCTATATTTATTACTATTGAATTCTAATAATCTATATGCATAAATGTGAAATTCTAATGACCTAGATGTTTGACTGCTGCTGTATTCCAGTTACTTATAGGCATAATTGTTAAATTCTAATTACCTATATGTATGATTGATGAAATCTAATAACGAATATGTATGAGTGTTGAATTATAATTACCTATATGAATAACTGTTGAATTCTAATTACGTATATATATATATATATATACATGTATATAATATGTATGACTGTTGAATTCTAATTACCTATATGTAGGACTGTTGAATTCTAATTACCTATATGTATAACTGTTGAATTCTAGTTACCTATATGTATGACTGTTGAATTCTAATTACCTATATGTATGACCGTTGAATTCTAATTACCTACATGTATGACTGTTGAATTCTAATTACCTATATGTATGACTGTTGAATTCTGTATTTCTTTCAGGAAAGCCTCCTTGGTAGCTTGTGAACCTGTTATAGGAGAAACATCTAACCAGGATCCTACAGCTGACAACTCTCTCTTGGCTGCTGGAAGACTGATACATGATGGCTTCCACGTGCTACCATGCAATATTGCGCTATAAAATTTCAGAGAGGTAAATATACTGATTGATTATCATTTGTTCAACATCCAGTGGGGAAAAATTCAGGACAGGAACGAGTTAACAATATATCAAATATGTAATACCGTAGGTTCTGCAAACTGAGTCAAATTGGATGAAGGGGAGGAATTTCAACTGCCATTGGAATGATACATGTATGTAAGCTTATTCTAACATTTCATTGGCAAATTTATGCTACATTAATATAAAATGGTTATGACAAATCCCAAGTCTTTTTTTTTTATTTCTGAAACTCTTTTTTAGTGAAATTCAATGTGCTACAGGGCACATCTATTTCCAGTTATTATTTGAAAAATGAACAAAAGTAACATTGTACCTTCACCTTGTAACAAGAAAATCAACTGATTAAACACTCGTCACATGATTAAAGTTCACAAGACAAGACAAGACAAATACTTTATTTAAGTCATAGTAACATATTTTCACTAGAGTCACTGTATTATATTTTAGGATTTTCATTATTTAAAAAAATTTCCACCACATCTACTTGTTTTCATTCAAATAAAAAATACCACTGTATATTACCTTTCAGGAAGTTGGGGATTCCCTATCACCAGACATCTCTCCCTGTCACTGATTTGATGAAATTCTGTAACAGCACTAGAAGACGATGTTATGTCTGTTCCTGTAGAGGTGCAAGTTGTTAGTGTAGAGTAGCTATGTAGACTCAGTAAAGCTTCGAGTGATGTTGGACTTCCAACACGGGATAAGAAATCTGCGGCCTTCAAAGCAGATCTTTCTGGAATTTGTGGTAAATTCTGACTAGGAGATCGAGGGGACATTCTGTTACCCTCCAATGATAACTGAGTGTTTTCTTTTGACGGGTCCATTTTTTCTTCAAGTTCAGACTTGAGAGACAATTGTGTGGTGACTAACCGTGGGTTTGACACCTTACGTAGATCTAACATAAAGGATACAGATGATTCAGCATCATCTGCCGGAGTGGTAGCATTCGACAAAATGGTTTTGGTCAAATATTTATTCAAGCCACCTTTTCTTGTCTGAGATCTCAAGAAGTCTAGTTCATCTTGACTCTTTAAATAATTAAGTTCGTTATTCACACATTTTTCCAACATTAATATGCTAGGTAAGATGGTTATATGATGTCTAGTAGACAAATAATTTGAACTCCAATCCTGCAAGATGGTAAATGGGCAATGAAATAAATCTTTGTCTGGTATAATTACTAAGTTATTTCCCTTGTCCAACTTCATCAAAATATCCTCAACAGGTGCTATGAGCAAGTTAAAGAGTTTATGACATGGAGATTTACTAGAAGTATTCTCATTATTATTGTTGTTGTTGTCTTTGTGGTCTTCAGACTTTCTTTGAGCTAGCATCAAATTTTTGTGTCTCTTTAAATTGAGTCTTTCTTCACTCAATGGAATTGCTCGATTTTCACAAGTTGTTTGCAAATTTTTCCAGTCAGCATTGCCTCTGATCTCTTTCAATAAAGTTTGGACCTAGAAAGAAATTATGAAATTAAAACAATTTTGTCTTTTTTAAAATATAAGTGAAGTACTTTGAAAGTAAATTTGTAATTTGATTCTCATACTTAAGTCTACAAAAAAATATAAATATCTGTTTCCTTCTTCCCAACCAACCATATGTTTGACCATAAAACATTGAATTGTCTTGTCAAAAATCTTATTTTATAAAAAAGCATTTGGTGTCATTCGGATAGACAAAGAATACATGTAACCTATTTCCACTGTCAGACTTTCAGTTATTTATCTAGTCAAATTTGTGATAAAATTTACAAAAATTGAAGGAAAAAGTTGTCATAACAATAGAAATTGCAAAAGTCCGGTCATGCATGTGCCAATTACTGGATGTGTAGTGAAAATACAGATAGTACTTAAAGGAAACAGGTAATTTTTCTGGAGAACATAAAGAAAAAAGTTGTTTTTTTAAATCTGACCTACTGAACCTATTTTGTAGCTGTGGCAGAAAAAAATAAATGGTATCAGGTTTTTCCCACTAGAAATAAATGCATTCCATTTGTGTACAATAAGTATGAAAATTCATGTATTTGTTTAAATTATAAAATCAATGAGAATTGATATTCTATAAAGTAAAGTACCGGTACTTCAATAGTATATGAATAATAAATAATAAATCAATAAACCAAAGTTTTTTCTTCTAACCTTTCATATATTTTCATCAGTGTTTGAGATAAGTAATAACTTTATCATATAAAATACACATATATATAAACTCAACATCAACCAAATGTATTTACCAACCTGTTCTATCATGCCCTCATCCTCTTCTGCTCTCCCAGAATAGAATCTGACAACTCCTTGACCAGGAAGTAAAACCCATATCAACAGTCTACTGGGTAGTAAGGAATAATATAGAACATTGGCATTCTGTTGGTGAACAATCCTGGTAATATGTTCTACTGAATCTAAATGTGGACCAATCTGGGATCCTACATATCCAGGCATCTTTGTAATGTATCTTCTACGATAAGCTTCAGCAAACTGTAAACATTCATTCTTGTTACCAAGCTTGCTCAAAACACATTGCATCCCATCATAGCATTCAGTCAATTGTTTTTCATAGTCAGGTGGACAATAAGTATCTTCATCACGATGTTCTTTTATCTTTGTCTCATAAAAAGGAATCAGTGATTCAAAATATTGCCGAGCTTGTTCGATATCCTTAAGCTGTGTGGAATGTTGTTGGATACAGGCTATGTTATACTGACAGATTTTAAGTATATCATAATATTCCATATCATCAGCAAGATCATATGCTTGTTCATAGAAAAATAAACTATGCTGATATCTTTTCATCTCTCTGTAAACGTTGCCAGTTTTACATAAAGCTGTGGCCCTGCTTCTGTAGTCTGTTCGAATGGCAGCATTCAGCATTTGATCATACACTTCAATGGCCTTTTCATAATCTTCCTTCATGAGGTATGTGTCAGCTAACATCTCACATGCCATTACAGTCATCTTAGTGTCTTTAAAACGCTTTGCCATGGATATATACTGTTCATGATATGTTATACACAGCTTCCAGTTCCTCAATGCAGCATAAACACTACCTAAACATCCATAAGCCTGGGCCATGCCTTTTCGATCTTTATTTCGTTTAGAAGATTGTAAATACAAATTATAGTTTTTCAAAGCTTCGTCATAGTTTCCAAGGATTTCATTCAACATGCCTGTATTGTGGTACGACTCAGATTTTATTCGACCTTCAAGTTTAAATTGTTCTAACAAGGATATATACTTCCTGGCATGATGTTCTGCATGATGCATCTGTCCGATTGTTTTGTAAGCAATACTTAGATTGAGGCGCAAACCACACTGAAGTTCTTTTGTCCAGAAATCTGGGAGTTCCCTCTGTGATCCTGCCTCCTCTTCAAGCTCCGCCTCTAATTGTAATAATTTTTCATAGAATACAATAGCCTGATGAGTGTCTCTGTTTTCCAGATAAAGAGTTGCAATGTTAACCAGCGACTTTGTCTGGTAAATCTGTTCGTGAGTGGCAATTGCCGTGGACAGACATTCCTGGTATATAGAAATGGCCTGTTCATTGTGTTTACAAGCAGAGTGAGCATTGGCTAAAGTTAATAATATTCTCATAGTTATGCCTTTCTGATTTGTTTGAAACTTCTGAGCTGCTTCCAAAATCGTTATACAGAAGTCATATCGTTTTGCTTGGAAAAGATGTACACCAATTTCACTTAACTTTTTATAAGAGTCCATTTCTAAAAAATATATATATAACTGAAGAAACAAACTGACTGATGTTTGCAATTAATTTCTCACATGTCCAATTTATCATTTTTTTTGTTTGTTCTACAAAATCAAATTTAGATTTTAATAATAATCTTTATTGTCATATAAACATAATTAGTTTGAGGAAAAAAAAACAAAACAAAAAACAAACATAATATAGCAAAGAAATAACAATTCTATAACAAATGAGCACATGGAAAAAAAATTATACGACTTCTGCCCTCAGCTCTAATGACTGTTTTATAAAGGAGCCAATATTTTTAACATGTTCCATGATAGAGGGGTTTAGCATTTCTTTTACTTTTTGTTCTTGGGTAAGAGACATAAAATTATGAGAAGGTAAACAATTTTGAAATAGATTATCCCTTAGTTTTTTGTTAATTTTACATTCAAGTAGGAAGTGTTTTCATCCTTTATTAGATGGTGCATAAAGCACTTACAGACCTAGAGTTTACTGCAAACAACTTTTTCTACATAGTTAATTTTTCAAGCCCTTTCCAGCCTACATAGCAATAACTTATTTTAGTGATTTTCTTACTAGATTGATGTTTTCATATAAGAGAAGTTTCAAGTTTACCATATTCCTGATGATTCATAAAAGCGTTAATTTTCTATTAACAAAAGTCAAGGAAACATAATGCTGGCAAAAATGAATTGGTTTACAGCACTGTATGTTTAACTTTCCAAAGTCAGGAATCTCATCAATATATGTGGCTATCTTTGATATTTTTGTCTGTTAAGGATTTGGGGTTGAAGTAAGACCATTGGTTACATTAATTTATGAATTTGTCTAGACTCAAGGAATTTAGAATTTGCTAGTACTAGTTAAGTAGGTGTAATAACAAGAACCAAATTTTAATCTGTACATTTCTATTTTGTTTTTAATTTAATGTGGGTTGCTGTCTTCTTTTCATTTACTACATATCTCTTTTTTCATTTTTGTTTCTTGTCTCTACTCTTGTAAAATGTCAAAACATATTACTGTTGATAAATATACAGGTGTAACCAACATGGCCAATGGTATATCTTAACATACATTTGCTTGCATGTGTATAGGTGTAATACCACCAAATCATAGTACATCACATCCAGTTGCGTACGAAAATAGGTCGAAAAAAAATATTCCCTTGAATTTGACAGTTGTAGGTAATTGATCCTACATTTCATTGCAGTAAAACATTTCTGGGTCATAAACATATATCTTGGGTATTTTAAAGCACCATTATTTTTTTATTTGGGGTTTCTATAGAATATTTTGGAAACTTGAGGTTACATGGTTACTGAAGCTTGTACACAGGTTAAAAAAGGGGGAAAATTTTATTGGTTAACTTCCAGTGATGGTTATTTTCTTATATGCAATGAAATGTTATGTGAAATTTTTTCTATAGTACTGGACAGGATAAAACTTTACTCAAGTTGCCAAGTATTTCTTTATTTGAAACAAATTTAAATTCTGCACAATTTTTTGAAAAGTGCAAATTTAACAAAGACTAATAGGGGAAAATCAATGGTGGTATTACACCTATATAGAAAGTTAAAATCTTTTCCAATACTTTATTAATAGTGAATAGGAAGTTAACATAATGTTAACTGTTCAGTTAAGAATGTTTTTTGAATGTAACAATAATTCATATTTCCATCTATAGTCTCTCATGTTTTGAAATAAAACTTGAATAATGAGCACCAAGACACCTTTTTATTATAACTTGTCACCCTAATTCAATTCTAAATTCTAATAAGATAGCCGGCAATACAAAAATATGTGTGTTTAAGGTTTTTTTATCAAGAATTGTAGGGTTGGGTAAGAATTGTTTTGGTCACAAGCTGAAAAAAATATTGTGTTAGGGCCCTAGGTGAAAATTAGAATCAGTTAGGAAACCCAAATAACACAATTTGTATTTTATTTGGCCTAATATGTAATTGTCAAGAGTAAAACATTACTCTCCAAGTAAAACATAAATGCAATCATAAATATTTGACAAAAAAAACCCATTTAAATGTCTAATTTGAGGATTAGTATGAAATATGTTTACCTTCTAGTTTCTCTAAAACATCTTTTGGAATATGGCATATATGTTCAGCAACTTCTGCAATGTGGTCTGTCAGGTCATCAGCATTGTCAGGGTCAAGGTCAAGGGCAGTCAAAAATGCAAAGACAGCGTCTCTGTAATTGTGAACTTGGCATAAAGTCAAGCCATAAAGTCTGTATGCCTGTAAGGAAATTGATTTCATGTTTATTTTATTTCTCAAATCAGTAAATTCTTATGTAATAATGCATCTTCATGAAGTTTAAGGCAAAATGAAATTAAGACAATTATCTCCCTTTGACAGAAATTTTACTAGTCCTAACTTTTAAAAGCTAAAGAATTTCTTAATTTCAATCAAGTTTAAATATTTTAGTGTATACATGTATAATGTTAAGTAAAATCAAACCTCTGGGTTGTCAGGTTCTATGTTTATAGAATTCTCTGCATCTTTTAATGCCATAGAGTTATCTCCCATGTCCAGAAAAGCTTTTGTCCTTGCAAATAAAACCTCCATGTTTTTATCATCAATTTCCAAAGCTTCATTGTAACGTTTTACGGCTACAGTAAAGTCTTGTAATTGCATGGCTTGGTCTCCCATTTCCCGAAGTGATTTAATCTGAAATAAAAAAAAATATGTTAAAAGAAGTTATGCAATTGAATTAGACTTAAGTTTAAGTGTTTAATTTTTTATCTGATATTTTGTTGACATTTGATATAACTATAAAAGCACAATTCATACAATAAAAAACAACCTTGCAATGGTCGTCAATTGAATTAACTTTATATTCACGAAAGCCATGACATTCATAATGTTTCATAGAATTTTATCATCCTTAGCAATTACACTATACAGTATTAAAGTTAAATCGAAAGAGACATATTTTTAACTTAACAATTTTGTGTTGGAACTAAGTATGATTTAATGATATAATCAGCAAGTTGTTTTCCATCAGGCCAGCAACTGTTCATAATGCATGTAATTGTTTTATCTACATTGTATTAGTACTAAGGAACTTTTAAGATATAAATAGAGTTATTGACATAAAACTTGACTGTGTTTTGTTAAGGTACCAATTAGATTGACTGAATGTTAGTGTTTAATGCCACTTGCAGCACTCTTGGTTTATCATGGCGGCCAGTTATTATTCGAGGAGGAAGCCAGAGTCCCCAAAGAGAGAACCACGACCTTTGACAGGAAAACTAAGATGGGAGCCTAATGCCCGGTAGGGTTACTGACTATCCTTTCGGGTATAACTGTGCCGACAGCACTTGCCAAATCATACCCTGTTCTAACCAGAAAACATTGAAAAACATACCCTGTTCTAAACAGAAATATTGAAAACATACCCTGTTCTAGACACGCTCAGAAAATGTATACCCTGTTCTATACACGCTCAGAAATATGCACCAGGAATGATCCTGTTCTAGACAGTATAAGATAGATGCTGTTCTAGACGGTATCTTAAACAGTTAAATAAGCGATCCTGTTCTAGACAAATATTCTAACTTGGATGGAGAGTTGTCTCATTGGCACTCATACTACATCTTCCTATATCTAAATACTTTGTTTAAAAAAAGACCCTGTTCTCACCAGCAGGGCATGAAAAAGTGACCCTGTTCTAACCAGCAGGACATGAAAAAGGGACCCTGTTCTAACCAGCAGGGCATGAAAAAGCGACCCTGTTTTGCGGCACACTTGTACCACTAAAAATATAGGAAGTAACTCCCCGGGGCCTAATGCAACTTGCCAGGAGGAAGTTTCAAACTTACAAACTCAGCCTTGACAGGCTAGCGAACATTATAGGGTATTACTTTCAGCTTTGAGGGGTGAGTGTTATAAACAAAATGGCTGAGATTAAATTTACCTCATTAATTTCCTCCACTTCAGATATTGGTTCACTGCCCTCAGCCAAGCTAGGCATACTAAAGCTATGGCTGAGGGTGGCAGTATAATGTGCTTGCAACTGTCTGTCCATTGTTTCTAAAAAATAAGATATAAAACACAAATATAAAATAAATTCCATTCCAAGGATGAAAGATCACTTTAATAAGTCTTTTATTGTGCACCTTCAACTAACAATGAAAAAATTAGGAGATGTGGCATGATTTCAAATAAGGCAAGTATCCATGAAAGATCAACTCATTTTGAATTTCTTCTGTTTGTTTATATATCAATAAAATGAGTTATTAAATCTTATTCATCATCACAGAAAAAAACTAATGATAAAGCTGAACTATAGTCAATATATGTTCACCGATTTTTTTAAAATTATACATTAATATGAGAAAAGAGTGTTCCCCAAAAAATTTACGAATACATTCCTTTGTTTACATTCATTACAATGCCAAATATAATTTGCATAATATCATGATCAGCATAGGGAACTTTTCAGTAGCAACAGATATTCAATGAGTGAAAAAAATTTTTTTTTTTTTGTAAACCGAATTATATATCATGTGTATGTTCAGGTTTCAAACAAAAAGACAATGATGTAGAATATTTTTTCCTCTGAAAATCATACAAATTAAGTACACTTAACAACTGTTAACTTTTATTAAATATATAAATTGTATATTCCAGTTGCCTGTCTGCCTAATTCTAAAATATGATAGCTAAGTGCATACTGTGCATATTCAATGTTACTGTGTTTTGGTTAAATTTTCATGATAGCAAAATGCAGGCAGTGTCCTTTCCACAAATTTCATATAGCATCCTGTTAAACAAGGCAGTATATAATATCATCTTGTTTCTAGAATTTATAGCATCACATCCATAACACAATCTACAAAAAATTATTTCAGATACATTCATGTACCATCACATTCACTGTGTTCAAGGAATATTAGTATTTCCGTCAGGAGGATTTGGGAAGGCGTGGAGCCCTGTCACGTTATCTTGAAGCCCTGTCCTTTCTCAAAAAAAAAGTGGATAAAAGGCCCCTATTCTGTCGTATTTAATAATGCCCTGTGGTAATTTAAGATTGGTTTTTCTATTCATCTTGAATTAGACCTTTTCAGGTTATTTCCCTTTGAACAAAATAAACATTTTGATGGCTGAAATTGTATTAACCTGAATAATTCAGTCCTCCCCATAATCAATCTCTCCTATTTGTGTTAATTTAGCCATCATAGAGCAGCGAAATATAACAACTGAATTATTTGGGTTAACATTTTATTGAATTTCGTAATTATTCAGGGACGATAAAAAGTGCACGGCAAAATAAAGTTTAGTTTTTAATTTTCTAAAACATAAAATGCATTTGAAATTTAACTAGGTCATGCTAAACCTTAAAACTATTTCAGATGCACAGGTCTGTCTATACTCTAATCAAATTTTGAGGTGTAAACACAGCCATTTTAGTTAACAAGGTCCACATGAACCTTAAACAGTTTACTATGCAAATCCTCTTTCACAGGCAACACTAGTCCAAATAATTATGACGTCTTGAAAGGCTATTTTAATTTTTTGTCTGTGATGCTGAAGGCGCCACAGAAAAAATTAAAATAGCCTTTCAAGACGTCATAATTATTTGGACTAATTAAGGAACACCTGCCTCATATATAACTGAATATGTTGGTCACTTGAAAAACTTTTTAGTTTTAGGGACAAAGTACACAATCGTATAGTGATGCTGTAAACTATGACTAGTGTTTAATCTATGAATGCATGTTGGGAGAATGTGCAGCTACATGTAGCAGCGCACAGCCACAGGTGCAGGGAATTAGTAGGTCTGAGTTGTACCTTTTTTAACTAGATGTACAATGACATTGTGGCAAGACGAATGCAAATGTCATAAAATTGTTGACTTTTGATCATCTGTCACGAATTTGTAGTAAATGGAACATTGCTGTCATTCAAAAATCCGATTCCAGTGCTTTGGATCCTTTTCAACAGCACCGGAAGTGATCGTAACTATACACATTCAATTTCAGTATATCCTACTACCAACAAAAACTGAAGATAAGGCATTTAGAATAACGTACTGAATTACAAACAATGCCAAACAAAGGTACACACTAACAACACACAGGCATACTATAATTATGAATAATTATATTTTTATATTTAATTATCTATACCATGATATTTATAAATTTAATGCATACGTCTAGGACCTCTAGGTAAATATTAGCAACATTTTATTTAGATCTTTTTACTATGTGTGGGATATTTCTTACAATTAAGATAAAGAAAAGTGTCAATATCTTGTTAACACCGATGTTACCATACTGATTAAAAGTTGTTTTTAAATCACTAAATTTACGTATTGGATATCAAGAAACTTAACAGTGGTGTTTGCTAGCTAGTATATCATGACGTGCCAGCACATACATCTATCATTAATTATTCATCGAGTTAATACTAAGATGCTTTTCACATATATGTCTTAAAAACGTTACTCTTTGTATACAGACAAAATTGAAAATCTGACAGTGACCTTGAACTTTGACCTGCTGACCCCAAAACAATAGGCTTATAACCATTCTCTATATCTTCCATCGCTAAATGTTTCATTCCAACTAAGCAAGGGAAAGTCAAGCTATCATCCGGGAACCATTTTCGATTTTTTTTCCTGTTTTTAAAAACAGTGACTTTGACCATTGATATTTTGACACAATAAGCTTCTGCCTCCTTCCTTATATCTTTCGTTTGTGTAAGTGTCGTTCAAATCAAGCAAGGGAAACACAAAAAAAACATCCGGAAACTGAGACTACTATAACACGTGTTATAGTAGTCTCAGCCGGAAACCATATCCCCAAAAATTATGTTACTGTTACTGTTAACAGTGACCTTGACCTTTGATCCCTTAATCAATTGACTTCTTCCATATATAACTTTAATTTCGTCCCAATTAAGAAAAGGAAACTCAACCGCACACTTTTTTCAAAATTTTCCCTATATAAAGTAGCAGTGACCTAAATTCCTTACATATTGACATAAAATGAATAGGCTGCTTCTCCTCTCTATATCTTCCGTTTGTTTAGATACAATAAAAATAAGAAGATGTGGTATGAATGCCATTGAGACAACTATCCACCAGAGACCAAATGACGTAGAAGTTAGCAACTATGAGTCACCGTATGGTATGGCCTTCAACAATGAACAAAACCAATACCGTATAAAAGGCCCTGATATTACAAATGTAGAACAATTCAAACGAGAAACCTAACAGCCTGATTTATGTACAAAACAATAAGCAAAAACAAATATGATACATTAACACACGACACCATGGGTGTTCATTCGAATCAAGCAAGGGAAACTAAAGTTACCATCCAGAAACCATTTTTTTTAAGTTTTATTTTTAGTAGCATTGACCTTAAACTTTGACTAATTGACCCCACAATCAATAGGTTTTTCTCCCCTTCTATCTGTGTAAGTTTCATTCCATGAAGCAAGGGATACTCAAGTAATCATCTGCAAAATATTTGTTTCGGACACACAGACGGACGGACGGACGGAAGGACCAAGCGATTAAATGCTCTCGAATTTTTTCATTTTGCATAAAAAAAACTAATTATATATCGAACAATTACAACTTTTGTAACTAGTCAAGTATTACGTTTCAAATAAGTAAAAGATTGTGAAATCCGATATTGACAGTGATCTTTAATTATTCATAGACGCATGAAGTGTGCAGTACGTTACCATTTCTATTTATTAATGAAAATTAACATGCAGAAGGTAAGATTTACATTCTATTTCGTAGGAAAATCTTATTAAAATCCTTACATTAAATGAAGACTTCACTGAGGGAATTTATATGTATTTACCTACATGTATGGCTTTGCTGAATATACAGTGGTCAGATATCTAACATATACCCGGTACATAATACCCATTATGTGTTATTCAAGTCAGTAAACTTAAAATTCAGTGGATGTCGTTGGTTGCTGTCTTTCATCATTTTGTTTCGTTCATTGTTGAAGGCTGTACGGCGACATATAGTTGCTAACACCCACGTCATTTTCCATCATTCAAATCCCTTTATTTTACAAGGAATCGGAGCTTTTTATGATGACATGTTAATTGAGCTACTTATGTTCTGATTGTATTCCTTTGATGTTAGTAATAAGATTTATTTTTATTTTGAATAATTGATACTTTTGTTTTGGAAAACATGATTTATTTATAAGTTGTAATTTGTGGACTTTGAACTAGCTTTCAGTAACTTCCGAGTACTCTTAGATCAGTACTTTGTGTCTTGTTTTTGTTTTTTGTTAGTTGTTTTTGTGCTTAGTATCAATCTATTGAGTTAAGCCATTTAGAACTGTTTTTGTTTTTTGTCATAAAGCATTGCTAGTATCAATTCATATCGGGGCCTTTTCAGCTGAGTATAAGGCATGGGAATTTGCTAACTGTTGAAAGCAATACGGTGGCCTATAGTTGCTTAAATACACGTCATTTGGAATCTGGTGGATACTTAGTGTCTCATTGGCAATCATGCCACATCTCCTTATCCTTATATTGATAGCGAAATTGTTTAACTAGCAAATTACTTGTTAATTGTAAAATGAATTAGCTTTATCTATATTTTAGATTAAATTGTAATGTGGACGACCTCAATAGTCATATTCATTAAATGAATGTATGAAATTGTTTATTAAACACATATACCCTCAATATCGTCATTTTCAGAATGAGTTGTTTCGGATGCAGTCCTCAATACCCAAGCGTCAAACAATTTACAACTGAAGGTTTGCTCCTACACAATAGCATAAGACTCAAACATAACGTTCCACCATTAAAGTTTGCAAAAGATCTAGTCCAACATGCACAGGAATGGGCGGAGTATTTGGTTAAGACAAACCAAGACACTCCCGAGGTTCAGCATCTTAGAAGAAAGAATATTGGGCAAAATGTCACTTTAAAAGATTCTTACGAGAATTACGCCGTCGACTACTCAGGTAAAACGTTTATGTGCAGCTAGATGCAACTTAGGAACAGACACTTAAAACACCAAGTAAGGAGACACGTGTCTGTGATCTTTAGCTATATTTTACGTCAATACAGTTTTATCTTTTAAAGATGTTTTGTACAGAAGTACCTTTATCCGCATTGGAGAAAAGGCGATTAAAATTAAGAAACAAACCAGCAGCTAGACGTATTTGATTTCTCTCTAGTATTTAGCGCTTTAAAGCTGACACGATACTGAATATTTCGACATTGTTGAAAATCCATTTATTCAAGAAAATTTCAAGACACAAACTGAAAACGCAAAACTGAGTTATCCCCTTTAGCTCTACAGTCTTGTTGACCTCTCTTATTCGTGTAAAATGAAAGAATAAACAATCACACAATTGTCGAATTTTTAGTTTGAATAGTTTTACTATGATCCATTTTTTAAAAGCAATATGACTAATCAAATTTCTCACTTTAATTAAAGCTGAAGATATCATAAAAGAATGGTACAGCGGGGTAGATATCTACCAGCCATATTTTGGAAGGGAACCACCACCATTAGAAATAATCAAAGGTATTTTGTTACAGTGTGGACGTCAGTGTCAGTCAGGCAAACATTTCACATTTCAAATACGGAACTAGTGGATTGTTCTAAAAAATTCACTTATATTTAAGTTGTTATACATCGTTACAGTAACTGTTACCAGGACACCATACACAAACAAACAGCTTTATATCAGCATATAACTAATGTCATGCAGTATCTAATAATCCTTACAAAAGTTCACATTTATTGTATCACGAAGGAAGCCATTATTTTTACATCTATAATTCACCTACACCTACTAAATAATGATAAAAAAGAATCCTCTTTAGACGAATAAAGATGGATTTAAGGTATGCCTCAGCACTACAACAACCTGACCCCCCCCTTCCCCCCTCCCCCTCCCCCAGCAGAAAAAAAATCACATCTAGCTTCAATCTTCAACCGTATGCAGAATGTAAATCTGTTTTTCGCGCGGATTGAAAAAAAGATGCTTATAAAAAGGTATTGTATCCAGAAATAATGTCCTTTATTCCTGATAATGTGCCGGAAATATACAGTTAGGAAATAAAATAAAAATTGAACCACAAAATGTTTAATCATCTTCTATTTCAGACTTTTTAATAAATTAAGATATGTGTTTGTGTCATACATGTGCATATGCATGTAAATCAGTATCTTCCATAGATTTATTTTTAAACAGCACCATTCTATCAATGGTAACATTCTGCATATATTTATCATAAAATATTGCAAACGGTGGCATGAAAATTTAGTTCAAAGTAGAAAAAGCCTTGTTAAACAGGGGGATGGCACGCTTTTGGAATGTGAGACATATTTGGTAAAAAAAAGTGGGGATGTGGGATTTTGGGGTCTAATAAAAACGAGAGTGAAAGATATAGAACAAAAAAAGTGGGATCTGGAAATAAGCAGGAAAAATGTGGGAAGTGGGAAAAAATTCCCCAAAAGAGGAATTTGGGAAATAAGCAACCCTGTGTCATCCCCGTAAAAGGCAGGGTTCATATTTATTTCACATTAACGTGGTATCGTCCTAGCTTAATATCATGCAATATTATCTGTTTGAGTTAAGCATAGATAAATCATTTAATATTTAAAAAAGTATGTGCAGAGGTGGATTTAGTGGGAGGGGCACAGTCCCCCCTTATGGAGCATCATATATGATAAATGCATAGATTATTTACAAGTATTACTCCAAACATTGACTTGCCAACCCCCTTCCCCCTTTTAAAATTCTGGATCCGCACCTGATGTACAAGGGTAAATTTTATACTTCAGGTTATGGACATTTTAGTCAAATGGTATGGAAGGATACAAAGGAAATGGGAATGGGTAAAGCTATAGGAAACGACAGAACAGTAATAGTAGCTTCATACCGACCAGCTGGTAATGGCCTTGGAAAATTTACTGACAATGTCAAGGAACCTGATGACAAAGTTCTAATATTCAAGCATTTCAAAATGTAGATTTCGTTATGTTAATGCAAAGTCAATTGTAACAATTTAACTTAATTGAAATTCATGTTTCTTACGAAAATGTTGACTGGTCACTAATGGTCTACGAAACCAAACTCACAACTAGTGAAAATTTTCAGCATGCATGCAGGAGCATATTTTAGTGAGAAGATGTTTATTGCTTGAGTTGGTTTTCGTATATATGGGCAAGTTTTATATTGGTGTTTTAATATACTATGCAGAATAGTACATTTGTTATTCCGAGGTCATAATCTCATGGTAGCAAAAACAAATCACAGCTCTATTAGTACACATATTAACTAAATATCAAATAAATAATTTATAGAGGGACCTCGGTGGCAACGTGGACTAAGTAGCTCAGCTCCTGTATCACGGGCCTGTCAACACTGAGATTGCGAGTTGGAATCCCGCACATGGTAGGTATGTTCGACTCCAATCTTAATTGACTAGGATTGTCAGTTTTCCTGCCGAGGATCATTGGCTCTCTCCGGCTTTCTCAAACAATAAAAAGTAGCCGCCACTATATAGCCAATAGTGCTAAAAGTGGCGTTCAACACCAAAAATCATTGATCAATAAATAAAGAGTGCACACAAGATTCTCTTAGTTTACAAAAATACATATTTTCAAACCTACAATTCTTTCAGTTTTCTTATATTATGGCTAACAAGTTAAATGATTTGAAAATCCCATGTTTTACAAGTAGAATAATGTGATTTCTCGTGGCCAATAGTTTTATTCAGACGTACAACTTTTCCCCCCAGCTGTTTGTTAACTATTACTATGGTGATACAGCTTACATGTATTTTTCCCTTTGATTTATGAACGTTGTTTAATCCCATATGAAAGTGTCTGACTCTTTATTGAATCACAGCTGGGGCAGTTCTCAATATGCTAATAATCTCATGTGATTTGATGCAAACAAACTGGTCGAAACACAACTCTCAATTTACAATCGCATTTTTATGTTATGGCTAACGTTTTTTTTAGACAATTTGTCACAGTCCTAATATGGTAATTTTGGAGAGAAAAAAATCTCCCTGAAAGCACTTGAATGTTATGGCCTCAAACTCGAATGATACAATTCTTTCTCAATGCCCTAACAATTTCATAGTCAACGGTTTTATTGGGATGCACCTTTCCTTTCTTGTTGATTGTTAACTATTGCTTTATATATTGTATATAATATATCCCAAAATATAATAATAGATATATTTCTAAAATAAGGTAAAACAATTTCAGTGATTTTGTTGGCTGTTGTTACCTCATTAAAAAGATAATTATATAACTATTGTACATTTTTTGTATGTAACCATGAAACCTATGTAGTTTTTATTTAGGAATTTAGGAAAATTAATTTAAAAAAAAACACATGCCAAACAAGAAGCACCTTAATAAGGTTTAATTACCCTCAGTATAGGTGTGGTTTTTATGTAAAAGAAAATCTTTTTTTAACAAAACTCTAAAACTTTAAAATTAATATAATTAAATTATTACATAAGATAATTTGATTTAACTATCTCTATTTGATAAATCTGAGAATCACGTAAGAATGTAAAAATCTGTTTTTATAATATATCTTTATTTTATTGTGGCTGTTGTCATGTCAGTTAAAAAGAAATTTATCTTAACAGTTAAAATTTAGAAAAAGTAGAGGTTATTTGGTCAAGTATGGTTCAGACTGGTCGAGTATTGTTCAGACCTTTGGTCGAGTATGGTTTAGACTGGAAAAAATAGGTCGAGTACAGGTCGAGAATGGGTTAAGACTGTTTCAGACTGGTCGAGTAATAGTTCAGACTATTTTCAATGGCAAAGATAAGGGTCAAGTACAAATCAGTACAGTCGAGTATGGTGAAGACTGGGGTCGAGTAATGTCGAGTAAAATTCAGACCAATTCAGACTGGTCGAGTAAAAATCAGTACAGTCGAGTACAGATATAGGCCATTTCAGACTTTTACTGGTTTGTAGTGTAATGGTAGCCTTTTCCTCAATTCTAACGCCCTATATCGTAAACTTGGATATGTAAGATGCCTCGTTTCGAAGCGGAGACAATTTCACATATGTGGTTAAATTTTCGGGGTACGAAGTGAGATTTATTTTCCCGTAATTTAGCACACCCCGAAAAGCTTTTTGTGATGCGGCTTCTCGAGGTAAAAAATCACTATTTACACAATAATTTCTTTTAAAATTTAGTTCTTTGTATACATTTTAAAAGGAAACTTCGCAAAAAAATTCCATAGTTTTTACACCTTAGTTATATGATACTCTGCTCTCCAAATCAATACAAATGGTTAAGGTCAGTCACTTGTTGAAAATTAAAACGTATCCAATTTCACTGCACAGATTTTGTTGATTTGTGAGTTCCTCATTTAGAGGCGCATTAGGGATATTGTCCAATTTATTTATGGACACAACCATGGTTTGGTAGACCGTTATGGAATATCTGTGTCTCATATGCCATCTGATTGTTACATTACCAAAGGCGAGTTTTACTTGTTTGAGCAACATGACGGGTGCCAAATGTTGGACAGGATCACCTGAGTTCATTCCCGGTTTTTAGTTCGTGTTGCTCGGTCTTTAGTTTTCTATATACTGTTTTGTTATTTTGTTTATCCTTTCGTCGTTTTTATTTTGGGCCATGGTATTATTGTTTTATTGGGATTATGATTTGTTTTATTGGGATTACGATTTTTGATTTCACTACAGCAATCTTTTCTTTCTCTATTTTTATAGGCAAACACTCCATATGTACATTTAATAAATTGTTAAAATGGCCTAAAACTAGTATGTAACCTACAGTTTATAATGTCTTATTTACTTTGATGTACAAAATAGATTTTTACACAGTCACAGAAATGCTCATTTTAAATAAAAAATGGTAAACTGTGACAAGCTTCATGTACACTTACAACATCGAAATAACCTGCATATCATAATCAGACAAGAAAAAGTGTACCAAATTTCCACTGCTTACCCTTCCGGAGAACCAGCGTTTGTTGGAGTTCGTGTTGACGAGTCTATAGTTTTTTATGTTGTGTTTTGTAGACTTGTTCGTCCTTTTGTCGAGTTATTAATGTCCTTTGTTATCTTCTGCCTCTTTTTTCAAATTATATTGTTACAAAATGACCATGTACACTACTACATATTATCCTCAAAGGAAAACATGCGAATAACCGTCCTTTTTGGCACAGACACTACTGAATAAAGAAGGTGAGTTGACCCATGTTTTACTAGTATGACCTCAACCTTCAACTGACGACTTTCAGTTCCAGTTATGTTTCTCGGAGTCAAAGTTCAATAGCATAAATGGGGCTTAACTCTTAATTTCATCGGTAAACATACATTGTGTTGCATTTAACGCCACCCAATAAACTTTCGCGCGTACATATACGTATAATTAATATCAACAAGTAATATTTATAATAAATCTTAAGATAATCGATAAAAAATATAACAGATAATAAAAAATAATATGTTCAAGTATACATATGCACCCACAAAAAACAGCAAACGGAATCGTGTATTTGCTTTTTTATATACAAATATATTGAAAATCTTACGTAAGTTATGTAATTACACGAAGTATCAATCAAAAACTGAACGCAGTATAAATGGGAATTCACGGTTGATGTCAACTCTAAACATGAAAATTAAATATCGCCCCGAGGCAACTAATTGCAATTCGGCTACAAATTAAATATTCCTTAAAATATGAAATATCAGAAAGGGTATTTTACATGTTTGACTTATTCAATTTCGACCTTAGTTTACTCCGCTTTTTTAAATCTATTTTATTGTAATGGAACTGTGGCTTTCGAAATTTTTGCTACACAGTTTTCATATACCGATTATACTATTTTCCTTTTTATTAGGATCGTTTATGTTTTAAATGGGTTCATCAACGACTTCACTTGTACATCTGGAATATAGTCTTGAGTATGCCGTGTTCTCATCAGAATCCCGGTCTTGTGTGTTTTCAGACTGTTGCTGGGTAGACAGCAATGACTCGTATGGATTTAAATAACCATCGGTCGATAACTGAATCCCATCCGACGAATTACTTGAGTTGTCGCCAACAGTAATATGTCGTTGTTCGTTTGATGATAAAACTAAATCTGACATCTCAAGCTCGTCGATTTGTTGATATTCGTGCCCACTTTCCCTACCAGTTGAAACGTTCTGGCTTATGCCTACTTCGTCGTCTATGTTAGCTCCGCTGATATTCGCAACGCATTTCTGGTTAATTCCTGTATTTTGATAAATATGTGCTTTTCTACATTTTTTGTGGACACAAAAGCAAATAATACTGCAAGTGAGAATTAGAAAAATGCCAGCTCCACACGATGCATAGATGATCACTTCAGTATTTATTATACCTACAAAGCAATAAAATATGCTGTTATTAAATTCAATATTTTTATTTTGTTCCTTTCGATTGTATTGTCATGGCGTCAAATATCTTAAATTATCCCATAAAGGGAAACTGTCAAATTTTCAAAAAAGGCAATTTGCAAAGGAATATCTTTGTTTCAACATAATTTGTAACTAAAACATGTGGAGCAGGATCTGTAGACCCTTCTGGAGCACCTGCGATCCCCCCGGTTTTTGGTGGGGTTGGTGCTGCTCAGTCTATAGTTTTCTATGTTGTGTATTGTATAATATTGCTTGTCTTTTAAGTTTTTTTTGCCATGGCGTTTTCAGTTTATTTTCGAGTTGTACCTATGAATGTCACTTTGATATCTTTCGCCTTATTTATACGTAAGGGGGCAACCATTTAACTTCAAAAGGGGGGGATATGGTTTTTTGTCTGAGTCAGAAAATTGTTATCGCGCCGCGAACATTTTGTTTTAGTTTTTTCGACGCTATCAATCAAATAATTTTTTTTCAAAATTTAACACTATAAGGAAGGGGAAAATCTGGATTCAGAATATTTTTTTTGTCATCTGCTTGACCACAATATTTTTTTACATCAAATTGGGGATCAGAATATCTTTTTAGGAAAAAACCATAACCCCCCTTGAAGTTACATGTAAATGGTCGTTCCCTAAAGAGATAATAAGACAACTCTCCTCGAAAGACAAAGGACCTAAAACTACAGATAACGGTACTTAGCATATTATTATTCTTTTTAAGTTTATGTAAGGTGACCGCTAGATTTGTAAAATATAACTGCGAACTAAACGATGATTGACTGATTGATTGATTGGTGTTTTAACGCCACTTTCAACACTATTGTGCTATTTCGTGGCGGTCAGTTTTTATTGGCGGAGGAAGCCGGAGAGAACCACCGACCTTCGGTAGGAAAACTGACAATCCTAGTCAATTAAGATTTGAGTCGAGCGCACCTGCCCCGTGCGGGATTCGAACTCAGTGTTGACTGGCTAGTGACACAGTAGTTGGACTACTTATACCACTCGGCCAGCGAGGCCCCAACTAAACGATGAAAAAAGTCATATCAGCTGCAATTAATTTTTGTCAAATTCTTGACAGGCTTTTGTTCTTTTTAAATGTGACTGACACAAGTCAGCAATATGACAACTATTTCCCATTTGTTCCAATTACTAGTAAGAAAATTTAAATATGTTTTATTCAAAATTGGTCTGTTTATATTGACAATATTTTCAGTGACGTTTAATTATAGTAAAATTTCTATTATGTGTTTCCAATTTGGTTGATGAGTGTATAATTTTCACTTTCGTTTAAATTTAACAATTGATTGGTTGGTGTTTAACTGTTGTGCTTTTTCGTGGCAGTCAGTTTTTATTGGTGGAGGAATCCGGAGTGCCTGGAGAGAATCACCGACCTTCGGTAGGAAAACTGACAATCCTTGTCAATCAAGATTGAAGTCGAGCGCACCTGCCACGTGCTGGATTAGAACTCACAATAGACCACGCGGCCACCGAGGCCCCTAAATTTATACGAACTTTGGCCTTACCGGTTGTACTTTCTACTGTACTAGTTTGGTACTCTGTAGTAGTATTAGTAGTAGTAGTTGTAGTAGATGTTCGAACTGACTTTTCTGTCGTTTCTGAATCTGCCAAAAAAAGAAGAAATTCTGAACTTTAAACAAGTAAACATCAATCAATCATTCAATAAATAAGTAAGAAAATACCTTTGGGAGAAAATAACTATTCAACAAACAGGCAACAGCATTTTAATAAGAAAAACAATAGTTTACCAATTTTTCACAGATAATCAAAGTTTATTAAACTTTACAAACGCTAACATAGTACATCTGGAGTGGACCCACGTTTTTTTGTAATGATAAGGAGTCAATATTGCAATTTATTCAAGAGTAGTGCTTATCATGGCATGTCTGGGGTTCGTATATGGTGAAAAGTCACAAACGAGGAAACAAATGCATACTTGTGACGATGACGAAATATGTATGCAAACAAAAAATTATCCTTATTAACATAGTAGTAGGGTGCCCAGTCAACGAATTTGATTTGGAATAACGGAATAACACACGGCTGTATTATATATCATCGGAAAGAGGAGAACAAGCCCCATCGACAAATTGATGTCGTCGTTGTCTACAGTGGTCTACAGTCGTGACGATTTTCTTAAATTTGGGTCAAAGGTCAAAGCTAAAATTTCAAGGAAAACGCAGAGTCACGTTTAGACAGCTGGCCTCCCCTACATATATGCGTTTATAGCAAAATAAATTCAAATAATTCAAAGGATTATAGCTATAGTTTCTTTATTTAGGACTAATTTGATATTTATGTTGCCAAATATGGTTCGAGATTGACATTTGTACTTATAAGGTGCATTTACATTTTTATTCAGCTGTTAAATAAAAGTGACCTGGACCTATTAAAATTTCCAAATTCGGAATGTTTTTAAAAGATTCAATACAAGTGATCTCAATAGATGTTTTTTAAAGATATTAACATTTACAAGTTTTCCTCCCAAAATGCTATTTTTTCGACTTTTAATAGATTTATATATATAGTGTTCGTAATGATTTTCTGGGTAAATATCCAATTTTCTTTTGGTTAGTGTGAAAGCACATCAAATTGTACTTAGTTCCAAAACTGGTGTAATATTAACGCAGAATGGATTGAATTAGCAGGTCTGAGTATATCTTTGCTTTATAGAAATAAAAAAAAAAATTGCAAACCGTGAAAAAGCGGAGGGTTCCTGTTAAAGTTATGAAAACAAAATGACAATTAGAAACAGGTTAATCACTCCATCTTACAACCTTATATGACTTGTTGAGCATAAATTGGCCTAGAATTGATATGAAGTTAAAGATTATCTACAAAAAGAGGGTCATGTACAGTAGTGATGTATTTTACAACACTTGTAAACAACATCAATCTTATTAAAATATAGATCTCTGATTTCGTAATCCTCATATGAGCTTATATATACGAGCACACGAGTTAATATAGATCAGAATTTTCATCAGATTGAAACAACTTAGAAAAATTGCCGAAGCTAGTAGTAGTTATTACGTTTCATTGTCTACTGTTAAGTTGAAAGCCCACCGACTAGGCTTAGGTTTAAAGAGAGATAATTTCAGTTGTTCTTTTTTAACGACGCAAGTCGCAGAATGCGAGGCATACAAAATACAATCTGATGGTGGCGGCGTCAAACCGTAAATTGTTTGTATTGATTTATATTTCAGAGGGTAGAGGAATTGGACGATTCATACTTGTATATAGACCCATTGGGTTACGAAGTTCCCGTCTGTCATATAATCATTGTCCTTGACCTCATTTTCATGGTTTAGTGACTGCTAAAAAAACTGTATATAGCTTTTTTTCGTCATGTGAATGTCTCATTTATCAAGACTTCTAGGATAACTATATGTGGTTACTAATATATGGTATGCTTGCAAGGTCTACATGTCCGTCAGACATGGTTCACCTGGCCTCGACCTCATTTCATGGATCAGTGAACAAGGTTAAGTTTCTGTGGTCAAGTCCGTATCTCAGATACTATAACTACAAGTAGTGGGTCAAATATATTTGGTGTATGGAATGGAAGCAAGGTGTCTTTGTGGCAGAGTTCATCTGACCTTACCTCATTTACATGGAACATTGACAATGTTAATTTTATGTAATACTTGTTGTATATTATAAAAATAAGGAGATGTGGAAGTAAGCAATTATAGGCAACCGTACGGCCTTCAACAATGAGAAAAAAAAATCATACCGCATTGTCGGCTATAAAAGGCTCCGAAAAATTTGAAACAATTCATTTGAGAAAAGTAGCGGCGTAATTTATAACAAAACAATTTACCAAAAAAAAAAAAAAAAAAATATGACAGACATGAACCAACGACAACCACACAAATACCGACTCGATCCAGACTAGGGACAGGCATATACAGACTGTATAATCCTTTTCTCTAAGACTTTCGACATAATTCAGTCAGATAGTAAAACATGCTGTACCAGTAGAATCATAGTTTTTACGGTAATGATGTTTATGATCATACTTTTCTCAGACTATTGATGACGTCCTTTCATTACTTTCAGTCAGGGACGACCATTTGATTTCGAAAGGGGTGAGGGGAGGAGGATTTTGAAAATAAATAACTTGGCCTGATATGAAATGAAGATAAATGACTTTGCACAAGACAGGATGAAAATGAATACTCTGCAACATGAAATGCAGGATAATTGAGGTTATGAATGTGTAAAAAAGTGAAAATAAATTTTCACGCAGCAAAGCCGCGGAAAAAAATAAGCATGCGTATCAACAGATGAAAAAAAAGGTCAATCCGGAAAAAAATGTCCTGCCGCCAGCACCCCTTTTTATTGTTAAATTCATGAAAAGACAATGTTTCTATATTGAATTTTCATGTGACAAGAGCAGACCGGTGAACTCGAAAACTTTGATGTGAAAAATAAAAACTTTTTTCTCCTTAGAAAAAATCTATTCAATGTATGAGATAGAAAAAGTTTGTATGTATTTAAAGTTCATCAGCGCAATAAATCTATTCTCTGTGTTCATTCTGTCAAAGTCATCAATGAGTTCTAGTGCTTTAGAAAAAGTTTGTATCGGATATCTGTATATAAAGGACAAACTATTAAAAAATGTATTTCGTGTTCTACATTTTTGTTGTCGTTCACATTAATAGCGTAAGCAACAAAATGATTAATGGCACTAGATAATCCGAGTTTAATCAATGCCAAAATGTTGACTTAATTTGTGTTTTTAATTGCGAATTTCTTCAATACGACTTTTGTTTCAGACATGAAATTTGACACACACATCCACTGTGTCTTATTGCTTTAATCAGAGTAAAAAAATATCGTGATGATACACGTAATAATTTTGCTTTCGATGAAAATGTGGTAAATTTCGGGTAAAATTTTAGTCTCACTAAAATGCTGAAATGTTTATACTAAAATCACCTAAATACTTTCCGCTTTCGTTTTATGATATATTTGATATAAACTATATTATAAGTTTTGTTTAACCACCAACAAAGAGCGCAAAAATTTTATTTTACATGTTAAAGATTCCCCGTACAATACGGTATCTGGAGATACCCTGTAAAACACGAAATTTAGAAAATCGTGACCAGGGGAACCTACGACGACAATCATGATTGTAAAATATAAAGGTTTTCCTATAATTTGCAAAAACAATTAGTCGTATGTTATTCCGTTAACTTAAACTCTTTTAACTAGAGGAGGTTTTAGACACTTGGCACCCTACTACAGGGATTAATAATGCCATACAAAAGCAGTGATAAGGTATCAATTTGATGACGGAAAAATAGACGCCAATCAGATTTCATTCCCAATCCATAACTATGAAACATCTTTTGAAATTGGTACTGCATCTGGAAAATTTTAGATAATGACATTTTTTCTGTTTTATCAATACCAATTGCTCTTTTAAGAACAAGAGACGCCTCTCAGATATGACATAATGAGAGGACTTCAACTAATACAAAAGAAGTTTGCAAGAATTTGAATACAGAACATGGGAGATACCTTAACTTAAGAAATGAAAGCTTCTTTATGTAATTTTTGCTTTATTCTAAAAATGTGTGCACGATTAACACTTTTTAAACCCTATCAAATTACCAAAAGAAGCATTCATTTCTTATAATTACATTTTTATGCTAAGACCATGAAAACTTTTATCAAGTTTTTCTTTTATTTACCTGTGCACTTTTTGTGGAAGCACGTGTCATCACTAATGTAACATGTCATTTTGACATAATTACATTACATATATGTTTCATTATAATACGTTATTTTGATTGGCTAAAAGCAATCTCGCGTAATTCTGAAATTAACCTTCATTTCAAAATGAAATGTAATATTTATGACGACACGAGCTTCCACAATAAAGTGCACAGGTAAATAAAAGAAAAACTTGACAGAAATCGTGTTTTCATGATCCTAGCAAAAAACTGTAATTATATGTATTGAATGCTTCTTTTAGTAATTTTATTGGGTTGTACAAGCGTTGACCGTGCGCACATTTTTAGAATGAAGCGCGGTACTTCGGCCAACGCTTTTACACCCCAATAAATTTACCAAAAATCATTCAATTCTTAAATGAAGGTTAATTTTTGAATGACGCGCGATTCTTGTTAGCCAATCAAACTAACGGATTCTCGTAAAACATACATGTAATGTAATTATTGATATATAAGTGAAGTAATAATGAGTCAAACTCATGACGATGCAATTCATTTATTTTTCACATTCGTGACACTACCTGTACTAATTCCAGTAGAGTCTGGGCTTGGTATTGTGTTTATTTTTGATAAACAAAATAACATAAAAATAACAAAATACTTTAAAATTACATATCAAGCATACAACAGCACGTTCAGAAGAAATTCAATTGTTAACTAATTTTTCCCAAAAAAATAAATTTAATAAATAAAATCTGGGTTCATCTTTACTACTTCTAAGTAAAAATTTTTTTTTTATTTTTTTTTTTATTTTGGTTCATTTTTATGTTTTGGAGTTTAGTGTGGCGTCCATTTCGCTGAACTAGTATACGTTATTGTTTTGGGGCTAGCTGAAGACGCCTCCGGGTGTGGGATTGTCTCGCTGCTTTGAAGACCCATTGGGGGCCTCGGGCTGTTTTCTGCTCATTGATCGGTTGTTGTCTCTGTTACACATTCCCCGTTTCCATTCTCTATTCTATAATCAGGTCGAGCTATTTTATTACTCCAGTATCTATCGACAACGTTGCGAATAGAAGTAAATGATTACAACGTATTGGTATTTCCGATATGATTAAACGCTTACATTGATAAAAATAAAAAATTAACATATTAAATATACAAATCATGTGCAACTTCGTCTGAATATTTCCATATTTATCAATTAACTACAATTCAGAGTTCCAGGTTAGATGTCAGGTCAGACCTGATTAAGAATACATGTCTCAATTGAAATCATACCAATTCTCTTTACTCTATATTGTTCTGATTTATATTTGTCTGACGAAATTTTTTTTAGTGTATTAGTTATAATACTTTAATTTATATGGTTTGCTGGTAGACCTCAACGCACCCATAGAAGGTAAGTAAAATCCATAGGTGCCGAGGCCAAATCCACTATGGATTTTACTAATCCTCTATGGATCGGAAGGGGGTCAATGGCGAATCGTACAAAAAAATAAACCATGAAATACAATAACATTAATAGAAGACGTCATCATTAATAGTAGACGTGACGTCGGGAACCCCATATGAAATCTACTGACCCCATACGGATCCATATGGGGTCACCAAACGGCGTTAAACCAATCATAACGTCACTAATATACCAGAGGTGCGATAATTGATTTTAACAGTTTATGAATTTGTTGATCAGTTACACCACTGTCCTAGGTTAGGAGGAATATTGAATTGGTTCACATTTTGACATGCATGAGCCTTTTATAGCTTATTGTTCCGTATGGTTATGATTGAGGCACGTTCACCTATAGTTACTTACCTCAAAGTCCTTTGTTCTCTGTTTGGTTTTTGTCTCATCAGCAAATATACCACTGTTACAAATCTCCCTTTTTAGATAAAACATTGTATTGTGACTTGCATGCGACTGTTTGCTTTACTGTGTTGAAAGCTATCTCTTTGACACATGCACATGTTAAAGTATCATTTGCCTTGTATATGTGCAAAAATTAGTTGCATGCTGCATATATTTGTTTTCCTTCTACACTGACATTATTACCTTTTTTTTTGGAATATTAGCTTTATTATACTACCTTTGCAGTTGATGAAGTTATGGTCAATTAACAATTTGTATCCACACTTTGCACCGGAGTCTCCCAAATTGGAATTATTTTTCAGAAAATCCTTGATTGTTTTCAATTCGCAATTTGAACAGTCCAGTGGATTATCTTCTAAATCCCTGTATATAAATACAACAACAATGAAATTTTACTTGATTCTCTTTGATGAATAACATATCTAATATAATACTGAATTAAATATAACAAACTAAAAGTTCCTCTTATACCATAATGTATCCATAATACAAACAGATGTTGAATATAATGGCATGCGATAGCATCCGAAAGGGAAACAAAATAGTTTTCAAACTGCATATGACGTTTTACACTAAAAAAATTAAAAATTTAAGAAAAAATAGATATAAATCATGATAATGATGAAGTACTGGTACTGACTACTGAGCTCATGATACCACGATGACTAATAGTCCACCAGCAGCGGTATCGACACAGTGCTGTAAATAATTAAAGCAACACTTCATGCGTCCGAAGCATTTTTCTGGATTTATCTTCATCAGGAACGCTCAAAGCCAAATATTTGAAAGCCAAGGATGCATAAGAACTGAAAAAAGTAGAAGAGCTTTATGACCAAAAAGGACATAAAAATAATAGTCAAATCTTTGACTAGCATTGGGAATAGATTCGGCTTTTTAATATACTAGTACAAACAAGTTAAAAGAATATTGAGAAACAGTTTATATTCTATCCCAAGTAATGAAAATATTTGAAATTCTCATATTCGAATGAAAGTATGTAATGACTGAAAATAATTCATAGAAAAAGTAAAGAATTAATCATTTTTAGTATACTGAAATGAATATTTGTTTCCAAGGTCAATAAAACTTTCGAGTTTCCTCTGTTTACAATGACAAATAAAATGATCCGCGGGGCGCTGCTTGATAGGACCGCAGAGGTCGAACCCTGCACACTACATTCAAGCTTGATACAGCTCTGAATTTTGATCGTGATTCAACATTTGACACAGCATAGGTTTCTGACACAGAATGAATGTTGTCAAAAAACGGAAAATTTAGAAATTGGACTTGTACCTATTGTGGTCCAATATCCAAAATCTAAATACATGGTTAGGTTCAGCATATCCAAGTACACCAAAAACTTAATTCATTTATAGATTAATGGACGACATAAGCTAAATTTTGAAAGGGGTTCGCTTTATCAAAATAAAAAATGGTTTGGTTGTTCTACAAATGATTTTTTTGGGGCAAGTATGGACACTGCATCCAAGCTTGATACAGTTATGAATTTTGATTTTGATTAAATATTTGACAACAGCATAGGTTTCTGACACAGAATGAATGTTAAAAAACGGAAAATTTTAAAATAGGTCTTGTACCTATTATGGTCTAATATCCAAAATCTAAATACACGGTTTGATTCAGCATATCCAAGACAACTAAGAATTTAATTTATTTATTTATTAATGGACACTATAAGCTAACTTTTGAAAGGGGTTCGCTTTATGATATATATATATATATATATATATATATATATATAACGTTGTTTTCAATTTAGACTTATTTATATTTTTTCGTTTGGGCTTGTATTATATTTGACTTCTGGTTTATATGATCCGTTCATCCTATTTCACTCTTCAAAATTCAAGAGTCTATCCTAAATTGAGGTAAATTATACGGCCTTCCAAATACCGTTTCGATTCCTAACATCACTGAAGAGACATTAATTGTCGAAATCCGGACATGGTGTACAAATTTTTGCACCGCATGTTTGCGTAATACCATCTTTTCCGCAAGTGTATTGTTTTCTGTTTCGAATTAAATTAATAATATAGATCCATTTGTTACATCTTGGGATCCGTTTATTTGGCAATCGCCAATGGCAGTCAGCAGGGTTTAAGAACATCCGTTGTTCGACCTGTTAGTCAAATGCGTTTTGTTTAAATATACTTTTTTTCACTTTTTTGGTCTTTTGGAAAATGTTGTTTGTGCTGTATTTAGACCCCTCTACCTAGAAATTTGTTTTGCATGCACACGTATAAAAATTGCGGTTTTTATCCAACTCAATCATAGGTTTGAACGTTGTTTTCAATTTAGACTTATATATATATATATATAGAATTCTGGAAATCAATTTATACAGAGTAACAAGCAAACCTATCACGACGTTCTTCAAAGATTTTACCAAAAAATGAAGAAAAAAAATAATTTCCAAAATATCATTCATCATTAATACCAGGTCTTGAAAAATCTATAAAACTTACCTTTAATTATTTTTCAAAATATAACAAACAGTAAATTTCAAACTACATTTAAACATAATTTCTTCTCTGAAATTAGAATAAGAGGCTGTATCTATTTTTTAAATATGAAGGTACTTACAATTTTGATTAATTGTGCAATACAGCTGTGAATTTGGATTGTGATTAAATTTTGACATAGTAGAGGTTTCTGACACAGACTTAATGTGGTATAAGAACTTAAAAATTTGAAATTGGACATTTACCTTTTAATGTCTAAAATCCAAAATCTAAATACATGGTTAAATTCAGCATATCAAAGAATCCCATATATTGAATTTTTGTTGACATCAAACAAAGTTAAATTTTGGACCCCCGATTCGGACCAACTTGGAAACTGGTCCCAAAATAAAAAATCAAAATGTTTAGATTCTGCATATCAAAGGACCCTTTGAAATAATTTTTTATCAAAATCAAACAAAGTTAAATTCTGGATCCCTTGGACCTTCATGTGGACAAATTTGAAAAACGGGCCAAAAATAAAAAATCTAAATATGCGGTTAGATTCAGCACATCAAAGAACCTTAACATTTCAATTTTTGTTGAAATCAAACAAAGTTTAATTTTGGACCCTTTGGACCTCAATGCAGACCAATCTATCAACGGGGCCGAAATCCAAAATCTAAATACATGGCATGGTTAGATTCAAATCCCATTGAAATTGGTCAAGAAATAAGCAATTTATACAAAGCATCAGAAAAGTATTGTTTTTCGACCCTTTTCCTAAACGATTGGGCCATTACCCCCAAAATCAATCCTAACCTTCATTTTTGGTATGGAACATTATGGTACAATTCCATAGAGATCCATAGACATATACTCAAGTCATTGTTCGGAAACCAGAAAATTCTAGTTTTTGGCCCCTTTTTGGCCTCTAATTCCTAAATGATTTTGGTCATAACTCCCAAAATCAATCTCAACTTTTCATTTGAGGTATGAAAACTTGTGGTGCAATTTCATAGAGATCCATACACTTATACACAAGTTATTGTCCTGAAGCAGGAAAAATGCTTATTTCTGTCCCCTTTTTGCTCCCAATTCCACCAAAACCTATCCCAACATTCCTTTTGTGGTATGGAACGTTGTGGTACAATTTCTTAGAGATCCATACATTTACCAGTATACTCAAGTTATTGTCTGGAAATCAAATGTATTCGGACGACGACGACGACGACAACGTCATACCATTATACGACCGCAATTTTTTTTTAGGTCGTATACAAATAGTGAATAATAACAATCGTTTGTAGCATTACATTGATTACATTAAAATACTATCGATAAAAACAAAAAGAGAGTTAATAATTATTCAGAATTATATCTTATATATTATAATGAAGTAAATAATTGTTGAATTATAATCAAGGTTGCTTGAAACTGTTCTAGTTAATTATTTCGTCATAAAAATATATATATACATATATATAAGTAGTGAAAATTCTCCATTGTCCAAATTCATATTACTTTAAGTTATATAATCAATTTTAAATACAGAAATCTAAACGTCCTTTTTTTATTCATAAGAAATTGTACCAAATCAAATTAAAACGAAATTTATACATTCTTTATGAAAAACGCAAAGGGTTTTCAAAAAGAGAAAAGAAAAGACTATACATATTTTGTAGCTTCATATAATTTTCTTTTGAGTTTCTGGTCAAAATACTAAAATTTAAAATGAAGAGAGTTAAAACTACAATGGTTTGGTTGTTAATTACTAATCGAAGATGTAAAGCGCCGGCTTAATATTATAAGGGTATTAGTTTTAGGAATGTCTCAATTGCAATAAGAATTTTGTCATCCCAGCTCAAGTAAACACTCTTTAAAAGATATAAGGTACACACTATCCATTGACAAAATTCAGATAACCTTAAATTATCTGATCAATTCTGTACTTCAATTGAAACGTCCTTATTTTTCTATTTCTTGAAATTTATACCTGTTTCGGAAAATTGCAAAACGTTTTCAAAAAGATGAAAAAAACCTGACAATAGATGTTTCTTTGACTAAAGATTATTAATTTTACTTGCAAAAATAAAAAAAAAATAAAAAATGTGATATGATACGACAGCACTCTAGCAACACATGGTGGTAACTTGGTTTGTGCTGAATCAAGCATCTTACAAGCATTTCATATCCGTCAACCTCAAAATAAATTCCATATTTGTCATAAAAAGATACAGGGTTACTTCTCTGTTGACAAAATTCAGTTCAACTTCTGTTATCAATTAAATTACATCAATCAAAACGGCCTTATTTTTCAATTTCTTAGAAATGGTATATTTCAAACGTATTACCAAATAAGATTAAAACTAACTTTTTTTTCTTTACATTTTCAAAAAGATAACAGAAATGCCTATAGATCGATATAACCTTCACAAAATCTAATTTGACATGAAAAAAGTTATAAAAGGAGAAGTGTGATATAATGCGACAGCAAACCATCAACACATTGTAGGCAAATTTTGTTTGTGGAATCTAGTTACTTACAAGACAGTAAGAGCCTTTAAATCTCGAAATAAGTAAGCATCTAGTGTGGTGATTTTATTCGTGCCCAGGTGTCTGAAAAATAGCATGTTTTAAATATATTTATGCATTGAATTTGTCAAAATATTATCGTAATATGTCGATATTTATATTTACATTTTTCAGATTAACTTAGAATCTAGCTGATTACCCTAAAATAGGACAAACTACATGAAATTCAAATGAAATACCGTACGGCGTAGTCTAAAGAACAATGTTTTAGTATTTACCTTTAGAAAGTTTCAGTCTCAATTGTAATAAGACTATTGTCCTCCCTGCTCAAGATAACTATCTTGTCATAAAAAATACAGGATATTCTCTCCATTGACAAACTTCAGATTACCTTAATTTATTTCAATCTAACTGTCCAAACGTTTTATTTGTTTAAAACAGTACACTTTAAACGTAATTCCAAATAAATTAAAAAGACATTGAAACTATGGATAATTTATTTCAATTTTAATTCACTACCAAAGGGACATTCAAACACACAAGTCGAAAATAAACTGACAACGCCATGGATAAAAAAGAACAAGACCAACAGACAAACAATAGTACACAAAACACAATATAGTAATACATACTACAGCAAACCAGCAACACATGGTAGCAAAATAGTTTTTGCGGAATAAGATAATAACAAGTATTTAAGAGCCGTCCCAAATCGAAATGCATTTCGTACCTTGTTATAAAAAGATACAGGTTAAAAGATAGCCGCAAGATACCAAAGTGAAATTTACAAACATAAGTCGAAAACAATCTGACAACGCCATGATAAAAAACGATAAACGACAAAAATGCTAACAACAGTTTACAAAACACAACATGAAAACATAAGACTGAGCAACACGATCCCAACCAAAAAACGCGGGTGATCTCAGGTGCTCCTGAAGGGTAAGCTGATCTTGCTTCACATTTGACACCCGTCGTGTTGCTCATGTAAGTACAAACCCGATGATAAGTCTAATTCTATGTATCACATTCGAGGAAAAGAGGTCGGGACTGTGGTTACAACAATTGTAATATATCTGTCGTCATCTGTGAAGCAGATATTCCACAACTGTCAACGGTAAAAATTCAGATCAACTGAAGTTATCAGTTCAATAATATATAATACCAAATTAGGTTAAAACGAACTTTCTACATTTCTAGGAAAAACGTTTTCAAAGAAAATGAAACTGACTATATATAATTATCAATATTTTTTACAAAAACTGGTTTTATTTGTAAAAATGAACCAAAGGAAAAGTTAAATGTATACTTCGACATCAAAGCAGCATAGTAGCAAATTATTTCTTTGCGGAATGAAGTTACTTACAATTCTCTGAGAGCCGTCAAACCTTGAAACAGATTTGCGTCCAGCGTTGTAATTTTATTGTTGGGCAAGTACCTGAAAAATAACATTTTTTAAACGTATTTCTGCATTACATTAGTCATATTTATAAATACAAATATGTTTACGTTGGAAATAGTTCGCAACTTGAAATGTGGAATATCTGTTTAAAAATGGATTAAAATATTGCAAACATAGTGACAAATGTTTATCATTCAATGAATAGTCATATTCATGTATGGCTGAAATAATTAACGATTAACGAAAACATCTTTAAGGTATAAAAACTTTTGTTCTCAGATAGCTTTGCCGCAACATGAAAAATGAATTTGTTTTTGTTCTCCGATAGCTTTGCCGCATCATGACAAATTAATTTGAATACAAAAACAATCTCACAAGTGACAATATATATATAACAGGTAGGTTGATAAAAGTGTTGGCAGACTTTAATTTGGATACTCTGGCGTCGAATATTAATACCCTTATTTTAATATGTCAATATAGAGCGGCGATAGGGTTAAGTTAAAATTAAATGGTACAAGCAAACAAAAGCTTAGTATTGCTGAAGCAACATTTATTGTAGAAATGCGAATCTGGTTCAGTAAAATTGATACTTTTATGTTATTACTTAAAGATCCTGTCAAATTATACCAACAATTTTCTATTCTGCTACTTAAGTTGTCCTTATGAACTTCATCAAATCCTTTACGCATATGTGATATTTTGTGTTTGATTACCAAATTATGTTTGGGCAAGTAATGTTTTGCCCTCCTCATTCATGATTTAATAACGCAAACTTAAACAAATTGCGTTCTGTTTTAAATCTTCAACTTACAAATTTTCATTTTATTTTTTATAATAACTTCCGACCTTAATCACAATAGGAATTTTCAAAATAAAACTAAACGATAATTATACATTTCTAGGAAAATGAATAAGTTTTCATAAACTAAATACCTTCTTGCCGTTCGATAGCAATAGATGTACATATTAAATATAGCATGTATACTGACACATATTTATAACACAATAAAAAGGCACTACTCATGTATAGCCTACATGAGTTACGTCAAAAGATAACAGCTCTTGGATCTGTAACTATAACAACTCTTGTTCTCTGGCAGTCTTACGACATAAGTAATCATGCATTTATATACAAAAACAATTATTTCAGTGACCATATTTCACAACGGCTAGAACGATACCAGTGAAAGCAGATTTTAATGAGATCGTCTGACGTCACCGATTAATATCATCATTTCATTATTGCCTTATTGACAATGGAGTTACGTTAGACGGAATATGGTTCAAGCAGAAACAAGTCTACAAAGAATGCTGGCAAAGAGTTTTCAGTCAAATATTTTCAATTTAGTTACATCAGTTGTTTGTAAGAACCCTAGAAATTTCTTTACGCATATATTTAATTTCGCACAACGATTTCATTTTCGTGCTTTTACTTTAATTTGTGACGTTTTGGAAATGAATGTTGGTCTCAAATATTTTACCTTCCTCAATCAGTTTAAGAATTTATTTAAAAAAATTTTTTTTTTTTAATTCATGATAACTTCCGCATTCGATCACAATAAGAATCTCATATTACTGTATATTAATACATCGATATTTAATGATATATATTTTATATGAATTAGGAATCCAGTTGATAACCAGAAAAAATAGGATAGAATACAAGTACAATGTTTTGATTGTTCTGAAAGTGTGAATTATTAATCGAAAATGTTAAGCGCCAGGTTGATAATGATATTTCTCTTTAGGACGGGTTGGCTTCAATATAAATAAGACTTTTCTTATCTTTTTGTTAACATCCGAATATGTTTATTTCTTGATAATGTTTACGCGGAAAGCTAAATTACATTTAAACGGACTTAATACTTTTGGAAGAAAAATTGCAAAATGTTTTGAAAAATATAAATCAAATCATTGTAGATAGTAGTTCACTAGTAAACCATTTTTAATGTGAAACGGTGATTTTGATCTGAACAGCTCTTAAAAGACTAAACATCATATTATTAAGTCCTTTTCAGTCTTTCAGTCAATTTTCCGACTCATCCAATGCGGTCTTTCAGTAGTGTTCATATAATTCGTTGGCAGTCAACTACGATCTGTTCAGTCTATGTTCTACTATTCAGCAATTGTTATTTCCTTATACTCATCAACATCGTTCTTAATTGTCTGAAAAGCTACTGAACAGTACTGAATAGACTGCAACCGAATTGTCTGAACAGTGCTGATTTTACCGCAGTGGATAGTGAATAGTTTATTAATCAGACTTTTTAGATTGTGTTCAGATCTAAATGACTGTTGAAGACTACAATTCATTGAATACTGCTTCACAAAATATAATTTTACTTTAAAAATGAATAAAGGAGGAATGTGACATAATTCGAAACCAGTAATAATTTGTGGCAAATATTTTTCTTTGCGGAATTAAGATACTTACAATTTTTGAAGAGCTGTGACGCCTCGAAATAGATTGGAATCTAGCGTAGTGAATTGATTGTTGGCCAACCACCTGAAAAATAACATTTTTTTAATGTATTTCTACATTTCTATCGGCCATAAACATAAATATAAACAGTTATATGTTTGAAAACTGTTTAAAATATTGCATACATACTGACAGATGTTTATAAGTCATTATTCATGTATGGTTTAATGCGAGCGCCCCTGGTGCGTCTTATGTAGTAAATTTGATTGTTGGCCAACCACCTGAAAAATAACATTTTTTTAATGTATTTCTACATTTCTATCGGCCATAAACATAAATATAAACAGTTATATGTTTGAAAACTGTTTAAAATATTGCATACATACTGACAGATGTTTATTAGTCATTATTCATGTATGGTTTAATGCGAGCGCCCCTGGTGCGTCTTATGTAGATAAAACGCGCGTCTAACATTCAAGGATGCCCTGTCGAATGCTGTAACAAGGTATTTTTGTTACAACATATAGCGCAATAAACATGTCTTAAGAAAAAAATACTGTTGCGTCAGATTGATAATGTTATTAGTTTTTTTGCAAGTTTGGGTCTCAATAAATGTTGTCATCTCATACTTAGTTAACTATCGTATAAAATGCACTTGAAATGTTTAACGGATATAGGCATTCCATGATGATTAAATTTAATGCAGATGTGTTTGCCATAAGGTCATAGCTATTGATAAGAGCTATACGCTCTAAGGTATAAGAATAAGAATATTTATTATTTATTATTCCAATCAAGGGCCCTTGATGGGCAGCATAACATATTCACATAAAACAATACATCCTGATTTGTTACAGAAAAACATTTTTATATATTAAAATGAAACATTAAAAAGTTCAGACAGATGTTATTATCTTCATTCTATAAGAAATCACATACATTTAATTCCAGGCAGGATCAGAACTATAAAATCATTACAATTATCATTGTTATTACATACATTAATTAACATTTCGTCTAACATCTAGACATGTTATAATATAGCTCCCTAAATATTTAAGTATAGACAAATTTTCATTAGTAAATAACCAAACAAATTTACCTCATTTGAAAGATATATAAATTTGGGACAGATGCAGTTTATCTCCTTGAAAAATATCTCCCTATCATTATTGTATGCTGGACAACTAGTAATAAAATGTTGTTCATCTTCAACCTGATTTAGAGTACATTTCTTACAAAGCCTTTGGTCTCTTTCTATATATAAAGTTTTATACCTGTCTCTTTCTATTTTGAGATCATGTGCACTGATTTTGATTTTACATATGGCACTTCTCAATTGAAAATTGTTTAAAGATAGATACATTTCCTTCGAAAAACAAGTCTTAAGTTTGAAATAAGTATCTAATTTACTACTCTTTGTATCTCTTCTTTTTGTGTTCCAAAATTTTACAAAACTATTACAAAGTTTTTGCTTAACTGACTTGATAAAAAAGTTGAGCTTTACCTCCAAATTATGAATATTCAGCTTTTTAAAAATGTACTGTATGGAAAGTGGATTTAGCGATACAGAAATACATACATATAGTTGAAAACTCTTATAATTTATTTTTCGTCAAACCAAAAAATATTATTCAATTCGCAATTTCCTGAAGCAATAAGAGATGGTTACAAAATTTCTGAAATGAAAGATATGTCTTTGTCTTTATAATACTTGTTTGACCTTAATAACACATAATAAAATTAAATCAGACTATCTACACAAAGACCTTGGATTGATGAATTTATTGTGTGAATTGATATTCATTGAATCTTAAAGAAAAATAAAAGCAATATAATGTATCAAAGTTCCAAACGAAAATCGTGTGTTATAGCTGTGTTTCACAAAAAGAATATACAGATCCCCAAATAAGATTAAAATCATAAACTTACATGTTTATTGGTTTTTCGAAATCATTAATATCATTTTGCTCGTATGAAAGAAAAAAATACGGATTTAGACTTTCCTTTCAGTATATTTCTTTTCCCCATAAGTTAACCAAGTTCTCTTGATAATTATTATAGTATTAATGTATGGACTTTTTCATATTGGCTCTGTAACATGCCCAAGGTATAACTTAGGACCAAGGATGGTTGTAATGGCCCCGAGGCAACGCCGGGGGCCATTTCAACTGTCCGAGGCCATTATTTATACCAAGGGCATGTTACAGGGCCAATAAGAAAAAGTCCATATATTAATACTTTTATTAACCAACTTCATTGAAGAACAGTCTTCGAGTCTGGGGTTCATATACAGCTAACCAAGAATCTATAACAGGGCCAATACAGAAACAGCCAGTTCATAACACTTTTATTAAATTGTTTTAATTCTTCGATTAAACTTAGAGTAAGAAACTTACCGTGAAGAAGATACAGGAATTCATAGCTTAACTTGTCTTTTCGCGTTCACAATGGATTTTTGGTCAACATTGTCAGATGTAATTTCTAATTTCTCATCCAAGTACAAATGTACTTAATTTTATGCTATTACAATTCATTTTATCTAGCAAACATAAAGTAGCTGGGAATAATAAATCAGACAGTTTAATTATTCTAATTACTCTTGAAACATCTGCCTTATGATGATTGATTAACGGAATCGAAAATACTCGAAAAGGCTGTGAAATATTTCCGTTTCAAGACGTTACAAAACACTGAACATCATTTAAACTTTTTTTTTAAATGACACTTATTTAAAGAAATAAACGACATTTTGATTTAATTGATGTCCCGTTTTATCTGTTCATAATGCATGGCTGTGATTTCGTAAACACGGGTGTGATTTTCTAATGCATGACTGAGATTTCGTAATGACTGGCTATTGCAATTTCTCCGTTCATAATGACCAGTTGTCGAAATTTTCCATTTATAAAGCATGGGCATTACTATACATTTTGTAGTAAGTTGGTTAATAACTGTTTATATTATATGATGATATATTAGAATAGACTTTAAAAATTACATACTGCACTATTTATCACACTATTATATACCATGGCAGAATTTTTTTGAATCACCAAAAAGGATAATAAAATACAAAATACAAATATGTAATGCGGTATTTCGGTATATGCTATAAAAATGGCAAGTCTCAATATAACTTTATGTTTTATTATATCTGATAATCCTCATATGCATGAACATTGTTAGATGTTGTTTTCCAATGTCACATCAGGGTGTAAGTCTGGTTTTTTGTTGTCAGATAGTAATCCTATGTAGAAGTTTTGGAATAACACCTGACCTCGAGTAAAAAGTAAATCCTTCAGCTGGTACAGTCTGTTGAACTTTCCATTATCTTGGCCTGTGCCTCCATCAAATTGCTTGACGACCTTATCTGGTGTTTTCTGTAACGGTCATCTTTACGAATTGGGTCATAAAATTTATATTTGAAGGATATGTGATTCGGGTCTTTTCAAATCTCCACTATTTCAGCCATTTTATTGTCTTCTTTTGATGTTTCGCATGAATATTTTCAATAGATACAATATAATTGCTGATATTTTCATAAAAATACTAATAATTTTGAAATGAATAAACATTCTTAGCTTGAAAATTGTATGCTGAAATTAATAATTGTTCTCATCTTAAGATTTAACTAATGTGAATGAAATAAACATTAAAGATATTTGTGTATTCGAAGCGCTAAACTTTTCGTAAGCCGTGAGTGTTTAAATAAATAGAACGTTAGGAACTATATGATTATGACCAAAAAGGACCTAGACCGAAAGGACCAAATATTTCTAAGTCGTGCATATATTTAAAGTGGTGTTTTTGTAAAAGTAATACATTTTATAGAAATCTCTTTAAGTTTTCGTTTGCTGTTAGTCTATTATGAGGTGATATTTCGTTTTTTTCCCCTAAATTTTGAAATCTTTTTTTATACATTTATTATCTTTTATACAATGGAAACACATTTTGTTTTGACAAAAACAACCTTACTTTGTTTGAAGTTTTGTATGTTTAAAATATTATTTGAATACTTCATTTGTAAATTATAGAAATCATAATTGAATCATGATTGTTAATCTCTTAACTAAAAAAAACATCTATATAATAGCAAAACACAAAAACAACGAAATCATGGTATTACTGCAAATTAGTTGATTGAAATTATAATAAATTTGTAAAGTTTCTAAACTAGAAAAAAAAAGCTTTAATTTTTGAAAATAAATATTATTTTTCTTGAATGTTTTGTAATATTACAAATTCATATTACAGACATATATAACAATAGCATTGTTATTATATCATGTATATAATTCAAAATAAATTCCTTTAATTATAATATTCATTATATAAACCAAATTTTACATACACCTTTCTAAATTAGCTGAATATCAAAAATTCTATATCAAAAACAATTAAAATCATATCAATTACTTGTTTTATTCTCAATTGATGTTTATATTATATACTATGAGGTCATGCCAGATACACTTAATTGACTTTACGTGCTTGATGACCTGCTGATATTTACTTCACTTTTACAGCTGTAACCCATTATCTGCTGTTGTAGGGGATGTGGTATAAGGTGTCAAGATAAATCAATTAAAATGTCAAATGCAATAAGCAAGTAATTCGAGGTACTGTGTTGTTGAATACGATTTTGCAAAGGATATTTGTTATTAGGAATGCAACACACTTTAGCTATAGATACCGTGTTGAGGTTCTCAGGGAAAGCTATTTAATAAAGAGTATTCAACTTGCATTTACAAAGTAATAAGAGATAAGTCGTTCATGCTGGCAGACTTTCTATATCAAACGGATAATAGATTGATGAACATGCCAATTAAAATTTTACTTTATATCCAATTGCTCTAAAAAAAACTTGAGAATATTCTTTAACACCATTACGTTTAGAAAATCAATTAATCTCAAAACTGCAAATTTTTCAGTTAAGTGGTTGTTGCATTAAACCCTCGAGACACATGGTATATTTAGCAAAGAGGGACGAAAGATACCAGAGGGACAGTCAAACTCATAGATCGAAAACAAACTGACAACGCCATGGCCAAAAACAAAAAGACAAACAGACAAATAGTACAATTGACACAACATAGAAAACTAAAGACTAAGCAACACGAACCCCACCAAAAACTGGGGATGATCTCAGGTGCTCCGGAAGGGTAAGCAGATCATGCTCCACATGTGGCACCCGTCGTGTTGCTTATGTTATTACAAATCCGGTAAATAGTCTAATTCGGTAGGTCATATTCGTGAAAAGGGAAGGGTATTGTAGTTACGACATAAGAAACATATCCGATATCATCTGTGAAACGGTCATTCCATAACGGTCAACCAACTCGTGATGGCGACCGTAAAATTTACGAAGGGATGATTTCAACTTCACCATTTGGAACTCTTGGTTTAATAGCTTCCTTGTGAGCAGCAATCCTCTATCAAAGAAATCATGATAGGAAATACAAGCCCGGGAATATCGTATCAATTGGGAGATATATACTCGGTATGCAGGCGCTGCTGGAATGTTGCTACATAGAAATGGAAAGTTCACAATTGAGAAGCTGAAATCATCTCTTTTGTCGTAAAGTTTTGTTTTCAGCCGACCCTCATTGTCAATTTTTAGATGTAAGTCAAGACATGAGGCAGACTTAACTGTATCTGTAGTATCCTTTATCTCTAGTTCGATGGGATAGATTCGTTCAACATAGTCACCAAATGTTGTATTATTTAGTGAGAGAACATCATCTATATAGCGGAACGTAAAGTTAAAGGATATTGCTAACTTCTTATCTTTCTTCCTAAGAAGTTCCTGTATGAAGTCAGCCTCATAATAATAAAGAAACAAGTCGGAAAGAAGAGGGGGACAATTGGTTCCCATCGGAATTCCGACAGTCTGTTGAAAAACACGTCCTCCAAACGTAACAAATATGTTGTCAATCAAGAAATCAAGCATCTTGATAATGTCAGTTTCTGAGAATTTTTTGTTTGAATCAGACTGATTCTTTACAAAGCAGGATTTATCCCTCCCCAAGACAAGATACTTGTATCTACGTTTGCCATTCTTTTTAATGAAACAAAGTAATACCAACTCTTTCAATTTGTCTTTTAGTTTGGAATAGAAAAGTCAAATGTTTTAATACTATTGCAAGATGAGAGAGTCTTAGATTGTATGTACTCTAAAAGATCTTTGGAATTCTTTAGTATCCACATCTGATTCACGCCACTTCTAGAATATGCAGTTTCACAATAACTTTGGAGCCCGGCTTTGATTGCGGATAAAATAGATGTTAATAATTTCGAAAGAGGTTTCGTGGAGCACTTGGAAGACCCAGCAATATACCTTTGTTTGTAAGGACACTTAGTTTAATTTTCCAATACAGTGATGGAAGATCCAGTTCTTCATCTTTGGTTGAAATTCCAAAGGAACATAGAACAGACCTATGATTATCCAGGATTTCCTCTTTGGTAAGTGTCGTGAGGGTATATGTTGAGTTTCCAAATGAATTGTCAATACCTAATTCATTTATCAAGCAGTTTATGTAATGATATTTACACACAAAAACAATGTTGTTTGGGGCTTTATCTGCGGGGACAACAACATATTTGTCATGGAGGTAGGACAAGTGTTTTGCAACATTTGGGTCTTTATTAAAAATTGACGTAGCGTGGGTATTGATAGACCCATTTAGTTTCTTAATTCGGATTTGTATCAACGACCTCACAGCCGTAATCCATTCGGAAAGAGTATCTACGTCTCCTTTCTCGTGTTTAGCCCATTACCTGGCATAATCCTCGACTGTATCCATCAGTATTTTGAAGTTGTATTTCCAATTGATGGATTTAGGCTCACGATATTTCGGACCTTTGGATAACAAATTTCGCAGGGAAGTGTTATTGACAATGTTGAGGTCTCCGGTAATAACGTGGCCAGCCGGATTATATATGAATTGGGAACCAGCACAGGTGCAATCAGGAGGTTAAGACTTGAAGTCGTCAATGTTGAGATCCTGCAAAACGTGTTTGTAATTGAAAATTTTAGTTGCAATTGGTTTGGTACAGGTATAAGAAATTATTGGAACAGACTGATCTTTAAAATAAGGAGGTATTTTCGACTGAACTAATTTATGATGAAGGATATTGCCTAAGTTGACGCCATCGAGACCTTTGTTGGCAAAGGAAAGTTTAAGAAAAGATCTTTTCTCTTTTTCATCTTTTGGAATGCGAACTGGTGTGAAAAGTCTGTGACTTGCAATATCCGAAATGATAGCTGTAAGTTTGTATTGGTTTGAATGAGGGTTTGTAACAGTGGTTTCCAAACATAAATTGAACAGAGAATGAAGTTTTGAAAGGGGTAGTGAATACAGTTTCGTGCGAATGTGATGAATACCTAACGGCTTTTGTATAAATGGCAACAAGTCATTAATAGAGACATCATGCAAAGTAGGTGATGTATAATGACGATGACCATGACTGCGTCTACATCGAGGAGTAGAGTTGAAAATATTCATCACATTCACCGAGCTACAGGAAGGACTAGATAGAATACCTATTCCATCAATTTTGTCATTGCAACCATATGGTGTCGCAGTTCCCAATTGTCGAATCCAGTAGTCCTTTTTTTGTCTACAGAGAGGCGTTGCAAGTTGAGGATTGTTAGTCTTGTGGTATATTTTTTCGATAATACGAACTGTCTTAGAAACGATGGAATGATCAGGCTGATTAAAATGCTGGTACAGAATGTCGTTTGCATTGAGGTTTATATCTGATCTATGGCCACACATACGTTTGTTTAGCCTTCTTTTCGTTTCACCGACGTAAACCAATCCGCAAAGGTTACACTCTAATCCTTAGACGACATTTATTGATTTACAATTTAGATCATCGTAACTTCTAGTAAAATAAGACTAGCAAGATGTTGTCTCAATTTGAAAAAAAATGATGCCTTCTATACTCCAGATAACTATCGTATCACCAAACACTACAACGTAACCTCTAAATTGACAAAATTTAGATGACCTTAAATTATTTTAACAATTCAATTTCATCACTCTAAACATTATTTTCATTTCTTCACTGACTAAAGATATTTCTTTCAGAAAAAATTAATTGTACTTAAAAGAGACATAAGTATAATGAGACAACACATAACAGCATATTGTTTTGTGGAATTAATCTACTTACAAGTATGTAAGAGCCGTCAATCCTTGAAATATATTTTTATCCAGACTGCTTATTTGATTCCCGCCAAAACTCCTGCAAAATAATATTTTCGAAATGAATAAAAGAATGATATGATATGCCATCAAACTACCAAACCAAGATTTGTAAAATCAAGTAACTAACAATTGTGTAAGAGCCGCCAAAACTTGAAATATATTCGGATCAAGCGTGTAAATTTTATTTTTGATTAGCCTTAGAATAAGACAAAATAGAAGCAGTTGCGTTGAAACAGTTCAAAGAACAATGTTTTGGTTCTTGTAAAAATTTTATTTACTAATCGAAGATGTATAGCGCCAGATTGATAACTATATTCCTCCCTAAAAATGTTAGGTTTTAATTCTGATATAAATTTTGTCATCCTAAAGTCAAGTTAACTATTTTTTCTTCTTAATATACAAGATAACTTCTTAATTGAAAAAAATATAGTTATCAAATTAATTATCCAAAGTCCATATTTTTTTTCTCTTTAAAACGGTACATTTTTACACTAAAATAAACTTTATACATTTGTAGGAAAATTGTAAAACGTTTTCAAAAAGATAAATTTAATCATTATAGATACATGTAAATAGAAGATAATTAATAAAAGGAGAAGTGTGATATAATGCGGAATTAAAATACTTACAATTCTGTAAGAGCCTTTAAATTTTGAAATATGTTCGCGTCAGGCGTGGAAATTTCATTTCTGTTAAAGACCCTGAAAAATTGCATTTTTTAAAAATTCAGTTACCCAAGCTGTTGGTATAAAGGCCATAAATTCCTTTTCACATATGATTCATGTTAAACAACGGATTCACTTGTATTTATTCTTACCAAAGAATTTAAATTGGGGAAGGGATATTAGTCTTACAATATTAATGTAAATGAACAGTTATCATGTTAGTTTTAATTAACTTCCGATCTTGATCACAATCCGAATTTTATCGTAGAATATTGAGATTTGTTGATCAATATTTATAATATTAACATTTATCGCTATTTTTGCGTATTTTTCCTTTGTTTTTTTTTTGTGATAAGTTTTTATATCATGCTATTCGCTTGAGACAGCATTTTTTTGCTAGAAACTAAGGGCGCACGTGCCGTTGTAAATGTAAACATCAACGACGTCATAGACAAAAGAGCAAAAAACAGAATATCAATGGTCTTTCAAACTCGATGATGTTTCTCGGCCACATCTCATCTCATCTCAGGGCTGTCACCCTTCGATGAGATTGTAGCTGAGATAAACCCTCTTATTTGAATAACCATTGATAATCTTAAAGTAATTCAGTTGATTACCCTAAGATAATACAAAATACAAGATGTCACACGGAAAAAGTCCAAAGTACAAAAATATGATTGTTCTAAAAACGCAAATAATTTATCAAAGATGTACAAGTGTATATAGCGCCTGATTGATAATTTATTCCTCTTAAGTAAGGGTTTGGTCTCAATTTCAATAAGAACTTTGTCATCTCTGTTCTAGTTAACTATATTGCCCAAAAAGATAGAGGATAACCTCTCAAATGTCAAAATTCTTACCACTTTATCAATTCAATCACATCAATCTGAAGTCCTTATTTTCAGTTCTTTAAAATGGTACGTGTTACACTTTATATGCGCATAATTAAATCAAAACAAACTTTATACATTTGTAGGAAAACTGCAAAATGTATTCAAAAAGATGAATAAATTCATTACAGATATTACCTTAAAAAAGTATACTTTTACATGAATATGACCTACCGAATAAGACTTGTAACTGGGTTATACTTACATAAGCAACACGACGGGTAAAACATGTGGAGCAGGATATGCTTTACAATTCGGAGCATTTGAGTTCACCCCCGTTTTTTATGGAGGGAGGGGGGGGGGGAGGGGTTCCAGTTATTCAGTTTTTGTTTTTCTATATTTCTATATTGTGTATTGTATACTGTTGATTGTCTTTTTATCTTTTTTCGTTTTTTGCCAAGTTTTCGTTTTGACAAATGAGTGTGGATGTCCCCTTATCATTTGCAGAATGTTTTCCAAAAGATAGATTAAATAGTACAGATATAACCTTCACAGAAATCTCATTTTACGTGAAAAAATAAATTGAAGGAGCAAACCAACAACAAATGATGTCGAATCAATTTTTGCGGAATAAAGTTACCTACAACTGTGTAAGCGCCGTCAAATCTTGAAATATCCTCGCATCTAGATTGGTTATGTCATTTATATCAAAGTCCCTGAAAAATAACATTTCTGGAAATGAATTTCTGCATTGCATTTGTCATATTTAGAAAAAACAAAAAGCTTTAAGCAGAAATAGAAGGCAACTTGAATTTAGGTAGACATATTTGTTAACTGCTTTATATACTGAGAGATGTTTATAACACAACAAATAGTAATGATGCATGTATTGCTTAAATGATTTTCGTGAACGGAAATCATCTCCATAGTCTGCTCTAAAAGTGAGATTTTCTGACGTTTAAAATTAATACCCCAATTTACCAATGTCTATAGCGATCGGCGAGTTAAAGTACAATGTTTTGGTCGTTCTGCGAAAATGGATTATATATCCGAGATATATAGCGCCAGATTGATAATGGTATTCCTGTATAGGATTGTTTTGTCTCAACTGTTATAAGAATTTTGTCATCCCTGCTTCAATTAACTTTTTCAATTCAGCTACCCAAGTTTTCCGTATGGACCAAAAAAAATCCTTAACGTGTATAATATATTTTGCACAACGGTTTCCTCAGTTTTTTAAAATTTTTATTTGAAAAAGTAATATTGGTCTAGAAATGTTACGACTTCCTAATTTAGGAGTTACTGGCGTTGTCAGTTTATTTTCGATTTATGAGTTTTAATGTCCCTCTGGTATCTTTCGCCCCTCTTTTACGGAAACTAAGCCAGTTGGGGTACCATAAGAGAACTACGTTTTATGAATTTGATTGAACATTTTCGATTTAGTTTTTATAACTTCTGGATTCGTTCACAATCAGATTTGTGATACCTCTTTTATTTTTTTAATTTGGAATCAGGTTGACTACCCTACAAAGAGGTCAGAAAAGAAGAAAATTGAAAAATTCCAATGTATTGTTTTTTCTGAAAATGAAGATAATCTAAAGTACAATGTTTTTGGTTCTTCTGAAAATGTGAATTACTAGTCAAAGAAGTATAGCGCCATTATTTATGATGGTTTGGTCTTTATTTGAAACGATTTTGTTCTTCAGTTCTCCAGTTTACTATCTTGTCTTCAAAATATATAGGTAAATGTCTATATTGACAAAGCTAAGATCACCTAAAATAAAAATAACACTTTAGTATTTTGTGCGTCCGATGCGCTTCATTTTTTTTATTCAACAACAATATTGCACACGCTGTTAACAATTACACCACTGGCACAGCTATCTCGATGAAGGTTCCCGTTTCATAAGTACCAGAAGTTCAGGGATTCTTCAGGTAGATAAACTGCATATTGTTAGTCGTTTACCAAAATATTAATAAAACATCAATAGATAAATAATGCCAATATAAAAAAGTATTTATATCATCTGGTGTTATTATCGGAATGTCATAGCTCATCCGAGATCAGGGATGGTTTATAACCTATTATCAATGTCCATGTGTTTCCGTATAAAGGTTGTTTTAATCAATTTTGGAATATATTGTATATTAGCATTATCTATATTATTATTCAGGTAAGTTAGTAACTATTTGAAAGATTGATAGTCATACTGTAACCGAAAACAATTGTGCTGTGTTCTTGTACTGCTCATAAATCGCGCCAGATTATATAAATATTGCAATGTACATGTGCATGTAAGATAAATAAATACACAAAACTAAATAATAAATTAATTAATACACAAAGTTAACATTTTTAACATATCAAATAATTCAAATACACCTTAAAAAAATTCTAATATACCTTTTCTTTCAGTGTTAAAATGTTTGTTTTGTAGAACTAGCCCATTTCTAAACTCAAGAAAATACATAAATATTCTTTGTTCGTAATTCTGACAGATAATGTATTTTCTGAATTGAAAACATAATCACTGTGAGAAAAAAAAATTAATATCGTAGTATTGTATATCATTTATTTTGTAACCCCAAATCAAATTCTTCAGAGTAAAAATGTGATTTCCAAGTTTACTTTTTCTAACAGATTACAAATTTCTTCCCAAATCTTATCAAGAAATCGACTTGTAATAAAAAAAGTGTTCATAATCTTTTTTTTTTAACAACTTCAGATATTTTATTTCACTAATAGTTGTTAACAATGTCCCTTAGTGTTACAACAATGGCACTAAGGTTCCTCCCTGTATTGTTAATTACCAATAAAACCAGGGGATTTCCTTAGCAAAATTCTTATGCATCTATATATCATTACGTGTTAGTTTCAATTTACAGAGTATTTCTACAAACATGAATACTTTTGGTGGCATATCGACTGAGATACAATGAGAAAGAAGACTTTGGTCGTCTTTTGTTTAGCTTTTAGTTTCGGATTTTAAAAACGGATGTAAAAGCATGGTTTCTAATCTTTTGGATCGCAATGTCAGTATTATTGAATTTATTACGATTGTCTTTTAGATAATATCTTATCATTCAATTACATCAAACATAGAATAATATACCATATCTGGTATTTAAACAAAAATGAAGAATGGAGCAGTTCTTGTTGAGCATTTTTCTTCCTTTTATTTCAATATTTTTTTTACTGTGGTACTAAGCCATCCCAATGCAAACAAAAGAGATAAAGAATAAAATTTCTAAGATTGAAATTTTTGGATGATATAAAATTTGTGTTTCAATTTCAATTTTTAGGACTTACATCATATTCACATATTTAGTTCTCTTTTCTGATAAATAAAAGCATTTATAAATCACAACGCAAACAATTGCTATAATATGATTAAGTGTATTATATTCAACATCTTCAATTTTATATCCTATTACAAGATTTTTAAGACAAAAAACATGTTAACCAATATAAAAATACATACATATTTTGTGTAATAATGTCCAATAGTTTTTTAAACCATATGCATTCAAAGAAAAAATGGATGGCTTAGTACCACAGTAACATTTGGGAATAACTAGTGTTTTGATTATAGTTATCTTTCCAATCATACTCAATTTTATTTTCTTCCAGTCGTTTAGTATTTTTTCTGATTTTTCAAACTGTTTATCTATATTAAGTGTTTCACATTCTCGTTTGTTAAGGCCGAAATAAATACCAAGACTTTTCACTTTATATTTCCAATCAAGTGTTCAAAATCTTCTGGAATGTTACAGTGATAACAGTCTCTGAGTTTGGACAAATTTTCCATTGTTTTAATAAAACTTTGTTTGGAAGAATAAAATGTTAGAGTTTCCATTTGAACAGTTTTAATTTATTTTCTTTCAAATAGTTATGATCAAATTTTAATATATTTTGAGCTTTATTCTCTATGTTTTCGAAATTTAGTAGTCTCTTCCATTTGTAAAAGCCAGTTGGTATTTCTTTATCTTGTTCTATTAATATTTTGTAAATTTTACTTGTTTCTAATTTATTCATATTTAGTTTGAAGTTATCGATGCGCTTTTCTTAAAGTCATATGAAACTTCAAATTAAAAAAAAAGTGAAATATGTTTTATATACTTGAATGGCTAAGTTTTACTCTAAAACAAGTGAACGTGAACTTTTTTCTAAAAGAAAATCCTCTATATTATCAAAATCTTCATAAATGTACCGATATTGATTAGTGTCTTCCCACAGACTAACTCGCCGATATTTTCCGGTATGCAGTGACCTCAACTACGAGAGCTCTCGTTATAACTTCGGCCACCGCACTGCGCAAGTGCGAGGGGAAAACCGTGATGAAAGAATGTAAACAAACGTGCTCTGAAAGATAAATAGTAATAACATATTCTTAAAGAACAAATTTAATACAACAAATCATTTAACAACTGCTAAGGAAAAGTTGAATTAACAAATGGGAACGCATGGAAATTTTAAAAACAAATGTCATGGCTCTTTCAATTCACTTATTTGTCCCGTTTACCACGTGCTCTGTTTTTATTGTTTATCAATGTCACGATCCGGTAAACTTCGGCAACAAACTCGAAAGTTAATAAGCTTGCGATCAACAATCACTGAAAGAAATATTATTTGTCGATAATACGTTATAGATTTGTAATAAATATTAAAAAAACGTGCAAACAAGAACTAGCAAAACTATTTTGTGGAATAATTATAGTCAATAACATCGAAGAACAGTCAAGTCTTTGAATCAAAATGCATCTAAAAATCTTCGCAAAGTATAGTTAAACATTAACTTATGGAAAGAACATGTCTGATATACTGCAATTGCACAGCAGCATAACATGGTGGCAGCGGAAGGAAGATACTTACAAGTATGTGAGAGCCGTTAAACCCTGAAATATATTCGCATCCAGCCTGGTAATTTTATTAGCGTACAATGCCCTGAAAAATAACATCTTTTTAGTTTATTTTTGCGGTAAATTTTAAAAAACCAGGAGACAATTAAAAATGAAGTAGATCTGTTTAAAGATTGGTTTAAATATTGCACATACTGACATATATTTATAATACTATAAATATAGTAATTTTTCTTGTACGGCTTAATGATTTAAGTTGGTTGATATAGTCTAGCATTTGATTTTGATAGGTTTTATGAACCTTTTTTTTAATTTACCTTGAAGTATATTTGTTAATACTTTTTTGAAACATACAAAATTAAATTAAAACAAACTTTATACATAAGTAGAAAATTAAAAAAATTAAATATTTTTCAATAAGATAAATTAAATAATTATAGATATTACCTTCACAAAAAGTTAATTTGGAATGAAGAAATGAATAAAAAGAGAAGTATTATATAAAACATCAGCAAACTAACAAAGCTTTGTTTGCGGACTTGTTACTTACAAACTTGAAAGAGCTGTTAACCCTTGAAATATTTTCGCGTCAATCTTGGTTATTTTATTGTAGGACAAGTTCCTGAAAAATAACAATCTCGCATAACATTTGTTAAATTAAGAAATACAAACAGCTTGAAGTAGAAATAGATGGCAACTGTAAGTGAGCTATATGTGTTTAAAAACGGGTCGATATATTGCATAAATGCCGACAGATATTTTACAAACCTTTCTAAAACTGTCTGTTTATAAATTTTGAAATTATAAAGAAACTAAGGTTTCAACACCCACAGGCAAAGTTAACCTTAGATGAATTTGGCTATTTTTTTCAAGTACTCTTCGGTCATATAGCTCTTCAACTGTTTCGATTATTATACATCCTCGGCTTTCAAATATTCGGCTTGAGTGTTACTGATGAAGGTAAATCCAGAAAAGCGCTTCGAACGCAAGACATTAATAACGTGTTGTTTTAATTTTTTTATGCACCACCTAAAAGCATTATGTTTTTCGGTCTGTGTGTACGTCCGTCCGTTCGTCCGTCCGTCCGTCTGTCCCGCTTCAGGTTAAAGTTTTTGGTCAAGGTAGTTTTTTGATGAGGTTGAAGTCCAATCAACTTGAAACTTAGTACACATGTTCCCTATGATATAATCTTTCTAATTTTATTGTCAAATTTGAGTTTTGACCCCCAATTTCACGGTCCACTGAACATAGAAAATGATAGTGCGAGTGGGCCATCCGTGTACTATGTACACATTCTTGTTTATATCTATAATACAATAATTAGTAGTTATGCATGAACATCTTCAGGGTCTGCTTTAAAACTTAAAAAAAAAATCAATATTGTTCTCAAAACAATTTACCGTTTTATTAGTAATGAATTTGATAAAAAAAAATACAATTATCTGAGTGGCCATATTTTACTACAGCTAGGTAAATACCTGCGTTGGCAAACTTTAAGTGGGATCTTCTACCATCAGAAAACTAATACCTTTTTTAAATCATGTCAATATCGAGCACTAATAGAGGTAAAAAATAAACTCATCATAGATACCAGGATTGTAGTTTTTGCACGCCAGACGCGCGTTTCGTCTTCAAAAAGTTAAATAACAAAAATACCGAACTCTAAGGGAAATTCAAAACGAAAAGTCCTTTATAAAATGGCAAAATCAAAAGCACATCAAACAAATGAAAAACAACTGTCATATTCCTGACTTGGTACAGGCATTTCCTTATGTAGAAAATGGTGGATTAAACCAAAAGACTCATCAGTGATGCTTGAATAAAAAAAAAAAATGCGACTGTCATTCAAGTGAGAGGTTTAGCTAGCTATAAAACAAGGTTTAATCCACCACTTTCTACATAAAGAATTGCCTGTACCAAGTCAGGAATATGACTGTTGTTTTCCATTCGTTTGATGTGTTTGAGCTTTTGAGTTTGCCATTTAATAAAGGACTTTCCGTTTTGAATTTCCTTTGAGTTCGGTATTTTTGTTATTTTACTTTTTGAATTCGTTTTTTTTCGTGGGTTATATATGCAAAGTATAAGTTTAATTGAACAATGTTTCGTTTAATTTTATAATATACAGATTCGATAACAATAAAAAATATATCGTATCATATCCCTATTAATTTTGTGATTCATATTTCTCTGAATCGAGTTGATTACACTGAAAATAGGACAAAAATAAGAATATCCTATCGAAATGTCCAAAGTAAATTGTTTTGGTTTTTCTGCAACTTTAATTATTAATCTTAGAAGTATAGCGCCAGACTGATTACGTAGTTCCTTCAAGGAAGGTTGGAATACAATTTGATCAAAATGTGTTCTTTCCTCCTCAAGTTAACGATCTTTTCATCAAAAGATGGAAGGAAATTTCTCCATTGACAAAATTCAGATCACCTTAAATGAATGTAACACTTTATTATTTTCGTGCATCCCAAGCGCTTTTATGAAGTCATCTTACCAATGCAATAACATTAATCTAAACGTTTTTATCTTTTTTTCAGGCATGGTACACCTTTAACGTATTACCAAATAAAATTTAAACAAAATTCATACTTTTGTATGAAATTTTGCGACGTATCCAAAAATGGAAATGAAATGCAAGTTTACATAAAAAAATAGATAAAAGGAGATGCGTAATATAATGCGACAGCAAACTAGCAATGCAAAATGGCAAACAAATTTTGGGTGGGGCCAAACTATATAAAAAAATTGAAAAGCGTTAAGCAGTTGAATGCATATGCATCTAGTATGGTGATTTGATTGCTGCTTTGTTTTTTTTACAAAAATACATTTCTGAAATGTACTGCTACATGAAATTTTTCATCTTTATAGTTACAAACCGATTTACGTTTTAAGACATGGACCACCCAATTTAGTTTACACGACATTTTGACACTAATTGCTATTTGTTTTCTTAAAGATTAAACAAATATCTATAGATCTTACCTTCACAAAATATAATTTAACAAGAATAACAGAATCGGAGAAGATATGTGATATAATGCAATACCAAACCAGCTATACATAGCGTTATTTTTTTGATGGAATCAATTACTTACAAGAGTGTAAGAGCCGTCAATCCTTGAAATGAGTTTGCGTCCACTGTAGTAATTTTATTCTCGTTCATAAACCTGAAATAAGACATCTTTGATATGATCTGTACATTACATTTCATATCGTCTTAAGTTATCTTTTCACTTCAATTCAATTACATATATATAAAGTACTTTTTACACGTTATACATACATAGTTGAAATAATATGTATACGTTTGAAGGAAATTGCAAATGTTTTCAAACAGATAAATTCAATTAGTATAGATATCATCTTCAGGAAAGTCCAAATTTTCATGAACAAATAGAACACGTGTAATTCAATGCGACAGCAAACCAGCAACACATGCTTACAAATCGTTTTTTTTTTGCAGAATCAAGTTACTTACAGGGTTTGAAGAGCAGTCATTCCCTGAAATACATTCGCATCTATCGTGGTTATTCTATTTTTTGATAAGCCCCTGAAAAATAACATAATTTTAGTGACCACCATATTTTACAACAGCTAGGTCGATACCAGTGATCAAAGATTGATAGCCGTATTTACCTTTATCTAATCATGTCATTAACGAGCGGCAAAGGAGTTAAGTAAAATAGAATTATATGCATGTAGTCTAAAGTCTTAATGCTTTGCAAAAAATATTAGTCAATCATTTTCATTTCAGTCACCTAAAGAATATTCAAACTCATAAGTTTTTGACAAACTCACAACACCAATGCAAAAAAAAACCCACTAAAAACGATAAACGATTAATAAACACAATAGCCTACAAAACAAAACATAGAAAACTAAAAACTGAGCAACACGAAACCTTACAAAAACCTGTTTGATCTCAGGTATTACAAAAGTTTTAGCAGATCCTACTACACATATAACATCCTTCGTGTTACTCCTAAAAATACGCCGATAAGTTTTTTCAAGTGATTAGACAGCACGCAATACGCAATAGTGGATTGGTTAAGAACTCTTATCTAACCCTAAGACATCACCAAATTCGTAAACCATGAAATTGAACCATGTTTTATCATAACATTGGATCGACAAGACTGTTACCTGTAAAATAATAAAGACATTGAAAAATTAAAGAGTACAAAGAACAACACTTAAAATAAAAGCAAGAGCAACACAAATCCGTTTTTAACAAAACAATGGTGAATTTAGGTGCTCCGGAAGGGTAAGCAGATCCTGCTTCACATGTGGTATCTGTCGTGTTGATCTGGTTAATACACACTCAGCTATAAGTCTATGTAGCTATATATAAATAGAAAGTTCACAATTGGAAAGCTGAAATCATTTCTTTTTTTCATAAAGATTTGTTTTCGACCCTCATTGTCAAATTCTAGACAATGTTCCTCAGTGGTCCGTAGATACTCCATAATTCTCAACGCATAAAATTAACTTGGCACAAAGGTTTCCTTCGTTTTATTTTACCAAATGATTTTGGTGCAGTATTATTGGTTGAAAATGTTTTTATTCTGCAGTAACTAACGACAACTTTGCCAAATGTGTACCGTTTAAGAGCTATAACTAAACAACTTCATTATATAGTTATTTAATACTTTTTATATATTTTTTATATTTCATATATAATTTGATTCCAATTGATAATCCTAAAATTGAACAAAATAAAAGAAATCCCCATGGAAATAGTCTAAAGTACAGTGTTTTGGTTTTAATGAAAACATGAATTCATAATCAAAGATTGATAAAGCTTTCATTATTATTCATCTTGAAAAAGGATTTGTCTCAGTTTGATAAGCGTTTAGGTGCTATAGCTAACTGGATTGTCATAAAACGATACAGGAAACCTCCCTTTACAAAATTCAGATGACATTAATCTTTTTTATCAGTTATACACATCCAAACGTACCCATTTTTTTTTTAGACCAAATTAAATTAGAAAAAAATTTATTCATTTGAAGAAAAACTTCGTAACGTTAAAAAAAAAAGAAATGAAATGACATATAGGCAACAGTGGAAAGTAAAAATAACAAAAATACCGAACTCCAAGGAACATTCAAAAAGGAAAGTCCCTTATCAAATGGAAAAATCAAAAGCTCAAACACATCAAACGAATGGAAAACAACTGTTATATTCCTGATTTGGTACAGGCATTTCCTTATGTAGTGTAAACAAAACAAACAGACATAATAGGTAAAAATGTCAAAAATAGGGGCACAGCAGTCAACATTGTGTTATAATCTTAATCACTATAAAAACAAACAAATATGTAGTTTACCCGTGTTCAAATCCCATCCATCGGAAGACAATTCAAGGAAACAAACAAAAACTGCAAGAATCGCATGCACACCAAAAGGGACAGACCGCATGAGCCGACAGGATAAACGTGTCCCGTTATACATGCACATACTGCCATTCTAATTCACACTCAGTGAAAATACCACAATCAGGAATAGGACACAATCGTCTCATTTGCAACCATACCACATCTCTTTATTCTTAAAATAGACAACTATACTGGTATATAAAGATATAAGATTGTGAAGAACATATCACTAGTAAGTTGAGACACATATATATCGTCAAGCAATTCGCGAGGGTAATATTCCTGCACTTTCCCGTACATTTCCTATTTCACAATGGGTATGCGATTACGTCATAGTAGAACCGATTGTTCAATGACGGCATTTATACTGATTGACCTTCATTTAAAACAATGTTATATTGGTGTATGACTGATGTTTAACTTATTGGCCTCGAAGGAATTTTGTGAAACTTAATATAGACAAGTGGCTCAAGTGAATCAAATAAAATCAGTTACATATGTTTGGCTCTTGTGTAAATACAAGGAGTATACATTTATAAGACATAAACTCAATGAAACAAAAAACTAAAAGATTTCAAAGGGGATACGTACTGCCTTCAAGGATTAAGATATGTCTAAACAATATGTAAAACTCTTAATAAAAAACGATACGACAAAAGACAGCCCACGATTAGTTCTCGACTTGGAAAGTACAATGAATGTGTTGCACGTATAACAGGTTTGTTTTATATCTTAAACCTATCCATTTAATTGCGACAAGAAGAAAAATTACGCAAAAGAACTTGCAGCAGACCAGAAGCACTTTAAATCGCACTATAAGGTGTCGGTTTTGATAATTGTTGAGTCGATTGCTTCCATGTACAAAGTGTCAAAATGCAATTTTACGTTTCTTATATTGTTTAGTCTTTGATGCGAGATTTACAAATATGTTATACATTATGTTTTAGGCACGTTTACTCTCGTTAGTTGTGTCTTGTCTGTAAATAGCAGGTAAGTTTTATTATTGAATAGTATATGTAAACTTTTTCATGTTTCATTTTCAAAACAGTTAATTGTTTAATAACTATTATCCCTAATAAGCATTTACTCGATACTCTTGTTTGTTAGTCCATAAACAGATGGTACAATAGGCGTAGGTAACCATTGAGTTAGTGTTTGTCTGATGGTTTTAACATTCAGTTTGCAAATATTGACTTAAAAATGTTACGAATCCCTCAGACAAAGTTATTCTTAGACGGGTATTGTAATGAGTATAGATAGGTTTGATTCACACATATAGTTAATTCAACATGCATCCGGAAGTTTGGTTTTGACATCAAAATAAAGATTTTTCATGAGTTCTGAATTATGTATCGTAAGTATTCTTTTAGTTAACAATTTTTGATTGAAATACTCACACATATGTTGAATCATGTGGTATATCAGACGGGATTGCTGATAGATTCCTATTGTCGCACCAAACAGTCGTGTCCCTGCAGCTACACGAGGAAGGACAACCATAAACTGTGCTTCCAACGAAACTGCATACGATCAGGAAAATATATTGGTACATTTTCTCCTTAAAACGCCTGAAAATATCTGTTACATCGTAAAAGTACTTTCATTTGAATAAATGACAATTTGTGAACATTGGTTTGAGCGTTACTGATGAAGGTACAACGTTAGCTTAGGACGCACGAAATTTAGAAAATGTTATTTTTATTTTTCATTTGCTCATACAACATACAACTAAATGTCAAATAAGAATCAAAGTTTTAAATACTGCATTCAATAGATGACAGGCGATAGATTTGAAGCTACAACACATGGAGCATATCACAGTTCATCGTTGTCATAAATATTATATGCAGTTAACAAAATTATGATGGTCCCAGCAAAACGTTCGATGCGATGGCATTAATTTAATCATTAAGAAAAAGTATGAAGGAATTAAATATAATGATGGTAAATTGAGGTAAAATATTTAAAGAAATAAATTTTAATATTTCATATAAAACTAAGTTAATCTTACATGTAATTGTAGAAAATAAATAATTCTTGTATAAAGCTTTTTGTATAAAAAGATATAATTAGAAAGTCTATAATGTTATGTAATTTTTGATATATAAGTATTTGATGTGAAATTCTTCCTATTTGACACTTAGAATATAAATAAGGTTTGACAGCTTAAACTCTTAGAAGTATTTCCTTTAGCTAATCTAATTCTTTTCTATTGTTCACCTAGAATTCTATCTAACCAAAATAATCGGATTTCCCTAATGGTCGTGAAAACAAAATATTAAGTAATTAAAAGTAGTAACCCCAAATTATGTAAAAATGTGAATTTGCTAAAAGAGATTAACCAATAGAAACTGTTCTTATAAAGTTAATTATTCTAAAAGTCATTTTGATTGGTGAATAAAACAAGTCCAACCAGCACGTGTTCTTGGGGTTTAAAATAGGAAACCATAAGGAATCAAACATTACTCTAATGGTTGGACTCGAAATAAACATATATAGACATCTTTGTTTTATTCACCAGGTTCGTAAACTTATTATTTTTGTTAAATGAAAAATTAAACGTAATCTTAGTAATATTTTAATGTAACAATTTTATAACAGAAATCTTTCTTTATTAAAGTTACCATAAATATCATAATAAACTATTTTAATTAATTAATGAAGTATTTTGATAATTGTTAATTCAAGTTCATTTTAAGAATCAAACTCTTTTATTTCATATTAATGTATTTTGATTAGATTACTCTAATGGTTGGACTCGAAATAAACATATATAGACATCTTTGTTTTATTCACCAGGAGGCCTCGAAAGAACGCGAACGACAGTCCCCCAAATTGTCGTAGTTAAAATAGTGAACAGAGACTATGTAAACACAAGAGCGACGACAACATTAACTTTCAGCGGGAGAGGGGAGGCAACTGCCTTAGTCTGTCCTGCCCCCTCTTTCCCGCATAACATAAACATCAGACTAAGAAAAAAGCAATGAATTCATGATTGGAACGATTCGAGTCATTTAAAAAAAAGATTTTTCCATTCTTTTAGGTTTCTTTTTGTCATATAGCTCCTGACTTATCAAAGTAGTTATATTTTGCTTTCAAATTGTTGGGAGTGAGCGTTCCTGGTGCTGGTTAATCCAGAAAAGCCCTGCGGTCGCCAACAATTCTTAAAGTGTTATTTTCATTTTGAAGATGAGGGAATCTGTGAATGTTTGGTTTCCTCTATTTGTAAAGGGATTGATGCAAACATGTATAATACTTTACACTTATGTGCTTAAATACCTTGATTTAAATAATAAGAGTTTTTATGAATTTAAACTTAACTCAGAAAAAAAGCAATTTACAAATGATTCATTTGAATATGAAAGAATCCGTGAATGTTGGATTTAACTGTCATATTACTTTGAGCCATTTCCATCTTTTTTTATTCATTAACAATCCTAACAAAAATTTGTGTAAAATACATATTTAAGGATAAATTTACATCATTAATTCATTTTGATACAGTTGAAAATATCTGTAAATATACAGAAAAATATAAAGCTGTGTTATTTTCACAAAATTTTTATTCAAGAGGTATCTCCGTTGTTAAATTCTCCACCAGGAAGTGTGAAATATATCAATTAGTCTATAGATTCATTTAAAACTCATCTCTTACAATTACAACTAAACCTTTTTTACACAGGGACTTAACTCAGTTTTGTCTCTGTAATAATGATTATATATCAACTATGCAACTTGTCAATATTGTAATGATGGATAATTCAAGAGTAACTCTTGTTTTCTGGTATTCCTCATGCACATCTGACATTTAAAATGCAGGTCACTGTTTGACTCTAAGTCTATTAGCAACAATAGAGTCACATGACCGCAACCAAACATTAGTTTGTATCATTAATATACCACCGCCATATAAAACCCTAATGCTCAAAATAATCTTGAGTATATACGTGTTTCGCTCTTAAAACTTCAACATTTGAGGGATAACTGACACGATTTGGAAGTCATGTTCACAAAACCTACGATTTTTATAATTCAATTAGAGTTAAATTATACAAGTTCCCAAAATAAGTAAGTAGATTGATTTCGAGGACTTTTCGTTGATTCCGACTATTGCAGCGCTATCTAATTATATCCTCCTGCTATTGTTGCTGATAGATTATGACGACAACAGACGTTTCCTTGTAGTTCCTTTCCTAGTGTAAGACGATAATACTTTGACATAAAGCCCATGAGAGCTCACAGAAATTTTATGTTTGCGTAAAGGGAAATACAAATTAAGTTTGCTGTTGATACCCATGTCATATTGAGAACATTAGGTTTAATGCAGATATAATAGGACATTGTAAGAATGCTTGCTGAAAACACAACGGACAATATTTCAATTGGATAAGGTGAGTATGAAATATAAATCAGTATCTGTATATAGTATCACATTGTTTGTTCAGAAAAGAACACTGAAATTTCTCCCCCTACCCAATGGAGTTACAATATTTTTGCTATTGATCGTTCTATGAAATATTATCAAGTTAACTACATGTGAGTTTGTACGCCCCAAACCAATGTAATCTACCAGTATGTAACAAGAAAACAAAGAATGGAATTCAAAGTTGGGTATACGTCTATAAAACAGCAACACAATGACACAAATAAAACAAAAGAAAGGCATTTTTCAACAATCTGAAAAAAATATCTCTGAGGCTGACACCAAGTGACAACACATTTCTAAAAATATCTCTTTCCGACTTTTTTTTGACTAAATGAAAAACAAGAGCTAACATCAAGTTAAACACATTTCTCCGAATATCTGTTTCCGTTTGACTAGATGAAAAACAAGAGATGGAAACTAATATAACGTGTAAACCACTACAAAAAAATACGGAAAAAAATCAATGGTCCTTTAAATCAATTGTAATGCTTACTCCTTTTTAATCAAATGTCGATCATGGAAACATGTTCTTGTTTTCCAATTCATCCAAAATATAGTATTTGTAGTCCATATGAGGTTTGAAAAATTCGAACAATGCTCGTATACAACAAAAAGTTTAATCGACAAATGCGCAAACCCCATACCGCATAGTCAGCTAATAAAGGCTTCGAAATGACAAATGTAAAACAATTCATACGAGAAAACTAAAAGTTTGTTTCTAAGAATTTCAACATACGACTGACATATAAATTCGTATCTATATGTGAAATAATATGTAGGAGTTTGTGTGGTCTGTTTTTTAAGGGAAAACCATTTGATTATTTATATCTGAGGATTAACCGAATATTCAGGATATTTCACATTGAAATGATTAGGACAAAATGACATTGATTTTAAATGCCACTTCACATCAAGTGTCAATTCGTAAATAATGTGTTTACTTATGAATCCAGGACTGTCCCAGTGATAGGTGACGGTAATCACAACCAGACCATTTTCATATTTGTTTTTTTACTACATTGAATGAAAATGAAGAGGTTTTACTGTACAAATATGCACTACATAAAACTATTTGTTTTAATATTTTTTACGTCAATAAGACCACATCAAAACGATAAAAAATAAAAATAACCATAAATAGAGGCCAACATTCAGTCTTGAAAAATAATAGACAGGGGTCTATATAATGCGCCAAGCTTTAAATCGTCCGCAGTCTATAACAATATGGATAGATTTAATAGAAACGACCAAAGATCTGTCATTAAAATCTTATTCTCAAAATAGCAGGGAAAAAACAAACCAAAAACCCATTAAGAATATAACCATGCGGAACCCGCGAGCAACACGACGGTTGACACATGTGAGGCAGGATATGCCTACCCTTCCGAGTAATCTGAGATTACCCCGGATTTTATTGGAGTTCGTATTGCCCAGTCTTCAGTTTTCTATATTGTATCTTGTGTACTGTTTTTTTGTTGTTGTCTTTTTTCGTTTTTTGCCATGACATTGTCAGTTTGTTTTCGACTTATGAGTTTAAATATCCCTTTGGTATCTTTCGCCTCTCTCTTACATATAAACGTTCAACTAACTTGGTTACATTGTACACGGAAGAAAATCAACAGTCCTGAAACCTATCTTAAAAGCTGACTGTAACCGGTTTTTGATGAATATCTCTTTCCGTTTGAAATGAAAAACAAGAGATGGAAAGTGACTGATAAAACACGAAACTCTCTCTTTAAGTGCATAGGGAAGGAAATCAACTGTATCGCTATTTCATTTGAATCTAATGTCGAACTTATGGGAAAATACTGTTGTATTTCTATTCAGAAATACTAGATTTGTTAGTGTCTTCAATAAATTCATGTCAGATACTTGTGGCAGAGATTAAAATTTCGCTACATTATTAAACAAAGACACAATTTCTTCATTGTATTACATGTAAAAATTTATAATTCTAAAACTAAATTTAGAAGGCAAGTTTACTCGTGATTATATCAACGTTTCGGGAGCAGGAAAACCCGTTTAATCTAGTATTTTGGAAAAGATAAGAATTGTTCTCTTTGTGCAGCTACAAAATATTATTACATGTACCATTTGATTGCTTTTATTATCAATGATTATTGCTACGAATTATGAAAAAAAAATTGACAATGAATAGTAAAATGAAGACTGAAATTCAACTTAACGGGTTAAACAACATTTTGAATAAAAAAATCTTGGCTCGTTTAATTTTCATAAAATTTTGGAAAAATATTTACTTTGACCTGTTGATAAAAATATAAAAATTTCAAGAGAATAAACAAGAATAATTTCATTGGGAATATAGCAGTTTGACAAACACCACTTTAAAAATAACAGAGACATATATATGTCTCTGCTAATAATACATGATTAAAACGATCAGCTGATTTTCAAAGCGTTAACTCCCTTAGGTGTTCTGTACCCCTTTATTGCAACATATCAATAACCTGTCACTAGGAATATTACATATCTTGATACAATTTTACACTTCATGAAATTAAGGATAATACGAAGTGAAATTTCAAAAAAAAAAAATCTTCAACGCATTGAATAAAAACTCTTTACACTTTGACCACTGAAAACGAAGTGCAAAGCTAGGGAATCTAAAGGAATTAAATATGAAACAATATGAAACAAAAGTTTTTATAATATTTTCTATATATTCATAACTTTAAAAGCTCTATAACTGAATTTTAACAATAAAATAAAACGAAAATAACTTACAATTAGATCTGTAAAGAAATAAATTGAAACTTCGTTTGACAACTAACAGTATTTGTCAACGCTGTCTATGTATATTATACATGTAGTTAATGTATGTGTCACCACCCTCCTCGTATAAATTGATATTTCCTTAGTTCACTTTCGCTTCTATTTTTATCTTTATTTGATTTACTATAATCCTTTCTAAAAAAATTTCCTAGAAAGGTTTGACAAATATGATAAATAAAAGATGATAATGATGGATGGCTGCTAAAAGTCCAGCGAATAATTAAATGACGAGAATACATTAATGTAATATGAATATTAACCCTGCTCTTCAAATTCGTACTTTATAAGCCATTTTTAACTTTTTGGATTCGAGCGTCACTGATAAGTCTTTTGTAGACGAAACGAGCGTTTAGCCTCGTCTAGCGTACAAAATGTTAATCCTGGTATCTATGACGAGTTAATTTGTATTAGACTGACACACTGAGTCGGATTTTTCCCATGCTGAATCACAAGGTAACAGTCCGCAGGTAGACATATTACCCTACACAGATACATTATCCTGACTCCGAGCCGAAAAGATTTTGCTTTCACTCCCTTATGCCGCGTGCTTAGTGGAGAAGCAGAACGCTCGGAACAAAACATTTTTTTTTCAAAGGAATTGGGATCTAAGTTTCTTTATAACCTCTTAATTTATGAGCAAAAAAAAATGAGAAAAGTATGCTTTAAATCATGTCAGTATCGACGCACTGACTACTGAAATGATGATACTCCAGGGGACTAATAGTCACCAGTAGTAGTTTTGACCCGGTGATAGAAAAATAAAAATAAAGAGCTGCACCATGAGCGCACGATACGCCCGTAACTTTTTCAAAAAATAAAGTTCGATTACTCCTCAATATCATATCAGAAAAATACTACTGCTGGAAATTGGAACACCCCCTTTTTTATGAATAAAATCTCATAACTCCGAAACGAAAAATCTAAAATTTATAAAAATCGATTGGGAGCCTACGTCAATAGATATAAATAATCCACCAGAGTTTTACGAAAATTGCTCAAAGCATCTTTGAGTAATTGTCCGAAAACTGAAAAAAAACCTTTTTTAATGATTAAAATTCCAATTACTCGGAAACGTTAAATCAACAATTTATAAAAATCTAAAGGAAGCTCACATCAATAGATATGAACAATTCACCAAAGTTTCATGCAAATTGGTTAAAGCGTTTTTGAGTTATTGTCCGACATGTCGACGACGGCCGGACGGACAGACGGCGGTATACCATAATACGTCCCGTAAACGGGCGTATAATAACACTCTATATAAATTGTATGTGTTCGAAGCGCTTTTCTGGATTTACTTTCATCACGAACGCTAAAAGCCAAAACTTACAAATCCAAGGATCAGTACACAAACATATTAAGAGCTATATGACCAAAAGGACATAACATGTAATAGCCCAATCCATACAAGGTCAACTTTGCTTTAATAAGTTGGCATCTTAGTTTCTTCGTAGTTTCTAAATTTATCAACGGGGAGTTTAGAAAGGTATGCTATAAATCATGTCAGTACAGAAGCACTGACTTCTGAGTTTATGATACCCTCAAAGACTAAAAGTCAACCAGCAGTGGTATTGACCAAAATATACCAAATATTTTGAAATACACAAAACCAATATCAAAGATACGCCAGCAATGTATATATAATATGTTTATAGTCACTTCAAACATATAATCTGTATTTATTATTTCATAAACAAGTTGTTTTTCTGATCAGATGATACTTATCATCATGCCAACATAAGAATGGTTTTAACGACGACGACGTTCTTTTTTTAGATTAATTACATGTTTTACAATTGTTATTGTTCATGTTTGTTTCTCGCCATTCAAAACCACAGGTGTTAAACTTGAACCCACAACCTTTCTTTATATTTTTGGGTCATTATGTTATCGAAAGAAAGAAAATCCCCCTCTAAAAAAAAGACAGCAATACATTACTTGTTTGTCTGTCATAAATTTTCTGCGCATATGAAAAGTAAATGTCATTGAAGTTGTTCATTTTACTGTTACGCTAGAAAAGGGACATTATCAAAATATATGACAGTGGCGATGTACTCAATGTATAATGAAAAGTGAAGTAACTGCTTATAACAATAATTTCATTGAAAACCTATTTTGTTTAACAACATACGATGTTGAATATCCTTTATAGATTTTATTTAAACGACTGCCCAAGACAGAATTAAACATGTTAAGGAAGTGGCTCACTTTTTTAAACATCAAATAACCGTTAACGACCTCTAAATGTCTTCAGAAAATTGCAGAGTATACACCAAGTCTTAAGTAACCTGACACATTAATTTTCTTGGACTCTATGTTGAAATATAAATAAATGTCATTTAGAAAGCTTGAATAGAAGTTCCGTCATTATTTTTTAACAGTTTTACACTTGAACTGGAAGTAAAATGTCAACATTTTGGGTTATGTATCATAGCAATTTTTACACAAGTTTTTTTACCCGTTTTAATCACACTTATCTTTTTAAAATAAATAATGGTTTCAGCTGGAGAGCTGTGCACCGTCGTAAATGACATATGATTTTGAATAACATTGATTCACGCATTGGTTATAAAAAATGGATTTTCATTATCACTTAAAAGATGGACGAAAGATACCAGTGGGACAGCCAAACTCATAGATCGAAAACAAACTGACAACGCCATGGCCAAAAATAAAAAGACAAACAGAAAAACAATTGTACAGATGACACAACATAGAAAACTAAAGACTAAGCAACACGAACCCCACCAAAAACTGGGAGTGATCTCAGGTGCTCCGGAAGGGTAAGCAGATCCTGCTTAAGCTGTCTGCATATGTGTTTTCCCTCAAATAAACACCTAATGTGTGGATAATTGACAATCTAAGAACTATGAGTGCGAGCATTGAATTAATATCAAAGAAAAGCACGTCGAGTGATTACAATACACATTTTAGAGCCATTTTGAATGCATTTACTACATGCATTCATTAGTGATGGCATCTTGTTGTCAAGTTCATTGTGTGTTGTTCCATTAGTGGCAAGATTCCGGTGCAAAAATTTGTTGGCATTGCATTTTGTAATTTGCCAGGGGATGACTACAGTTGTGTCATGATCTAAAGTCGTGGACATTTTTGTTTTTTAAACACAAATGCAGGAAGATATCACTTGAGCCTCGAATTTCTCTTCCATTGTACAGTCGCATGCAACGATACCATTCGCCATAATATAATAAAATAACGTATATCATACACTTTAATTTAAACAATTAACTTGTTCATTTCGACTTCGACTATAGCTACTAAGATTGATTATGCCTTCGGTATATTCCACCCTTTTTTCATTTTGTCTATTTTCAATATTTGATGATGCATGTATTATATAAACTTAGTCGACATTAGTTTACCGATGTTCAAATCTGGCAAATCAATAAAAGAAAAAAGACAAATCAAGGTAACAAACAAAAACTGATGAATCGTATGAACTATAAAAAGTGAAATCGGGTGCGTCGACAAGGTAAGCGTGTCCTGCTATAAAATTGAGAATGGAAATGGGAAATATGTCAAAGAGACAACAACCCGACCAAAGAGCAGACAACAGCCGAAGGCCACCAATGGGTCTTCAACACAGCGAGAAAATCCCGCACATGCATGGGTACAAGCATCTTCGCTAGCCAAGGGTTACGATCCACTTCCCTCATTGAAGATGGGTACAAGTCATATCGGCACCTGGTCAAATGGGCACCTATTTAAAGTTATTTCGCCATTTATTAATTTAACTGGCATCTATTACTATTTTTACTGTTTTCTTTCCTTTTTTATTTGAGAACAGTTTTCTTTTTTTTTATATATATATTTTTGCAAAAATTTCAGATATTCAATTCGGCCATCGTTAAAAACTCAGCACATGTGATTAAGCAGGAAGAATACACAATAAACAATAATCAGTTGGCTTTCTGTTTGAAGTTTTCTCAATATTCTATTAATAATGTTTTGATTGGTTAATACTTTAAAAACTTATTATATATTACAAAAAATATCCCGTTTGTTGTTTTAACAACTTTCAGGTAGATTTTGGTCTTTTATAATTAAAAAAAGCAAACAAAGCAGTCATTAAACATGCTTTGCATGCACCTCCCACCATGGGAATTCACACTAAACTTTTAGAATTTACTTAATCCACCACGAGTGTATCGAATTCAGGGTTTACTTTTCGATTATTCATTAGCCACATATGTATATGAACATCAAACTTTAGTTTTGAATAAGCATTTGAAATCCAGTATGCATGCTCATCAGCATTACTGGTATATTATTAGTTGTCAATCAGATGTATTTATGTAATATATTGTCTTTATATTCCATTTTGCTATGGAAGGAATGTATATAGGCTTCGGCTAGCTGTAATCCAATTACATTGATTTATTCTATCCATGAATACTTGAAATCTAAATTTGATCTAAAATAGATATTTTTTACACCTAGGTATAATGACAAAGGTAAACTGCTGGACATTTTGTAACTTGGCATAAAGTGACTAAGTTTACCATCCGGACATTTGTAGAGACTTTTTCAGAAAACCAAAATCCTGCCTATATGCACTACTTTTGTATATTTTCTAACATTCTACATATTAATATAAAAGTTCCAGCTTGAAAACCATGTTCCTTTTATGTAGCTAGTACGAAAAACAAGAGGCTCTCAAGAGCCTGAATCGCTCACCTGTATTTCAGAGATGATTTTTAAATGTTAGCAAACTTGATGAACAAATTGTGTAAAATTGTCTTTAAAGGGCAATAACTCCTTAAGGGGTCAATTGACAATTTTGGTCATATTAACTTTTTTGTAGATCTTACTTTGCTGAACATTATTGCTGCTTACAGTTTATGTATATCTATAATAATATTCAAAATAATTACAAACTAGAGGCTCTCAAGAGCCTGTGTCGCTCACCTGATTCTACTTTGGTTTTGGAAATCATGTAAAAATAGATTAAAATCATAACAGATACCCTAATAATGAGTGAGGCCAAATTTGGTTTAATATTGGTCCTGTAATTTAATAAAAAATCCTGGTGGCCA